AGGAAGGCGGGGGATCTAAATGTAAAAAATAAACCAGATGGCATAGCTATGGTGGATGATAGGAGCTGTGGTCCAACTCATCAAGGAACAGTGCATCAGACAGAGGGAAACTTAAGTACTTAGGTGAATTGAAACAGAAAGAAAATGAAGACTGACGTGGGAAATTTGGAGTAAGATGCCAAGAACAATTGAGGAAAAAAAGGATAGGAAGATTTGCACGTAGGAAATGTAAGATTTAAAATATAATGAAGAAACAAAATAAAAAGATTATTTTGATTGTTGATCGTTGATTGATTGTCTCATCTGGAATATTATTATAGTGAGCCATTGCTGAATTCTGATTTCTGGAGTACTGCTTGACTTAAGGGACTATTTGCAATATCTTTGCATTGGAGTGAAATGGTTTCATATAGCTTACATAAGTGATATTTCTCCATCAGTGAGCCCTTATTTGATCTATGTCTCCTCCATTTGTCACATCTGGAAGTAAGTTTCTGTCCTGTGATCTAGACTGACTATCATCCCAAAGTGTTCTACTCCTGTTCAGAATGCACAATCAGTTGGAAAAGTGGAAGAGGGCCTGTTGATTTGGAGATGCTCTTGGAAAATTCCTGGTTTGGGAAATTCACATAATATTCTTTTGGATGTCATACTCAGTCTGTATTTCTATTTAAGAAGACTTTTGAACTGCAGGTTGGTTAAACTTTTCCTTTTATAAGTTTTCCTTTTGTTTAGTAAAGTCACAACAAATCATGTAGATTATTTGGCAGTTTTATTGCATTTGAATAGTTTCTTTTGCTAATGTTTTTTATAACTGCCTTAAGGGTAGAATAGAAAAATATTTATCATAAACAAGCACATAATAAAGTCACTGACAAGCTACATAGGAATGTCCCTTTAAAGATGACATAGATATAGAATACTTTATAAAAAAAACTGAAGGAATGAAGGAATAAAAAAACAGAAGGCAATAAATATCCACAGTGAATATTGAATTATTCTTAGGAGTGGCTTAAATATATTATCTGAGGATTAGACTGTCATAGCTGAATCAGGGGGCACTAATAAAAAAGAAACCCATTTTTCTGATTTTACAAATCAGAAATAGACTGTTGAAATTGAAAATCACATTCTGTTGGGTGCAGGTGATCAGATCCACAAGAGCAAAGCTGAGCACTTTATTGTATTCTGCCTATGGTACAGAAATCTACCCAGACTGCTTGCCTTCCCTTGGGAATATATAGATAAGCTTCTGTGAAGCTGGGAGCTTGTGTCAGTCCTGGATCTCTTGTGACTGCGCAATGACTTCCATGCTTGATCCCTCCTCACTGTCTGACTGGTCATTTCCCAACAGTTCCATGTTCTTTGATCTGCTTTAAGTTATCTTCCTTGCTTCTTTGGGCTTGACAGCCAGTACTCTCCTTTTTTGGGTCAAATTCAAGATAACCCAGTCCTATAAAAATCTGAAGCATTGATAATTAACTTGATAAGAATTTTTATTGTAATCTCTCTGCATGGTCTTCTCAAAATGAAGAAACTGGGATTGAAAGGACAATTTGATTTGACCAATATTCCAAGTTCCATTTTTTTCAAGTAACAATTTTGGGAGAAAATAAAAGACTTTTTGGTTGTATAGAATTAAATTCTGGCAGTCTTTTTATCCTGCCCAATTATCTGCTTTGCTTGTTCAGAATACTTCAAAGTGTTTTTTGTTTTGTTAATCTGGACATTCTGTGAAAACCTTTCAAACGGAATCTGGTTTGTTGGCTAATCTAAAGCTCTTTTGATGCTAATGCCAGTTTTTCTTACCTCTTTACTTGCTCTGCTGGCAGCTGCCTCAATTTTATTACATTAATCCCAACTTTTTTTGTCCCCTTTTCCCTCTCATCTCTTCTCTTGCAGAAATTGGGAGGATAATGTTCTGGATTATTTTTTTTTTGCTAACAATTCAGTTAAAAAAAAAAATTCCTAAGCATCTGTGGATGGCTAGATGTTTCTATGGTTGCACAAACTTTCTGCTATTTTAGAAACAAGAAATAAAAGTGAGCCTCGTCCACATGAGTTTATATTAGAACTGACAGGGGTGACAATTCAGTTTAGTGGAGTGATTCTATTGTGAGAACTTAATGGTGTCCCTTACTGTAGGGCTTCACAATTTGCAATCTGTAAGCAGACCAACAATTTGTCATTTTCCTATGAATTTTCAGGCTTTGAGAAGAGTTTGCCTCTTAGGAGGTGTCTCTCTTCCACTCACACCACTGGGCTCCTAAGCTAAAAAAGAGGCAAAGGTTTAGCAGCCTGCCCCCAGAGAATTTACAGTCAAACAACAGAATTCCCCGTACATCCTGCCAGCCAATTAGAAGCAAGTTATGGCCCCTGGTTTGAGAAGGATGCTCCTTTCCATGTGAACTCAACCTGTGGCTTTGGAAAAAAAGGTCTCTGTGTATGTGTGGGTGGGTGTGGGGGCACCAAGATTCCAAAAGTTGGCACAGTCCCAAGATATGGGGGGCTCACTCATTCTCTGTGCCACCATGTGTTTACTTTCTGCCTGGTGTATTGTGTAAACTTAAACAATTGATTTATTCAGTTGTTTCACTAGTGAAAGTCTTTAAAATAGTGTGTGAACTTTGTCATTGTGACTAAGCAGAAACTTGAATTCCTTTTTTTTCTCTTTGCACTCCCATAACAGGCTGCTTTGACTTTGCAAAACAAAACTTATGCAAGTCTGCACTGTATTATAGAAGGAGCATCTGCCTGTTTCTTGATTTTAAATACGCCTTTACTCAATCTTTCTAGGTAGTTTTTTGAAAGAAGGGAAAGTACATTTTTCATTTGCTTAGGAATTTGTGTGAGGCATGTCCAGGAATTTATTTCTGAGTGCAGGGCTATTCACTGCTTTTTCTGTCAGAAACGTATCAGAAAGTGCCATAGACTAATTTTCCAGTTTCTGCAATAAACAGATTTATTCTCTGGATTGCCTTTTATAATAAATCACCCTTATTGTGTCTTTTGAATGGAACACTTTTTCTTGCTCTTTTTGGCTTTGTGGTTTGTTCTGACTTCTTATCCTGCTTTTGTTAGCTCCTTTCACTTCCTCTGTCTTTCTAATCGAATTTCAGAACAAGCGATAGATTTTTATTAGTCATTATCCCCCGACAGAGGGAAACGAAGCATGGGGCTGATTTGGTATGACTTGCTGCTTCAGTTGGGAGAAAGGGCAAAGTCTCTGTAACCAAAGGATGAGAAATCAATTCTTGACTGAACTGCTGTTTTGTGACAGGAGATATTTATGTACCCTTAAGGATAGTAAAATTGCATATGTAGGGCTCAGTCTAGTCTTCTAGTTTCTGATTTGATCCTCAGAACTCTCTCATTCCCAACAATTCCTGCTTTCTCCATACTGCATATTAATCTGAAAACTAAGAATTCATTAACTTGAACTCGGAGTAATGCACAATTTCCAGTTGTGATGGCTTTTTGTGAGCTCCTCCTATGCATCTGGATAAGAAAGTCCTTTAGCCTACAAAGACCAGTGTTAGCATCTTTCTGTAACAAAAAGAAAGTTGTGAAAGAAACTGAAGGGAAAGAGAGCTTGCCTTATATACATGGGCTGCTGGACAGAACTAATATTTGCTGTCAGTAAAGTTTAGCTTTAATGGGGATCTAGCATACAACATAGTAACCTTCCCTCACTTTTGTTCTCTCAGTTTTCTGCCTTTGGAATGGGACAACCCACTGCAGCAACTCACCGTGGGACAACTCGTCACGGGACAATTTAACAATTCAATTTAATTATTTAAAATAAAAAGTTGTTTTAATTGTTGTCATGCATGTTTCATTCTGTCCCTCCTTTTGCATCCTTTAATGATTCCATTCCACGATTTCTTTGATATTAGTGTAACTCTTGTCCCATGGTGACTTGGCCCGCAGTGAGTTGGCTGTGGCAAGTTGTCCCACAGTGAGTTGGCCATGGCAAGTTGACCATGAGAAGCTTCAACAATGAAGCTTCTTGGATGAGAAGCAAATATCTTCTTCCTTAAGGAAAAAAACATAATCCAACTGTCTTTTGAAAAAAACACCTTTGAGACAACCATGACACCTAGATGACTGAGAATCTCCATAGACGCGAATATTTTAACAACTGAAATCTGGTCTTTTGTAGTTATTTATTTATTTATTGCAAAAATTAGATCCTTTTTAAAAGTAATTGATATATTTTTATCTGTCCTAATTTTAAGTTGAAACAATATAATGTTTTTGGTACAATTGTCATAATTTTAACCCTTGGATTAATTGCAGTCATATTTTGGAGTCTGCTTCTGTTTTGATTGGAAACACTGGATCGGATCAGCTTTAAATAGTGACTTTAGATTTCTGTTGTATCCATTGTAGGATAAGAGCTGTGTTAATCTATCTCAGGGTTAGGCAAACTGTGGCCCCCATGAGTCAAATCCTGCCTCCTAACCATTAACTACAGTCTGTGAACTGAGAAAGTAGGAGAGGGCAAACGACAGACCGCAAGGCCCAGCCTCAGTCAAGCTGAGGGCATTTTAGGCAGTGATGGCCTTGGCTTGTGGAGTAGCCAGCTACTGTTACAGAAGCAGAGGTGGAAGGATGAACTCTGTCCCTTTACACAAAATGTTTGATGACCTCTGATTTAAAAATTCAGGAGGAATCTGTTAACATACTGAAGCTCCTGAAAGTCTTTTTTGTCTGAAAAGATGCTACCAGATGTCTTCTAATTTTTAGATTTTTATTGATATCTGTTCTGTGATAGATATAGATATGTATCTATTGAAAACAACTTGATGGCATATAATCAGTTGGTATCGCCGAAATAATTTGGGAAGAAATTGTCATTAACTATCTTACGGAAGGAAATCTTAATAATTGTATGACATTTGTCATGTAAATAATCAGTTATAGGAACCTGGCTCTTGGTGAAGATTGTAAAATGCTTGCAAATGTCTTTTCACTGTATTTCATCTTTTCATTTCTAGGGACCATAAAGAGACAGATGGGGTGCAGGACCTAGTGCTAAGGTATTCCGATAACGGCTCTTCTCTGCTGCTTTCCTTCATACTGAAAACTCAACGTCTGTCCGTGTAACTTAGTCGCCAATTAAATTTTCTGAGTATTTTGGAAAATCATGGGGATTGGCAAAAACACTACTTCGAAATCTGTAGAAACTGGAAACCCAGCAGAGGCCAGATATGAGGATGAAGCCAAGCACACTGCTTTTTTTACGTTGCCAGTAAGTTAATGTTTAGAAATGTTAATTTGCTTTTGGTAGTATTGTGAGGCTGGTGCATTTCATCTGTGTAGTCTTCCTTAGAAGTCATGTTGGATTACGCTCTAGTTCTCCAAAAAGGGAGTCATGGAAATAAATTTTTACATGGCAGAACTTTGAAATCAGCATAGATAAGTAGTGTCTTGTGATGTGCTTTTCACTGATGTCACAATCCCTTTCTGACAGGTGCTTCCTCTGAAAGCTTTTGAAGGAGTTTTGAAGGAGGACAGTGTTATAAAAGCTGTCTGGGTAAATCAGATCTATTGAAGGATAGAGTTGAGTGTATTTTTGAGCAGGAGGAGTTAAAAGAAACAACCATTCCAATCTTATAAAATTAATTTGACAACTGCTTATGAATGACTTATTTTGTTCAGAAAACTGATGCAATAGGGTTGGCTAATTGCTCAAGTGACTACAGTCTTATCTATCTGAATGCATTAGATGAGATTAAAAAGATTGCTTCCAGCTATTCCTAAGGATGTTACAAAGCTTCTTTGAAGGACTGCAATTCATTGAAGGTCATTTGAGTACTGGTTGCCTTACCACAGATTATCCTAGAGATGAAAATGATACAGAAATGCATTATTCAAATCCTTTAGGGCAGGGGTTCCCAACTAGGGGTGCGAGATGATATTCCAGGGGGTGCGAAAACTTGGGTTTAGAAGTTTCAAAATTATAGTTTATATGCATAATTCATTAAAGGGTGCGAGAATCTATCAGAAGCATTCTAGGGGTGCGGGGTGTAGAAAAGGTTGGGAGCCATTGCTTTAGGGAATGGAGCAGCTAAAAATGGCAAGGATATAAAGGTGTAAATTTATGCATCATGTTTAAGAATTAAAAATAAAACACTTGCATAACATAAAAAGTAAGGTAATCCAATAAAAAATACTGTGCTTTGGGTGAAAGGCTCATGATAAAAAGAATCTGTGTTTAGTATAGATACATATCTGCTTATTTAGTACTTTATATATAATTTCAAAACTACACATTATATTGAAATTATTCATTTGTCAAATTTAGAATCTACATTATAATTGTAGTTACATACAATTGTTTTTCTAAAAATATTTTTTAAAATAATAAACATCTTGGTTTTATTAATCCGTATTCAGTTAACTTTGGATGCAACAGACAAAATCTGATTTAATTCTTCACTCCAAATAACAGAGAAGTTTGGACAGTTTCTCTCTAATTTTGGGAAATTTACATTTTCAGATTTTTATTTTTGACTGATACTTCTTACCCCCAATTAGTCAGCTAAGTCAAAAATCTTCTGTACTTTATGTTCTGTATTTTAGTTTATATTCTCTATAATTATTTTAGAGTATTACTATTAATTAATAATTATAATTATTTTTTCTTAGGTTGTAATAAGTGGAGGAGCAACTTCAAGTGGCGATCAAGATACAGAAGACACAGAACTCATGGCAATCTATACGACAGAAAATGGAATTGCAGAAAAGGTACCTTAAAAAGTTGATTAAATTTAACATCTTGATAAAAATGAACTGTTATAATTCATTTGTACATTTGCTCAGTTTGGCTCTGAACAAAGCCCGATGGAGTTCTTCACCAGTTCAAACTGATTTCTGTTGAATGGAATCATTAAAGGAGGGCCAAAATTACTATTCTAAGGCTATATGGCTTAGTAAAATTAGATTTGGAGATAGATGAAAACAGATGAAGGCACTCCCAATCTTTTCTCAACCAGGGCAAGAAAAAAAAATCTATAAGACTGCAGGCTCTGATAAACTTCAGAAGGAAGTGAATCAGAGCCTTTTGGCTGATAATAATGAAAAACAAAGCTGACTCATTCAGCCTTGTTTATCGTAAAATGTATGTTTGTTATATCTTGGTTTGCTGGGAAAATATCCAGTAATGGTGTCCTCTTATCATACAAAAACTTTATCAAGCAGATGAAGCTAATGCAGTCAAAGACTGCTTCTGCCCTTGGGCCCCAGTAGTCATGAATCACAAGATTGTTGTGGTTTCTGCTGTAGCAAATTGGATGCCAGCAGTGCCCTTGGTTGGATTCTTCACATTCTGTAATCTCCACCTCCATGAGGTTATAAAACCTTCAAAGGTTTTTCAGTCTACTCCCTTAAGTTCTGGTATTTATGACAGAGATTCTTGTCTTCTGTAAAAGCTTCAAGGCCATGACTCTTGTAATACCTTTAAAGTCAGGGGTTCTCATTCTTGGCAGCTTAAAGATGTGTGGACTTCGACTCCCAGAATTCCCCAGCCAGCAAGGCTGACTGGGGAATTCTGGGAGTTGGGGTCCACACAACTAAAAGCTGCCAGGATTGAGAAACACTGATCTAAGCAGCTGTGTGATCTAGCCTAAATCTTCTGAAAAGGTAAATCCAATATTGCCACATTTAGAATGTTGCAAAGTTTAGAATATTTCAGGAAAGTGTAGGAAGCAAACAAGTTAAAAAATTAAATTTCATGGAAGTCTTCTGGGACTTCAAAAATCTCTCCCCTGCGCTCCTCCCTCCCCCAATACCTTATTTTTTAAAGGATAAATATGATTAGGATTTTAAATCCTTTTCACAATTACAAAGGGTTCACCTGACTTGTATAATTTGACTCACTTAACCCATTATCCTGACTAAGATGCCATGTAACATTTCAAGAGTCATCATTATTTGACTTTCAAGATCAGATTGCTTCCTATGAGATTGGCAGATGTTTTGTGTCAACAGAATTCAGTTTCAAGTGGATTGCACAACTTTAATGTGCAAAGTTGTAATTGAAAATTTTCAAGTTGTATATTCTAGGAAACATCCAAATGCTGAAATTAGAAGGTCAAGTGGTGGGGGGGGAAGTTTACATTTAAAATAATGAGATTTTGGGATTTATTTTTGAATTAGGGCAAAGTATGTTTAGTTCTTTACCTCCATTCATTTTTCAAATTCTGCTTTGTGTTTTTGATCCTCAGTCAGGTAGAATATCTTGTAGAAGAGTTACCACTTTCCACACATGATCACACGGTCTTCAACCATAGTCCTGATCATCTTAGCTTTGAGAGCAGGGACGGTGCTAAACAGAACTTCTCAAAGTAGTGACTGAATTCATGCATTGCCATATGACAGAATAGGTTGGCCACCATTTTTTTAAAAAATAATTTTTTTTACAAAGAACAAAAACTAACAAAGTGCAAAAGAAGCAAAAAAGAAAGAAAAAAAAAAGCAAAAGTGCAGAAGAATAAAAACAAGTAGAAAGGCCATCTAATCCAACTCTCTGCTTGATGGAGGAATGTCTAAAGCATTTTAGCAGATGACTTTTTCGATGAAGAGGAACATACCATTTCTTGAGGCAGCCTATTCCACAGTTTGACAGTCCTTACCATGAGGAAATGTCTCCAAATATCTAACCTGAATCTCCTTTACTGTTATTTGAATGCAATTGCCTATGTTCATGCAATCATTAAGCCCTAAATCGTGATTTTTCAAAGTGCAGTGTCTGTGTCCTGGTATCATATTGAGTCAAACCCAAACATACAGCTATTTCCTGGGCTCAAGTTCCTCCCAGATAAAGTTGCACCTTGCAGTGTAGGTTTTCTGTAAGCTCTGTTGTACACATTCTCCTAACTCTTTTGAAAACATGGTCTTCAGAGGAGGTGAGAGATCTAAAGTTTGAGTTTAGCTGTTTCCTGTAGGAATCCATTGGCATCAGCTATTTCCGAGTGGGACCCACTGATACCATGGCACTACTGTTGGGTTCTGATGCCTGAAATGACCTCAGCTACAGTGATAGCTTCAGAACATGCTCTCTTGTGAAATAAAAATTACTCCTTTGTTTGATTTTCTGTTAATCCATTTGATAATGAACGCAGCATATACATATGAGGAAATAGGAGGAGGAAGCTGCATGTGCTTAAATCATATGGACCTATGGTTTAGAGCTTAAGAAGTCACGTTTGAAAACAAGATACTCTGCAATCGTATGGATTAAGTCAGCACTTTTGTTATATAAACCAAAGTTTCAGCAAAATCTGAAACTGCTAAATTAAACAAATCTTTTCCCCCCAAGGGCTACTGCCAATAAAAGGTGTTAAGTGTTCCTATTTTCACAGCCCTTAAATAACAAAATTTTAAACCATTTATATGAAAATGGCACCATAGCCTATGCAAAGCAATGGCCTTTTGAGATTTGCAATGAATATTTATTTTGGTCTTTAAATCTCAACGTGCAACACACAAAGCTTACGCTTTTTCATTTTGTGAGCTTCATATTATTTTCTTTGCTCTTTTTTCTTTATCCATCTGCTTTTCCTCTTTAGAAGTGTACTGCATTAGATAAGTAATCAATTGCTTGCATTAGAGATTAATAACTTCATTATTAAAGAGTGAACCACTCTCCACTTTTGGACAAAGAATTGTGTGTCTTCCTTGCTGACCTTTCCTATTCACTGCTTATTTATCTTCAACATTGTTCCTCATATATTTAATTTGACCTCATGTAGCTTTTGGAAACTATTACTTTCAATCTAAAGCCTTAGTAAACCTTGAACTTGAAAAATCCCAGGAACTAATTGCAGAAAAACAATGCCTTGGGTCTTCCTTTATAGAAGTGAAGGGAAGGTACTCTACCAAGTCAGATCGTTTCGGTCAGTATTGGCCATGCCAGCCTGTAACTTTCCACTTAACAACTGCTTCATTTAACAACTGCAGCTGGAACTGATGTCTTAAGTCGTTGTGGTCATATGAAGTTGCACTTAACTAACTCAGTGTGTAGCAACTTAGTTACAGCTTCCAACTGTGGTTGCTGAGTGAGGGTTAACTGTATGTGTAAAGCAGATCTCGCACAAATTTAATCTTCATCCTCGGTTTTATTATATTTGATTGCTGTGTAGTTGTTTGTCATAATTCTTTTGAATATTTATGAGACCTAAAAGAACCTGAAAAAGAACTCTAAACTCAGATTTGCCATATAAGTGTTTATCATACTTTACACCTCATTGTCTTCCCTAAACTCTGAATCTGTTCCAGCCATGATGTGATTGACATGAGGCACATGGCATTTTTCTTACATCAACAGAATTATAGGTTGTAAATTATGGGAAGTATTTGTGTCCAATTTGGAGGCCCTTAAGGATTCAGACAGATTGGAGGAGGTTCAGAGAGTGTCCAGGGGATTGGGAACTCTAGTCCTATGCAGAGAGCTTAAGGAAAGTGGTTGTGTCTGGTCCTGAGAAGAGAATGTGGCTGTATGATAGCATACTTTAGTAATATTCCACATTATCTATCTATATGAAGATCAGAGTTGAATTAGTACTAAATGGTCTCTTCCACGCCTAGGGTTATGTTTCTAGCAAAGCCATATATATTGAAATAAATGAAAGCTTATTAGAAAACAGTAGAGTATTGTCATAAATCATGGAGTCTGGATCTCTTATGCAAGTGTAATCTTTCTTTTTTTCCAGAAAATATCCCTTAACTTCTAATCTACCATCTACATTTCTTTGTGTAAACAGTTGGGCACGACAATCTTTTTTTGGCACAAGATGTGTGGTGATTATATCATAGGAACAGAATAATGCTTTGCTTATATGTAAAGGCAGAGGTTGGTTACGTTAAAGAGACGGTGCCCATGTAGTTTGGCTGATTACTAGAAAAATAAAAGGGTTGTTTTTTTTTGCTGTGTGAACTGATAGTGCTTTGCAGCAGGCCACAGGACTTCTCAGGCGTATCCCAGTAACATATTAATAGACTGTTGTATTAAATGGTGGCTAATTTAATGGTTGACAGAGTTCTCTGGCAGAAACCCTTGACAGCAGTGGAAACTCAGACGCACAAAGAACAGACATGATCTACACAATTGAGGATGTTCCGCCCTGGTATCTCTGCATATTCTTGGGGTTACAGGTACAATTGTTCCAATATATTTTTCATTGAAATGCTAATGAGCAGTTAAGTCAGAATTTAATTTTAAAGTATTGTTTTTAGAATTACTTAGCAGGGACCTCATGGGAATGACACTTTCACAGGACTCGTGTTTGGCAGGGTAATTCAGGCAGCAAAGAACTATAGATAATTTATTCCTGGTTTCCTTCTCTGTTGTTCTGAACAGAAATGTGTGGGGTCTATCAGAATGAGGTGGTGATGTTTCTGGCCATAGTATTTTCTTCTTGAACAAATAATTTCTGCATCACTATATGAAGGCACACCAGGTTATTTCAAAAAACATTTCCAAGAGGGCCTGAATTCTGAAATTATTTAGGAATGCAAACTGTACCCCCTACATTTTTTGTACTTGGGAACTCCACTGGGGTACCCAATTGTGCAGTCTTCACAGTTTTGCAGCCAGAATGCTTGTCTTCTAGCAGGGAGGGGATGTGTCTGGATGCCCTGAAGAGCAACTAGATGGAAGGGAGACTTTAAGCATGGATACATTCCATGAGAATATTCTCCTGCCCAGTTCTTGAATAGAATGAAGGGGTCATATGTGAGCATGTTAAATAAATAATCCTCTAACAAATCTTTCCATTTTAGTGGGCTTGTACAGCTCAGCTTCCTACTGATCTTATACTCTGGAAATTAGTGAGACGTTATGCTGTGATATGCTGGAACTGGCTTATACCAGCCTGCATTGGTGGATGTTAAATTTTCTGCAATTTTGTAAGCCGATTGAGTGCAGAGTGAGCCAAGATGCTTAGTGCACTGTTCAGCTGTCCAGCAGTTAGCAGCCTGGCTTGACAGTGGCAATGGAGCCAGCAGAGATGGTTGTTCAGCACTTATCAGTACAAACTAGAGGTTGCCTTTGATTAAAGGTTTTGGTTTGCCACACTAAGAAAATTGCTGAATGTGAGAATAGGTTCTTCTGGTGAGAAGAATTCAAGAGAATAAAATTGGGGCTTTTCATGTTTCGTGCAGTATCAATATGCAGATTGGAAACTGCTTCATAGAAAGGTTAACACTTTTGATCCACCCAATCTAAATTGTTTACTTTTGACTACCAAAGAGTTTGTTCAAACTCTGCTGTCTGAGATCATTTTAATAAGTATGAGATGTTGATTCTTCAGCACAGAGTCTGAATCCGTAACTGAGTTGTGGTCTCCTCCCTAACATCTGCCGGATTCTCCCCAATGGAATTTAGTTAGTATTAGGAAACCTGATGGCATATCACTAGTTTTTATTTTGGACTGCCATTTTCTAAAACCTTAACTGAGATCATCAAAGTGTGTTTCTTTATTAAGATAATGGTCATTTTCTAATGGATAAAACTATCCATACAGAATTATTAATTGTCTTGGTTTAATCGTAGTGGTATTGCAAACATAGGGAAAGCAATTTACACAGGTGCACACACACACACAATTAAAAAATAACCCTTTGTTCTTTGCAGCACTACCTGACCTGTTTCAGTGGCACTATAGCAGTGCCCTTCTTGCTAGCAGAGGCCATGTGTGTTGGATTTGATCAGTGGGCCACCAGCCAGTTGATCGGGACCATATTTTTCTGTGTTGGAATCACAACTTTGTTGCAAACAACGTTTGGATGCAGGTGAGTTACTCTTTGGTGATGCGTTAACTGCATATAACTTTTCCCATGAACTCTGGGCACTAATGCTGATGAACAGCATTATGTCTTGATTAAAGGCATAATACTTTGCCTGGGGAGAACCAGTTTCAGGTCATCTTTCAATTGTGAGGCTCCATTCCTAGGGTGGTTATGAGGTTTGAAATAAGGGAGAGGTCTGTGTAAATGTCCTTTAATTGCTATAGAAAGGATGGATATAAACATAAAAAATAGATAATAATATGCTGGCAAAGATGATAGGAGTTGAAGCCTATGTTGTCTGGCAGATTGTGACTAGCTGCGAGGAATGAATGTTCAGAAAGCTCCTTCAGAGTGGTGATGGAAGTATTTAGCTTATGTAAACAAATTTAAAAGAAAAATTGTCTAATTTATATTTCAAAATTTCAACTTGCCAACTAGCATTTGTTCAAAGCATAATAATTCAGTAATAATTAAACAGTTCAGGAAACAGGCAGATAATGTGCAAAATTAAAAACAGTCAAATTTGAGTCTGATAATAAAATGAAAAACATTGCTTAAATTATACAAGTGAGTTGAATTAGTGCCTAAATTAATTAGCAGCTGCTCCCCAAAGTCTCAGCCAGAAAACTTTTCTTATCCCTGGAGCCTGAAATCCTTCCAGCAGAGATTAGAAAGACTGAAGACACTTTTATGCTCCAGGTACCTTTCATTTCCATGTAATGATCAGCCCAAGCACTCTTTCAGCACAGATAATAGGATCAATACATTACTGTACAGGCGCTTACTTCTGGCAAAAGCCACCTCAGAGTGAACAGTGGGTGTACTGAACAACAGCTTCCAAAAAAGGTTGGAAAATTGGGTGCAGTCATATGATGATCCATTTAAAGACCATCATGGCTTACAAGTAAAGTTGCTGGCTCAGTTATGGTTGTAAGTCAAGGACTACCTGTATATTATAAACTTGATATTAGGAAACTAATGATCAAAGCAAAATAAGTTTTTGATTTTCTCTAGTATTAAAACCATAGAATTTTCCATTCAGTTATAATATTCTGTTATTGTAGGGGAAAAAAAACACTTTTCACCTTTGTACAAGGGCCAAAGTATGTTAAGTACCTACATCTATATTATGTTTATTCTAGGCAGAATATTAAAAAATAACATGGAAAAATAACAAAAGGATGAACACAGTCATATTTTACTTTAGGTCTAGCCCCTCCAAATATGATTTTATTTTGAAGCCTTTCTTTCAAAAAAATATGGAGTATATTTACCTACGAAAGAGAATATCGGGTGGGGAATGATAACTCAGTAGGATAAAAAAGGCAGGCCGGTTTAAATAAACTAGTGAAGATTATTGAAGGATACCAGCCCAAAGAAAACCTCCAGGATTTGTTCAATATCTTTCTAAGTTTCCTGGATTAGAACAGGCAGTCTGAAAAACAGGATCTTGTGAAAGAAACGAAGTGCGTACTTTTGCTTGCCCCTAAGATTTCTGAGTTGGTCCTTTTTACCAACCAAGGTGATGGTACAAAAACCAGAAAGCCAATAAAGGTTGTTACGAATTGACCCAGTGAGGACCCAGATTGTTGGGGGAGCAACATGCTGACTCTGAAGCACTGAAGCGGTATATAAGTCTAAGTGCTATATATAAAGTCTTCATGAAAATGGAAGCCAGAAAAGAGAGCATCCTTTTTGCTTTTTAAATCATTATCAGTTAAGTATTGTTACTGATAACTAGCAGTCTCCTCATACTAAAAGAAGAAAGGTGTGCCAAGGGTCACCAAAGCTCTCCCTAGTTCATCATTCTGTTCCTAAAAAGAGCCATACAGGTTCTGGTGAACACCTACCTCTCTACTCCTTATTACCAGAAATGTATACAAGAGGACACCTGTTGTAGAAATTAGATGGTTTCTTTTTGAATTGTTTTGTTAAGCAAATTCTGTTTGGTTTGATAAAGGATCAAGCATATCATTCTGGAATAATTTTGGAAAAGAAAGAACAGTCTGATTTTACAAATATTTTGCAAATATTTTCAGCATGCTGTCTGAAGAATTTTGGGGGTTGAACCCACACATCCTAAAGTTGTGAAGCTTGAAACAGGCTGAAATCAATCGTTTAGGGAGTGATCGTGCAAGAAGGAGAGTTTCCTTGCAAAAAGTAGAGCTTTACACTCGTCTTTCTTTCTCTGTAGATGTGCTTGTAAGGATCCTGTGATTACGCAATGGTTATTTAATTATTTGATCATTCCGGATGCACTCCTTCTTTTAAAACCTTTTTACTATTATGAGCCTTTGCAAAGCATTTTAATATGAAAGTCAAAAATGTATGTCTCTCACCCATCTTGTCTGTTAAGTGAGATGATTTTGCCCCTCCAAAAAACAGTTGTAATTATGAAAGAAGATCAGCTGTATCCAAAATAATCAAATAAACAAATGATAAAGTGAACAAAATAAATTTAGGCTACAAAACTGAAAAATGTGTGTCAGCTGTAGCCTCATTTTCACTGTAGCCAGACAAAATTTGACTGTAGTATTGATGCTAGACAAAATTATGCTGCCCGACATGGCGATGTATCCTTGGCATTCCAGTGCCACAGATCTTGATCTGTGACCTTATAGGAGCTGCCAATTTTCCCCCAAAAGGAATGAAAGGACACAGGAAAAAAATTGTACCCTTTGATTTCTGCTGCTTGCATGTTTTATTGGCCAATAAACCTTGATTCTAATCTGCCATACTAGAACAGATTGAGTCATGAAGAAAGGAAAAGAGTGGAGTAAAGGATTCTATGTTGTGCACTGTTGGGACAGTTTCTGTGGATTCTTGTGGAAGGAGGGATCCATGTAAGATGGAGTTTTGTCATTTTAAGACTGTGAATATAAGAAAAGCCAGAGAAGTTAAGGGAAATTTATGGCCAGCATTGCTTTCTGTTTATGCTCTCTGCCTTACCAGAGTTAGCCAGACAGCCTTACTATCTGGAAGAATGCAGGAAAAAAGGTAATCCCAAAACTGTCCAGGACTAAGGTATTTAGGATTCCCTAGATTAAAACTAAGAACTAGCTTATGCCCTTGGAGTGATTTATAATAAATTACTATTACTGTCTGTCCCATTCACTGTTATCATTTAAATCAGGGGTCTCCAGACTTGGCAGCGTTAAGACTTGTGGGCTACAGTTCCCAGAATTGTTCAACTCCCAATGCTAGCTGGGGAATTCTGGGAGTTGAAGTCAACAAGTCTTAAAGTTGCCCAGTTTGGAGCCCCCTGGTTTAGATAAAGAGGGAGGTCTCTGTTTCATTGATGAGATTGTTCTCCTAAAGGCCTTTATGACTTTTCAAAAACCATCAAATTAGTCCACACAGAGCCTGACGTCAACTCTTTTCCTTGTTCTCTTTGTTGGTTTTTGTGATTTGGTCAACCGTAGAATAACTCTTTAATTTTTCATTGTTTATATTGCTTGGGCACTATAATAAATTTAGATGAATTAGATTTGGAAAGATGAATTTAAATAACTAGTAAAAATAACATTGAACGGGTGACTCTTCTTGCATGCTGTGGCAGTGTTTTAAATGAGGGTGTTTGCCTCTTTCAGGTTACCCTTGTTTCAGGCCAGTGCTTTTGCGTTCTTGGCTCCCGCTAGAGCCATCCTCTCTCTGGACAAATGGAAGTGTAATAACACAGGTGAGCAACCATCCTTTCCCTCTGTGCCTTTGGTCATTCAGGGCAAAAACTGAAACGGAGGAAAACTACTTTTTTTAGGCTGACTCTGATTTATAATGGTGTTGAGGGCGTCTTGCCTTTATAGAACCTCCAGAATTGTTTACTAATTCTGTAGCTGGTCCAGAAGATCCCTGAAGGAAAGACAGAACAAAAATGGCTTTTTGGTGCAAATTTCAGGGCAGTTCTCTTGGTTTCTCAAGGGACAAGCAACACTCATTCTTCCACAAGAATTTCATTGAAATTGTTCTTGGGAGGAGTTTCTGAAAGTTGGTGGGTGGGGGGAACCTCATTGGCCAATTTACTTATTGAGGCTGCTGGATGGTTTCGCAACACCTTCAAGTTCAGAGACGATAAACAGCCAAGGACAGGGGTAGGCAACCTTGGCTCTTTTATGACTCGTGGACTTCAACTCCCAGAATTCCTGAGCCAGCAGTGCCCCTGGCTAAGGAGGAACAGCAGGAACAGAAAGTTCACAGGGGTTTGGGAATACCTACATATATTTTTGGAGCCCTCAGAGCTTCCTGAATTTAGCTGAATGTTCACATTGAGTGTCAAGGATTCAGAAATGGAAAATACAGGAGATCTAAATTGCATTCTATAAAATAGGATATATACACTCCAGCCTTTATAAACTAGGAGAAGAAAAGGGGGAAAAAAACCCCTTAATTTTGCATTATTGCTTCACCCACTGGGTGAGCTGTAAATAAATTGCATCAAGTATAATGAACAATAATTAGTGAAGAAAGTTTTATAAACAATTATTTAAGATGGTGTGCTTTTAATCATAATTAGAACTAGCTTGCCTAGTTTAAATATCCTGGGCAAGTTTCAGTCTAACTGTTGACAGACCTGCCTGAATGAAAGGTCCTGAGTGAACACCCTGCAGTTCAGCTGAATCAATATTCCCCTGTCTGTGCTGGATTAGTGCCCACAATCCAGCATGGAAAATGTTGCATTAAACAGGGGCTTCATTATATGCAAATGTAGTCATAAAATAGAATTAGTTCCCAGAATTGAAAGTTAGACCATATATTTTGCTTTCAAACTTTCAAATTTAGTTTTCTATTAATTATTGCCAGATAAGTCTTGCACACATTTAGGTAATTGGAATTTGGCAGATGATTTTGATGATATTAAGAGCAGTTTAGTTGGACTGTTTCCGCAACCTAAGTGCAGAATATAGAAGTAAAAGCCCTTCAGAGGATGACAAGCACTTATTATAAAATAGCAGTGAGGTATTCCAAAAGGAATTGGCTTGCATGAAGAAAAAGTAATCTGTTAATTAGACGTCAGATGGATCAATCCCAATGACTCAAAGCATCATGCCGTAGGTGCTTTGCTTTGAAGTACAGTAATTTGGAATCAGATCAATTTTCTGGTTTCCAAAAATATCAAAGAAAGATTGTGTGAAAAAAATGTGCAGCGATGATGCCGTTAATGTTTGCCTTTTATTCTCCAAGTAATTGGCTTCTGAAAACTCTGTGATTGTTGTCAATTTGCATCATATCATCATAGAGCTGGAAGGCACCTTGGAGGTCTTCTAGCCTGAGTTTTTTTCTAGATCTCTGACATGCTGGTCTCGTGTGGTATCTTTTGTTTTTTTTACCTCTGTAGTATTGTGTTTGATTGGGCCTTTAGTATTTCGTTTTTCAGAATTTTTCCAAGCATCCTGAACTGTTTTCCCCTCTAGGATTTCCATCTGTAGAATCCTTTCTAATATCTCTCTTAATTTGTTGAATTTGGCTCTCTTAAAATCTAAAACACTAGTCCAGGGGTAGGCAACCTCGGCTCTTTTATGACTTGTGGACTTCAACTCCCAGAATTCTTGAGCCAGCATACCTGGCTCAGGAATTCTGGGAGTTGAAGTCCACGAGTCATAAAACAGCCAAGGTTACCTACCCCTGGACTAGTCGGACTTCGTTCAGTTCCCCGTGGCAGATTCTAGTATGACATAATCACACTCCTTCAAAATTTCTACAACTTCCACTCCCTCCACCATTTCATCCTTATTAGGATTAAGTGCAGTATCCCTTCTCCGCTTTATTTTTCCCCCCAAACTAGACATTTATTTATTTATTTATGAGACTTATATACCGCTTTAAGTGCAAGCACTCTCTAAGCCAGCGGTTCTCAACCTATGGGTCGTGACCCCATTTGGGGTCGATCGACCTCTTTTGTGGGGTCGCCAAACGCGGCGATCCGCCATTTTGTCGCCTCCGGGGGCGCGCCGTGCCTCCGGGGGGGCGGTGCCGCGCACGCGTGCCGCGCATGGGGGTGGTGGCGCGCCTCCGGGGGGCGGCGCCACGCATGCGCGCCGCGCGTGGGGCGGCGGCGCGCCTCTGGGGGGCGGCGCCGTGCATGCGTGCCGTGCATGGGGGCGGCGGCGCGCCTCCGGGGGGCGGCGCAGCGCATGCGTGCTGCGCATGGGGGCGGCGCCGTGCCTCCGGGGGCGCCGCCGCGCATGCGCGCTACGCGTGCGGGTGGCGCCGCGCGTGCACGCCGTGTGCGGGGGCCCGCCCCCATGCGCGCCGTGCGCGGGGGGCACCGCGCATGCACGCCGCGCGGGGCCCCACCCCCATGCGCGCCGCGCATGCGCATAATGTTTGTGTGACGGGGGTCGCCGTCACACAAACGTTGAGAACCGCTGCTCTAAGCGGTGTACACCAGTAAGCAATGTATATATATATTTACATTGCCCCCAACAATCTGGGTCCTCATTTCCCAGAGAAATCTTATTTTGCATCTAGAATATCAGCTTTTGAAATACCAGGTTTCAAATATTAAATAAGAGAGAAATGTGTTACTAATTTTCACAGTTATCTTGTTAGGCTGCCAATAGGCAACAGCATGTATAGGCATAATCATATTTTATTTGAGATAGGCCCTAGTATTTTGGCAGTATTCCAGACTCTTTTCCAAATGAGTAGCTGTGAACATGCATGAGTTTCCAAATTTCTAGAAAAAGAGACTTTCAGAGTTAAGGTCAAAAATTCAGATCACGTTCACATATTGTGTTAAGTCATAATGTAGTCCATTTAGTTTTGGCATTTGATGTATTTGCAACCCCAACTATTAGTACATGATAGTTAAATAATAAATCTGACCGGTTGCAACTTCTTTAATAAATAGTGCTTAGTATGATGAATAGCCCAAATGCCTAAAATATGTATTTCTTATAATTGCATCAGTAAAGCTTTCTGGATTCAGACATAGATTTCCTCCCCACCATGTAGAAATTCAGGGTACGGTACAAGGTCAAATAATGTGATTATAGATTTTAATACATCAGGATGGGTGACATTGCTCTTTGCCTTCAGAAAAAGCTAGAAACTTTGTGGAAGTTAATTGGGTAAATAGAGAACATTTTGTTAATAAAGGGATCTCTTGTTCCGTCTTAGAAGCCATCCTCTAAAAAGGAGGCGTCAGACAGGAGCTGTTATTACAGTCTAGCCAGCCAAATTAAGAAGCGACATTTTTGTGACATAACACACCCAAATCACATCTGTGCTGTGAAATCATCCTCCGGATCATCCAAGTGAATCTCTGCCTCTTTGTGCTCACTGGAGGTTGCCCATTCTGGGACAACAGCCCGTTGTAGCAGCACAATGTGTGAATGCTATAAATGCTGCCTTCTGGGACCATTTTTACTTACTACGAGAAAGCCTAGAGTGATGGATTAGAAGGAACCTATCCATTGAGAAGAAGGTAGCCAAAGAGACAAACTCAACTGGTGGAAGGAAAATTAAGTTAGGGAAAAGTCAGGCACTTAGAGCTGGCTAAGCAAAGGCCCTCAATTCATCCTTGATCTTTCTCCTTAACCTCATGGAATGCAGAGGTCTCCTCTGGCTGAATAGATTTCTCAAACTCATTTATTGGGGGGTTTCTATGAGAACCTGAGTAAGCAGGAAATACCTTCCTGGGGGGGGGGTCATCATTTTGAATTTGCGCCTCCTTTGTCCCCTCTGCTGCCCCTCGCAAAATATATTTCCCTGCGTTCATTAGAATTTGGTCAACTAACCTTTTAGTCAAAACCCAGGAGAGAGGGGATTAAAAAGATCAAACAAGACCAGGAAGTGATATTCTATAGTTCACAAAAAATAAGGGCAATTCACAATCTTGCATAAGACAATTCATAAAACATTAAACATGGCACAATGTGGTTTGCTACCAGTTAGTTCGGATTTACTATTCGTGATTGTAATGTGGGAGCAGCAACAAGCTATTTATCTGCATGTAACAGTTACTATTTTAAAATACTAAAGAAGAGATAGGGGTCTTTTGCTTTACCTAAGAATAAGCAAGACAATAAATGTGTTCCTAACACTATTATAAAAAGTACATTTTATCAGTACGTGCTACAGCTTCAGTTACCACCATCTCACCATCTCCATAGGGTTTTTTTATATATATTTGACCTTCGGTGGCTGTGGGGAAGCGGTTAAATTGGCTAGCAGAATGGATTTTTCTATATATAAAATATACCATGTATATATGATCAGTGGCAGTAGGGGGTCACGTAGGAGAAGAAGCTAACTTTTTGTGTTTATTAAAGCCGTTTATTTTGCCATAACGAGAGGTATTTCTTTTTAACCTTCCAAGCTGTAATGGCTACAAATGGAACTTCGGAGCTGCTGCACACAGAACATATCTGGTACCCCAGAATACGAGAGGTAACTTGCATAATGTATTCGGCACCGTGTCCTCTCTTGGGCACTTCTCCAGATGGCTGACTCTCTCTGATTTCCTAAAATCTCTTCATGTACGGAGTTTAAACTTGCCTGTCCTTTTCTTTGTGATTGCAAAGTTTCCAACTGCATGAGATCCAATCCGTGATTGCTGAGGATATGCTCTTCGTGCTAAGTAGTGATTATTCTCTGTTTCATGGCATGCAAGTGCTTCTCATCAGTAATATGTGCAATAACGGAATAACTGTTAAGAGGCTGCTGGGTCTCACTCTATGTAGCAGTACAGTCAAAGGCTTATAGAGAGAATAATCTACACTGCCTTAACTGTATTTTTGCTCCAGAAAGCCACGCCGAGTTAGAAGCACTGCCTTGCTTTCTGCAGATTATTTATTGGTCTTGCTGCTCTATTTCTCTTTCCCACCTGACTCCCAATATTTTAGGTGTTCTTGGTCCTTATGAATCTAGAACAATTAATAATAATAAAATATAGATCCAGTACACACCTATGACATGGAACTTTTCACCCATCCCATTGTTTTGGGCTGCCAGTTGTTCCTCAATTTAAAACATCCCCTCTCTCTTCCCCATCTTCAAACCATAGCTCCATCCTGCCAAGAGGCCTGCAGCCAAGGGGGCTGGCAGTCTCCTGAGACCACTGCGCTGCTCTATGCCAGCTTCTAAAGAGCACGTGTGACCAAATGCATCATACACTCTGCCCCTAGGAGCTAAGAGCATCACCTTCGCGGCATCACCAGCCCCTGCCGGTTCGATCTGAGAACTTGAAAGGTTAGCTTGGAACCCAGGTCTTCCTGTATGACCGTGTGATGTGCTATTAACACAACTGCCGGATTGGTCTAATGACCCCGTTGTGTGTTACAACCTAAGCTTTGTGCTTAAGCAGTAAGGAGTGGAGGAGGTTAGTAGTCCTTCAGTTGAATCATCTTCTGGTGATAACATAGCATGCACCTCTGAACTTCAGATATTCTTGAGTCTGGAAAACTTGCTGCTTAAGCACTCTCTTGCATAACACATGCCATTGCCCAGTTCTGCCTAGTCACTTGATTTTTTGACTTGCAGTTCATGACCCGATTCCAAAATCTCTGCAGAAATATAAAACCTTCTCTGTAAAAAAAAAAAAAAAAAAGAAAGAAACAACTGGAAAGAAGGGGAGGAATCTAATTAAGGCTTCTCTCTTTTCTCTGTGTTCAGATCCAAGGTGCTATTATCATGTCTTCTTTGATAGAAGTGGTGATTGGATTCCTGGGCCTGCCCGGAGCACTCTTGCGATACATTGGCCCTCTGACTATTACACCCACGGTAGCTCTCATTGGGCTCTCTGGGTTCCAGGCTGCAGGGGAGAGAGCAGGCAAACACTGGGGCATAGCCATGCTGTAAGTATGCTTGGTCATCCAGCTGTCAATATTGTACAGGTGTCACTTGATAACCTGAGCAGGAGAATGTCAGTATCACTGTGGAAGGTGGCCTTTTGCCCACTTAGGCCACTCTCCAAAAACAGTGTATCTTGTAAATAGGCCATCCTTGGTATGATGCCAATACTCCATTTTTAAATCGCTTTTGGAGAGAAAAATTACATAGCAATAACAGAAGAGGTAAGGATGCAAATTGAAAGATGGTAAAAGGAAACAATGCCATCCAGGTTACTGGCCCGCAGAGGTCCCAGCAAAATGCAGTATTTAAAATCCAGAAAGGAGAACCAGGATCTTGGCTGCTAAAGTTATCTTAGGATAAGTGTTCCATAAGGATCAATTACATTTAATATTTGTGCTCTCCTCTTTATGGGATTCAAAGGCACCGTGCATTCCAAATGTCACTTGGTGCGCAGTAGGGTTGGCGCTAATTCAACAATACACACTTTCTATAGCTCCTCCTGGTAATTGTGCTACCAGTCATGCGTAAGAATATGTAATAGCAGAACCTAATCTGGTGATTGCTTAGGTGGCTACAATCCCTTTTGCAGCAGAGGAAAACACTTAGCTGTAGAACATAGAACAATAGAGTTGAAAGGGACCTTGGAATTCTTTTAATTCCAATCCCCTGCTCAAGCAGGAGACCCCATGCCATAGCAGACAAATGGTTGTCCTTTCTCTTCTGGAAATCTCCAGTGATGGAGTATCAACCATTTCTGGAGGCAAGCCTTATTTGCTTGAGGCAAATAGGTTTGAGGCAGCCTTATTTGCCATCAGGGTTACTGTTATGGAACTCTGTGTCCCTGATATAACTATTTTTACTTGAATGATTCCTTTAGCTAAATGCACATTATGAAATCCTTTCAAGAAAGAAATCACAGAATCAACCTAGATTTGGGAAAGGCTGTTAATGGTGCAGGAGCATTTGAATGAATCAAATTAGTGTTTGGTTAAACATTATAATTAAAATGCATCACAGTAAATGATGGTGAATAGTAGATAAAATACTTTCTTTGTATTGACTACAGAGGTCATACTGAGCCGCCAATATATTTAGTTTACTTGATTTACTGAACCTTTTCAAGAGTCAAAACAAGTAACAAAACCTTGAAACAGATTAAAACACATTATAAACATAACAGATGAAATAGGGACCCAGCCCTGCTATCCTTTGCCTCAAACCTTGAATAAATTACTCTGCAAAGAAAACACAGTGGAAAAAAATACGTCCTTTGCAGTCCTATCGAGGTGGAGAGGAATTTATTTCACATTTGTTTCATTGATTTTTATCTGTTATACCTGTGAAGATGCTGATGGACTAATCGTAATTCTTCTTCATCTTTTCAGGACTATTTTCTTAGTGCTGTTGTTTTCTCAGTATGCCCGAAATGTCAAATTCCCATTACCCATTTACAAGTCCAAAAAAGGATGGACTGCATATCGTTTGCAGCTTTTTAAAATGTTTCCTGTAAGTAATCTGTATATTGATTATTATCAGCATAGAAGCTTCCGTGTGTTTGTGTGTGTGTGTGTGTGTGTTGTTTTCAAATGCAGAAGAAGAGGTAATTTGTAATTTCATTATAATTATATAACAAAGTCGTTGCTAAGGTAAGCTTTGAGAAAGAATCTAACCCAGAGGTGTCAAACTGCCGGGATATCTGTAATGGGATATCTGTAATCTGGAAACACCATGAGTTTTTCCTTGGCAAGAGTAATAGATAATGTTAAATTCAGTGGATTTTCGATGTGTGGTCCCACTATTCTTTCTTTGAAATCTTTGGTAAGGATTCAGCGCATCTGTTGATTAAGCTCTAGCATATTTTTTAAAAAAATTGCTTCTCATTTGCAGTCGGAGATAACTGACTTTTTTTTTCTGATCAGGGTGCACCATGTGTAATATGACTAGCAATCCCTTAAGTACTTACTTGGAAATTTTCCCAGTTTGGGAAATTGTATGGAAGACCCATTTAAAGTGCAATACTTAACAAAATGCTTCAAGTTTTTCTTTTAATCTGAAAATAATTGTGCTGTGTTAAGTATAAAAACCTCTGTCGTCAAACCATGTCTTCATTTTTATTTTGTTTATTTGTATCCCGCCTTTATTACTTTTACAAATAACTCAAGGCAGTGAACATATTCAGCTTTCCCCACAACAAGAACCCTGTGAGGTATAATGGGCTGAGAGAAGAGGAGTGGCCCAAGGTCACCCAGCTGGCTTTCATGAACAATGCAGGACTGGAACTCGCGTCTCCTGCTTTGTAGCCTGGTGTCTTCACCATTAGCCCAAACGGGCTCTCGTTGCTCGCTATCTTCTTTTAAGTGCCTTCCTGTCCCCCTTGCAGATCATTCTAGCTATTCTGGTTTCTTGGCTGCTGTGTTTCATCTTTACTGTGACAGACGTGTTTCCGCCTGATAACACTAAGTATGGATTCTACGCTCGCACGGATGCCAGGCAAGGGGTTCTCCTAGTAGCTCCATGGTTCAAGATTCCATATCCCTGTAAGTGATGGATTCCTCAGGAGGAGGAATCTCCCTGAATATTTTGCTTTTTGCCTGTGAATCTGAAGATGCCAATTTAGATGAACCGGCCCTGGTCTGATAGTTCATTTTTGTTTTACAAGTATTTGTATAATTGTAAACTCTGAGACTATACAAACGCTGATAAGCTCTGACTTATCCAGTTCCATTCATGAGGAAAGAGCATAATCAAATATTTTTGAATATATATTTGTTTCGTTTACATCTAAACTTTTCTTTGACTGGATAGTCTCTCAGAACTTCCATGGTGCAAGTCAAGCACCTTAGCCTTTATTTGTACTACTGTATACTGATTAGTGCCCATATATGCCCATATTTGTTCATAAAAAGTCTTTCTAATCAGAAGGCACCAGTTTATTGTAGAGATTAACTATCTAGGAATAATCACTTCTGTAGCAAAGTACATTTTTGATCCCCAGTATGGTGAATAACTGTAACTACCTTGTCCCTAGATTACAGAAATTACCTGTCCTGTCATGTAGGGAAGTATTTTACATTTTGAAAGTGCTTTGCTTTTAAAAGAATGAGGAAATCTGTATGTAATGATGATGAACTTCCAGTCTAATAGATCATGTTCTAATTGTCTGCAATCCTGATGGCTCACCAGCATCCGTGGCTGGCATCTTCACAAGCATACTATTTGCTGTGCAGCTGACAGGCTACTGAACAGGAATGGATAGTACTCTTGTGTTTGTAACAGAATTTCTCATTGGACCGTGCCAATGAAATTCCTGAAAAGCCAATTTCTGATAGGCTTTCTGATTTATCCAGGTTAATTTGTAATTGGTCTGATTGGAAGAAGTTTGAAAGGAACTGCATTTGATTGTTCTGTCTTCGAATCAGCTTACTGTGGTTTCTTCATGGGATTGGTGAATTAAGGGCTGTGATGTAAAGATGGAAAACAAGCTTTGTAAACCTTCAGACCCAAATTCAAGAAATGATTTGATCACCTATTTGCAGAAATCCATTTTCATCATCAGTTTATGGCATACTTTGTAGTTGTGGACAGGTATATATTGGAACTATAAAATAGAGTATTGATGCCCAGCTAAAATAACATAAAAGATCCTTTTGACTAGGATATCATGAAATATCAGCAATAGCTGAACACAAGCAGCTATAATATCAGAAGCACAATTTTAAATGGAAAGACCTACAAGTTCTAGCAATCATGTCAAATCATCATGCACAAGTACATAGAGAAGCTTTTGAGATTTATAAAAGTCCCAAGAATTTGACAAGAAGTGAATCTGCAGATAAACAAAACCAGGTTTTTAGCTTTACATCACACCAAAATAAATTAATAAACCCCACGTGGAATCTAAAATAGGTGTTACACAGACAGACTAATCCAGAGCTTCTCAATTATTTTCTGTCATGCCCCCCTAGGAAGAAGAAAACATTTCGCGCCCCCCGCGCGACTGTAAAAATTTTTTTTCTGTACAGAGGACCAATTTCCGGGTCTAAAAGTCACACGGGCAGGTTTGACCAATCCAGGATAGAGCATCATGTCTATCCAATCGGGTCCTTTGCATGTGTCACGTGCGTTGGCGGTCATGTTGTCCTCCGCGTCGGGCTGCCGCTTGCAAGTGAGTCGGATGATCCGATCTAGAAATCCAATATGACAGTATTTGCCGAGGTCAAACGAGCCCCCCTTTACGGAGCCTTGCGCCCCCCCTGGGGGGCGCGCCCCACTATTTGAGAAGCACTGGACTAATCAAACACAAACTCCTTTGGAATTTCTTCAGACCAGACCAATTACAAATTCTCCAGGATAAAGAACCAATTATAATCCATCTTTTCAGAATTTCATTGGCATGGTCTAATGAGAGATTAGTTCGGTTACAAGCATAAGAGTGCTATCAGTTCCTGCTCAGTTGCCTGTGAGTGCAGAGCAGATTGCCTTGTCTCTGAAGATGACAGCCACAGATGCTGGAAAAATGTCAGGATGCCAGATAATTAGACCACAATCAGTTAGCCCAGAAGATCATCATTGGATTGACCCTACATCAATATAAAATTGAGTGTTTTTGTATTTACAGTTCAGTGGGGATTGCCGACTGTTTCAGCTGCTGGTGTGATTGGGATGCTCAGTGCTGTAGTTGCTAGTATTATTGAATCCATTGGTGATTATTACGCCTGTGCAAGGCTATCTTGTGCTCCTCCACCACCCATCCATGCAATAAACAGGTGAGCCTCCGGGGGTGGCTGTCTGGAATCAACGTATTCTTCTATTTTTTTCACACTCTGCTGGAGTCAAAGCAGAATTAAATGCTGATTTTCTTTGAAGGTTCCAATATTATTCCAGTGCCAAGATCAAACTCATTTTCTGATTAAAGATAAATTGACATACAGTAAGTGCATGGACATTGAAATTGGCAGCATCAGTCAGTGATGTGGACATTCAGAAATCATTTCAAATCTTTTTTTAAATCTTTGTTTTAGAATTATTTCAGGCAGTAATTTTGCAGCAGTTACCATATACAAAAGCAACCCTCCTTAAGTCTTTTCTAATTGTTTGTCCATTCGTCCCAGCAAGAAAATCTCTGGTTTCAGTTATATATTGGTCTAAAAATCTTTATCTTATGATATGTACTTGAACCCTAAATTTTCTGGTTTTTTTTACAAATCTACCAGATATGACAAAATGACCCTTGATGTTTTCCACAATTCCTGTAACTACGGCTCTGAACCGTCACCGCGGGTGACCTGCCTTGTTCCCCACCATCGCCAACATAAACTCTTGGATCCAGGGGCAAGAGTTTATGTTGCCTGTCTCTAAAAGCTCTCTTTACAAAACACAAACATTTAGAATGCCAAAGTCAGCAAGATACTGGTTTCAATTAAAAAATTATTATGCTCAGTGCTGTTAACTTGCATTATGAATGCACACATATATTACTGTTTGAGCAGTTGATCTCATTACTTTAATAACTGCATCCAATTCTTTACAGAATATTGTAATTCTTTCCCCTTGGGTTTAATTTGTTTTAAAGTGAGATATGTCCAAGATCCCTTCCAACCTTATTATGTTATGTTCTATGTTATTTCTTTATCTCAATATTTTTCTTTCTGGCTCAGGGGCATTTTCATAGAAGGCCTTTCCTGTGTGTTAGATGGAGTGTTTGGCACTGGAAATGGATCCACTTCTTCTAGTCCTAACATTGGAGTTTTGGGAATTACAAAGGTATTTTACATGAATTTAGCAAGCAAATTTCATTGGCTTATCAGTATTCTTGACAATATAAACTGTTCGCATAAGCCCCCAAAGTTGGCTGAAGTCATGCAACACTCTGCTGCAGTGTGTGTTTTTAGCCTAAGGGTCCTTCAGATTGAGAAGCATTGGCTCAGGCGCACAGTTGAATGAGTGTGATTTTTGTTTTCAGCGTAGACTCGGAATGCAGGGCTGGGCTTGCATACTTTAAGATCCTTCATTGTTGATTAGATTCCTTTGGAATATTAACCTACGGAAAATTTGGTAAAAACAACAAGAAGTGGCTTCATCAATTCTGAGCATACATTGGAATAAAGGAAGATTGATAAACTGCTTGAGCCCAAGTGACATGAAATGGAATGGTTATTATGAAGGAAAGTAGTTAATTAATACCTTGTTAAATGAAATTTAATTATGTAATGAATTTTCAGAACCCTTGTTCAGACAAAGCAAAAAAAAAAAGAGCCAGTGACACTCCAAAAAACCATTGAGCCAAACCAGACCCCATGTGGCAGACATGTGTCTTGAACCCTGGCGCTGCCTTGATTCTATATAAGGCCTGCCTAATTCAGAGTACAACAGATCCCACAGGTGGAGAAGTCAAAGTCATCTATCTGACTATATTTTACTCTGCAGTCCTGCAACCTTTCATAATAGGAAGGCTTACTTTTACTTGAAAAAAAGCCATTGAGAAGTAGACTGAATGCAGGTAAGACAGGGGTTTGTGCTTTAAATTGTAGCTCATACAGTTCTAAGTCCATTTTACTCATGATTAGGTCTACTAGGACATAGGTTAGCCTGTAACTACTCCTTCCCCCTCCCTTGGTGAGGTTTTGCTTTTGAAGTCCAGGTTCAAAGGTTGCCACCTACTGGATGCATTTCTTTGAGAGAGAAAAAGCATAGTTTGGATTGCATTCAGAGAAGCATTTGTATTTGATATTGTGTTACTATGTCAACGGGTAGACATATAGCATCATATAGGTAGGTCAAAAATATTAATTGTTGATAGCCCCAAATAAGCAGATCACATTGTGGCTTAAGCAATGTATTTGTGTAAGAAAACTGCATTCTATTCTTGTTGTTCTTCCTTGGCCTAATCCAGCCACTAAAAGAGAACTCAGAAAATAATTGGACTACTTTTTAATTGGTGTCCTATCAATCAAACTCGGAAGGGAATGGAGTTGATTAAGCCGTTGTTGCATCAGTACTGTGCTACACGTCTCTTTTTGAGTTGCCTTCTTGGCAAACTGAAGACTTGATAAAGCTTGTATATTTTGTAGTTCTTGCATGAAGCAGATTATAGCCCTAAAGAAAGATTTGTTAGTAACATCTGGTTTGCCACATTAATATATTCATAAGAGTAAATAATGCTAAGATTTGATCAAATGTAAGCCAATATTTGCTGCACAGTTCTATTTTGCAACTGCATAAGGTGTTTAATTTGTAACCATAGTTTATATAATTTTCTCTTGTATTTTAAAACGAAACAAAATATTTCACACAAGCAGGGCTATATAGTGGAAAATATATTTTTGATACTTCCTATTCTGAAACAAGGACCCCAAAAGTTTAAAACAAACTTTACTTTGGTATAAACTAATTGGAGTGCTCAGTATCTTTAATAAAATATTTTCCCTGAGGGTTTAGGTGTTCCAGTAGCTTTCTAATAGTGTACAAGTTTTATTCGAGCGTCTGTAGTAAAATTAAGTAGCAAATCTGTAAGTTCCAGGTTTAAAAAAAAATAGCATCTAAAAATAATTTTAAGTTTCAGTAGTAACCAATAACCTGCTATGTTTTACATACAATATTATATGGCACATCATTACAGAATGATGTAATGTTTACATAGGGCCAGGAAGCATCTCAAGCATCTCCCCATGGCTACCACAGTGTACCTTATTTTGTTTTTGTTTTTTGTTTTATTTATAATCATTTCCTATGAAAGATTTTCAAGCTCTGTAACAGTGCAGATTCGATGCCAGTCACTGTTGGAATACTGTTTTTTATTTTTCCCACATGAATGTTTTATAGGTTGGAAGTCGACGGGTTATTCAGTACGGGGCTGCTTTCATGCTGCTACTTGGAACAGTTGGCAAATTCAGTGCGCTGTTTGCTTCTCTTCCAGATCCAGTGCTTGGAGCTCTGTTTTGTACTCTCTTTGGTAAGTGATTATCACTCTATGTGTTTCTGTGAATTGTGCTTTTAATATCTCCTTTTTAAAGGAATTCTGGACCATCTTAAATTCCTTTTCTCGTTAACATCTCTTGGTAGGGGATCTTGGCAATTGTTAGATGTGCAGACTTCAGCTCATAATTCCCCAACCAGAAGACAGTTGAAGTCTATACGTTGTAAAGTTGACAAGGTTAAGAAACTATGGTTTAGAATCAATCCAGGCTAGCAGAGAGTTCAGTACCTGTAAGAGTACATGTGAATTGTGGGCTGAAGCTGCATTTTCTTTAAGCAGAATTCTGAATCCTATAAAATAATCCCCAGAGTACTTTTATGTTCTAGTACGTAATGATTAACATAATCCAAGTACTTCTGATTTTTTTTAGTGTAATGCTATACCAGAATTTCTGGCTTTAGCCCATATGTCATTTTGCCAACATATAAAGTGGGTCGTGTTATGATTTCCATTTTTCATGGAGCCAGACAATAACTTGCAGACTGTCATGTGAGTATGAATAGTTTGAAAATCCTGTCCCTTTCTTATTTAGGGATGATCACTGCAGTTGGACTTTCAAACCTGCAATTCGTTGATCTGAATTCTTCACGTAACCTTTTTGTTCTTGGATTTTCTATCTTCTTTGGGCTGGTGCTCCCAAGTTATCTTCGGCAAAACCCACTTTTTACAGGTACAGGTATATTTTTTATACCAGGTCATGTGTTCACCACTTCCAACCTTTCCAGCTGGATTCTGAGAAGCAAAATCAATGGGGAAAGTTGGATTCACTGAACAACCTTGTGATTTTCTTAACGACCATGGCGAAAAAGATTGTAAAGTTGGACACGTGATGTCCCTGTAGTAATGTTCTGAAACGTGTATTCACACAAGGCATGTGGAGAAAGATCTTTCCAATATTTCAGCTTGCACTCCATCACCCTAGCGTGGTGTTTCTCAATCTTGATGGCTTGAAGATGCTGGCTGTGGAATTCTGAGAACTGAAGTCCATGCATCTTCATGGTTGACTGCAGCTGTTCACTAGGGAACTGGGGTGATTAGCTAATTAACTTTTTAAATCCAGATTAAGCCTGGCTTTCTCTGCTTGGTCAGCTTCCCAAACTGAGTGTCCTCTGTAGCTAAGGATTTTGGAGCGCCAAAGATCTGGAAGGCTCCCCAGTTGGCTTAGCTTCAGTCCAGTTTATCAGCCCTAATTCCCTCCCTGTGCACCACATTTAATCAAAAAATAGGTTTTAAACTTGGGCTGTTTTCCAAATTGAAACATTTTCTGTTTTTCATTCCTGTTTGACCTGCAGGAAAAACTGATTTATTCCAACCCTTCTCAAGTTGTCATCCTCCAAATGCTCGAGAAATCTGACAGCCTACTGGTTTGGGCTATATGAAATTGCCTTTTTTTTTTTCAAATTCCTTACAGAGGCATCTTTCTAATTAATTAGAAAGTTAATTAGCCATCTGCTTAAAAGTCACAGGTAATCAAATTAATTACCTGACCAATCTGGTTGCCCATGTTCATTCAAGAAGCTTCCAAGAACTCCATGGCCCTTCCACGCATTTAATGTTAGCAGGAGCCAGCCTCTGACTTGCCGAGAAACAGTAGGATGCTGGATTTAGGGGGGCTTCTGCCAATCCTCCAGAATATTTTTAGCAGAAGGGAAATGTTCCCCAACTTCTAGGTCATGTTGACTGATTCTACTGGTTGGCTGCTGAGTGGACTTAGAGCATCAAAGATGGGCTGAACTCCATCCTTCGCCAAGGGCCGCTGGGAGCAACCAAGCTTCCACCTCTCTTGTACTGAGCAGTAGGAGAGAACTCTCCCCTCTTCTAACTTCCCCAAAGTATGAGGTTCTACTTTATCTTCTTTTCCACTGAGACCTCCCCCATCCCCAGCGTAAATGCATGGAGATACTACTGTTTTTCCTTGCAAGTGAGAAATTAGGTATGCAGGTGCTTCACAATTGACTGGTGAGAACAATGGCTGCTACTGGGCAAGCTGGTGTTCCCAGCCCTGGACATTTCAATAGAGAGAAGTTCAGTAGGAACTCAGCCACACTCTGCAACTTTTGGGCACATGGGGACTGGACGCACATGTGTTTCTATGAAGCGGGTCATTCTGTGTCTTGGTACTGTCTTAAAGATATCCCAGCTTGCCTTTCTATGTATGTTGCATCTGTTCAGGTTCTGACAGAACCCGTTTCCCTTCTTCTACTCTTTCAGGAATCGACAGCATTGATCAAGTCCTAAATGTCTTGCTGACTACTGCTATGTTTGTTGGTGGCTGTGTAGCGTTTATTTTAGATAACACCATTCCAGGTTAGTCCTCCAATTTGCTCTCTTCTGTCTGCCCTGCTTCCCCTTCATCCTGAGGATACCAAATGCTCAAGGAGAACATCTCTATCACCAGCAGTCATTAGCATGGGTCTCAGAGCACCAGGATTATCTGATATTTCATTGAAAGAAATGAAGGAGTGTCGTGCAGCTAGGGTAATTTCTTTCTTTCTTTTTTTCTTTTGAAGTGCTTGAACAAGGGAGTGTTCTGGTGCTCCTTAGCTTAATTTGAGGATCTCCTTCTATGACTTCAAACTTCTCTTTCTAAGGAAGGTTGTTCACATCTTGACACTGTTCTTCTTCTGCCTTCCTTTTTAAAATCAAGGAAGCCCGGAGGAAAGAGGAATCCGGAAGTGGAAGAAGGGAGCAGGCAAGGGCGGCAAATCCCTCGAAGGCCTAGAAAGCTACGACTTACCTTTCGGCATGGAAATTGTCAGGAAGTACAAGTGCTTCAGCTTCCTGCCCATCAGCCCCACCTTCCTGGGCTACAGCTGGAAAGGCTTCAGGAAAAGCAGTAACTGCGGGACTTCAGAGGATGACTCGGAGGCCGCTGTATAGCCCTGGCCGGACCTCGGTCTCCCGGCCGTAGTAACAGCCCCCTGTGCAGTTTCTTGCTATTTTACTGTGTTGTATCGTATCATATTGTATTTTTATTTTTATTTTATTTTGTATATTTGCATTTTAAATTCTGGACCTAGAGCTGAGGCAGGTGATAAAAAATAGCTTTCCCTGTTGTGGACGGTGATAGCAATCTATAATGTCTCTCTACAGTTACATGGTATTTGTGTGGGCATTCAGAAAAAAAAAAAAAACCTTTGGGGATTAGATGCTTTTCTATTAGGCAAAACAACTTTCCTTTAGAAACAATCCCCGATAAGATGGTTAAATAGCACCTACGTAGCAGCACTCAGACGGCTGAATTTATCCTGTTTACAGGTTCTACATTCCATTTATTTTTAAGCCTGCATCATCTTAACCCAAGCCCTGAATAAGTCATTGGTATTATTTATATAAACTGTTGCAGCGGGGCCTATTACTTTAAATCAGGACTGCTAGGGGGGTATTTCCAGAGCGGGGGGTGGGGGGCAGCCGGGCAGAATTTGCTCCCTGACCAGCTAGAAGGTTGCAGGCGATGCTCCTGAAACATTGCAAGCCTCAGAAGAAAGGGACTCTGGGCCCCACTCAGTCCCTTCACGTTATATTTTGACAATGGGGGGAGGAAATGTCACCCCTTTTTCGATCTTCCCCTTCTATTGCAGCACAAAAATTCAAAATCGGAATAACTGAAATCTTGTTGGCTGGTCTCAGAGCGTGGCTGTCTGTTCAAAACTTTGGAAGTTGGAATTATTTTGCTATGCCACCCGCTCCCATTTTTAAACCAAGCAGCGCTTTCAATGTTTTCCGGTTGTGACTGCAGTGGATAATGGAGGCTTTGCAGTAACCCTCGTGAAGAGGGTTCCTGCTCCTGGTGCGCCTGGGGGGCTGGAGAAGGAGCAAAGGGGCCGGGCGTTCAAAGGGTGGCTGCCATCAGGCTGGGTTTTTTTACACTGACAAGAGTGCCCAGGCAGTAAGGCTGCACAGCACATCAAGTTTGATTCCCTAAAATCGTTTTGGGGTGCAGAGGGGCAGCCCCGTGGTTGTAACGCAAGCGCCTTTGTTCCCTGGGATGGCGTGGCTGCTGCAGAGGGCAGGTGGGCTCACGTTCCCAACTCTTGGGTGCTCTGGAACCCTTTTTTTGGCCTTGCTACTGAAATGCCTCACCGTTTTATTCAGAGATTCATTGCCTATGGTACAAGTCGGTTTTATACAATAATAATATTTATTAAGTGCATGAGTTGAAGTAAAACAGTCACTTTGTCTCCAGGCCTCTCCATTTTCAGACGTTTTTGCCAGCCCGCAAAGCAAGCAGCAGTTAATATTGCCTTTCCCGTGTTCTTTTTCCAAATGGGTCCCTTGCAAGGAGCGGAGAGACGCTATGCATGGCGTTGCTGTCTGTCAAATAGTTTTCACGGGTATTGGGGTGCCTCTGTGGGCCCCCTTCAGCCTCTTCATGCTGTGTTTTTTCCCCTGAATTGATCTTGGCTCTAATATTGTGCAGTTGTTGAAACCATTGTAAGAATTTATTCCTATTTAATGTTCTCACTATGACAGCTTAGTTTGTAGATACAGGTGAGTTAGCTTTTCTTGCTCTTTCCCCACCAAAGGTAGCCCCCCAATTGTTCCTTTTTTAAGAAAAAGAAAAGAAAAGAAAAAAAAAGTTGTGGGAAGATTTGTCAGAGAGGCATTGCAGTATATGATGGCCAGTACGCTCTGATCTGCTGCTCACGAATGTTATTGTGTCGATAGCCAATTCTGCAGATGGTTGGTTGGTTGCCCAAGGATGGCTAGTAGAGAGGAGGCCCAAGCAGCGTCCAAAGGACGTAAGGAGCTTGAAGGATGCAGAACAGAAACAGGTCAGTGGATGGTAGCCATTTCCTGTCATTTCCCACGAGGAGCATTTATTTTCTCTGATATTTTCTTTGAGAGCTTTCAGTACTTTGTATCTTTAGAATCAAGCCCGCCAGAAAGTAGAACATTTCTCTTAATTATTATTTTTTAAAATCAGAATTTGTGCTCAGTTCTTCGAAAACAAGACCTCCCTTGGCTTGGAGTAGTATATGACACTAAGCCCTGTGACCTTCTCTGCAGGAAGTCCCCTTGAGTTCATCTGGACCTCTTTCTGAGAAAAGCTTCATAGGTTTGCACCATAAAGCTGCCTTCGCAGGCATATTTACGTAGGAGTTAATGCAACGGAGCATAGCTCCAAGTTTTGAATTAGTTTAGACAGACCAAGCTGCATGTTTAGTTGCTCCCTTATACTTAGGTGAACCAAAGAAAGAAAGGTGGAAAGAGCAGCTGCCCTGTGTTGGTGGTGGTTGTAATCCTGTAAAATGCCAAAGCCCATTTATTGTGCAGCCATTACAGAAGGAAAACGTCGTATGGCCAGAATGTAATATATTCTGATTTGGGTCCTAGCGTCTTTTTTTGTCTTCTTCTTTGATGCTTTGCTAAAGCAACCCCCAAATGACCCTGACTATGAAACAGTGCTATCCCTCACCCTTGCCCATTTGTTTCCACAAGCTTTCCCAAGAGTAAAAATGCATAGTAAATAAAACAGCTGCCGCTGGTGAGAGATGTATTTTAAGCACTGCAGTATCGGAATAACAACTGTGGCACAATGCAAATCTTAGCTTCAGTGATTCCACTTCAGATGAAATTATGATCTGCCTATTTGTACATTACACAGAAGCAAGGAAGGAGCAACTCCATCAGATTCCTACTATTAAAAGCACAAGGTCTTGCTTTTCTGAGACTTCCTCATCCAGAATGTATCGCTGGTATCTTAATCTTAGCTAATTCATTTGTAGTAGCTGCATCAGTAGGACTGCAAGCTGCAGGAAATGCTTGGGACATGCAGCATTTATAGTGATTTAATCTGATTTGCTAAACAATTCGATCATGAAATTTGTGAGGGAAGCCAGGCCCTCCCGAATAGCTGATTTTAACATAATGGCCATGTCCATCCACTGTAGCTTCCCGCCTAAGATTTGGAAGGGCTCCGTGGCAGTATTGAAGGCACCGATATCTAAATTCCAAGGAGGGTCAGCATTTCTGCAGCTGTAAGAACAACAAGAAAGTGAACGTCGGTCCTCAGAGACTTGGTTTGATTGTTTAAATTTAAGCTCTTTTGGGGAGAATTGGTAGCTGAATTGCCGCGTACGTGGCTGGAAGTGGTTCCGTGGAAGGATGAGGCAGCAGCAGCAAGAGCCAAGGGAGAAAACTTTTTTTCTGCATCTTTTTGTTGGTTGGTTGATAAAAGTTGCATGGAACTGAGCTGCTTATGGGTGGGCTTTAAGTGGTGTGTCCCGAGTAGAACGTAAGTGTCAAGAACAGGAATCCCTAAATCCGTTGACTGAGGGGAGAGCCTGAAACCCTTGGATATTCCTTGGAGGGAGGGGTGGGGTTGGGGGGGGGGTAAGATGCATCTGTGTATTTTAGCTGAAAAAAGTAAAAGCAGGACACTTTTAATTGTGTCTTTGTGTATAGCTATCTGGCTTTCAGCCACCTGGGTGAGAGAGAATGTTGTGTACAAAGAATAAGTAAGGGAAGAGAAAATTTATTTCATTTAAATTAAAAGAAATATTAAGGAACATTGCTATGTCACGTTGAAGATGTAAAAACAAATATTCAGAACAAACTAATTTGAAAAAGTTTTGTTTTTAAAATAAAATATCATGACTTTTTTTGTTAAATTAAGTATGTTGAAAAAGATGTTTGAATGTGTTTTATAAAACAATGCCTCTTGAATTTATATTTAATTGTTAATTTTATCCATGAGTAACAAAAATGTATTAATCAGAATAATCTGTATCAGGGAAAAAGGTTTTTAAATTTACAGTTTGTTTTCCACCGTTTAATACTGACTTTCAATGTGACAACTTTGTACATGAACATTACAGTATTTTGTTTCCGTAAACTTAAAAAGAAAAAACAAATAATACCAACCTCCAACCAGTGACATTTCCACCTAGGATAATAAATATCTGACTTCCGGGGTGGGAGTGATATGATGTCATGACAGTGTCATGTGATAAATTTATTTCATTAACAAATTGCTAGCAATTGTGTATACTTTATTTCCCCACGTTTATACAGTATCCTTCAAAGAAGATGCAGGACGTCTTGGCCAGCCCCTCCCGAGAAGAGGATGCTGGCAGTGTAGGCCAGCCCTAGCAACCAATGCTTTGGAGCACAGAGCTGGTCCAGACACAAGGCAAGATGTGTGACCATCTCAGGTAGCGATTTTTGATCTTGACTACCATTCAGGGTGGAGATTGGGAGAGATCCTGGCCAAGCAGGAAGAGTCAGAATCCTCCTAATAAGCAGGCCTCATTTGGAGGGAATGGGAGTTGCCGTGATTTTGGCTCAACTCCCACTAAGCCAATGTGGGTTGTGTAAGAGCACAGCCCAATGGATTGGACCCCACGTTAATTAATATGGGTCCACATACATATTGTTTTGGGGACTTTCCATCTCCAGTATCCAGATGTCTTGTGCCAACTCTGCTGATTAATTAAAAAAAAAATGTTAAGCAGATGCAAAGATTAAGCAGTTAGAAACATCTTGCCGGTGACACAGACCACTCTTAAGCTTCTGTCATCTCTGTAATGCTGGTATAAATGTCAGGCTGTTTCCAAGTTACAGCTTAAATGTTGGGCAACTCCAGGTTCTTAAGACCTTGGCCTTTTCTGTTGTTTCTGAGCTCCCCTTTGCTTTCTGTCCAATCCTCATCCTGTTAGCCATGGGTTACATTCCTGGGGGAAGACATGGGGACCCGTCAGAGCAGAAATGGTTCGTTTAGAGCAGCGTTTCTCAACCTTGGCAACTGCAGGATCTGTGGACTTTGATGCCCTGCATGCCGGCTGGGCAAGTCTGGGAGTTGAAGTCCACGCGTCTAAAAGTCTCTGAGAAACCCTGGCTTAGATCATTGGTAGAAACTGACCTATCTTACCTGCTAAAAAATATTTCGCATTAATGCACTCTCTTGAAGCAGCAGTCGTGGAAATGGTGGCTAGGCTGTTTGCATCTGCATACAGATTTAGTTGATCCTGAGCCTATTTTCAAATAGCTATCAGAATCTCATGAGTCATTAGTTTCTCCCAAGTAACTCCTGCCTCTCCAAGACGTTTTCCCAGGAGGCTCTCTTGGTCTTAAAGAGCTTTCCCCATCATAATGCTGATTCTTAGGAAGCTCCATCAAACTCCAAAACTTCTGGAGTAACTATATTGTCCCAAGGTCTCCAGGGCCATTCCAAAAAATCACGGGGGAGAAAATTAAATATATCAAAAGAGTTCCCATCAACATTAGCTTTCATTTAACTGTATTTCAATAGAATAGTTTCTTGGGCCCCAATCCATTTTGGAAGTGAAATCCTTGATATTCCATTCCAAGGCCTGGTAAACTAACCCTCCGCCCTCCCCCCAACTTTTAGCTGTCAAGCAGATAATCATAACTTGCATTCGATATGCACCTGCATTCCAAAGCAATGCAATTCATCTCGGGGTGTGTGTGAGACAGGCCAGCACCAAAGGAGCTTCTTGTTTTGTTTGTGTTTCCCCCGCCCCCAGTGGCCTTCTTGAAGAACATAACCAGTCCTTAAGACCACCAGAAGGTGGTCTTAGGAGTAATTCTCTGCAGAAAATAGGGGCTTTGTTTTTGTTTTGCACGGTGCCTGTTGCATACCTAGAGAACCTCGCTGGAAAATTTCTTAACTGGTCTGGACAGAGGTTAGCCAACCTGCTGGGGCTTCGTCTTTTGCAGTCTAGTCCCTTTGTCCTTTGCGAGGAGGCCACCACGGGCTAGTCAGCATTTTGCTTCTGTCCATCGGTCTCTGCCGTTGCCATGCTGGGCTGCTTTTAAGTATTGAGAATTCATCTCCAGCAATATCCAAAGCACTCCTGTTTGGTTATGAATTGTGGCTGTGGTTAGTCATTCATACATATTTGATAGCAGAAAATTGGTTACCTTGTGTATCATTCAGCATCTGTTCAAGTAAACCATCTTGCTACTGATTTAAACTAGAGTGCATTTCCTCCCCTCTGTTCATAACAATTTTTGCTGTAACAAACTCTTGTTTTTTAGACAGTGGGAATCTCTCTCTTTTCATGAGTTTTCTTTGAATGACCTTAGCTACACAATCTCATGTTACATACCAAGTTGGGTTTTTTCTTTGAGGTGTGTAGTTTGGTTTCTTTTATTGAGATTTTTATGGATTTTGTTCTGTTTTATTTTTTCCTAACAATTGCTTTATTAAACGTTAAAATATTTAAAAATATGTAATATTTGGACCAGATGTTGTGAATAATAGTAGATAAAAGCTATTTTATTCTGTATTTTTAAAAGCTGTTCAGTATAAATAAAAGTTGACATAGATGCAACTTTGTAACTGGATTGTGGTGATAATTTTGCAAATACACAAAACTTGACACTAGATCCAACCAGTTGCCTTATTGTCCCAAAACTGCTGAGAAAAAATGCCAACAAGCCTTAACATTTTAGACTCACCCAGCTCAGAGCTGCAAAAGAGATGTTGGCTGCGTTTGTACTCCTGATCTATAAGAAAAGTAAAAGTTCCCCCTCTGAAAGAGATTTGAAAAGCAAATTGTTTTTTCTTAAGCAAAAGGTAGACAGCTGTGACTGTGTATAAATATAAATATTTTATATAAATACAAAAATATTTTAGTACAATAGTGCTAAAGCATGGCTATGTGTTGAATAAACCACAATTGACTGGATTGACATAACGCATCAAGACAAAACCAGTCAATAACATGATGAAGTGGTCTGGAGTATGAATCAAGTATCTGTCTCTGCTGCATCAAATATGGCAAATGTGATCTTTTTAAAGTAGGTCATCCTTGAATTGATTGCATGGTTACAACAATGCTATTTACTTGGCAGTAATATGGAATGGTTTACCATGTCCTAGACCAGAAGTCTCCCAATTTGGCCCCTCTATGACTTGTGGACTTCAACTCCCAGAATTCCTCAGCCAGCAGGGTGACTGAGGAATTCTGGGAGAAAGTTCACAGACCTTAAAGTGGCCAAGTTTGGAGAGCTCTGCCCTAGATCCAACAGTCTTTCCTCCAAACAAATTTCATCTCTTTCCAGACAGTCTCTGACTGCAGCACCTTGGACAGCTACTGTACATCTAGAGACCACAGCAATTCTGGGGGCAGTTGAAGTTACCTTCCCAACCTAGCACGCTCTCTATATGTTGGGCCTTTCTTCCCGGAATTCCAAGCCAACTGCCAAAATTATTGTGATTCTGAAACTGCAACCCCATCAAATCTGGAAAATGCTTTTGGGAGAAGGCCCGTCTTTCAGAGTTGAATTTCTATCCGCACCTGTGAAATACCTCTGATGCCCCCAGTTCACAGGCTTTGGATCTCTCCCGGTCTCTGTTGTGCAGCAACGGTTACATTACTTTGCAATATTGCTAAGGATTGAGTCTGCTGAACAAGTGGAGCTTAAGAGGACTTCTCTGTTCGTTGCCTTTAGGAACCATCCTAAACTGAACTCCCTGAAAGCGATACGAGCGAGTCACCTTGAATTCATACTGGAAGTAGAGATGAGTTGAGCCCAGGTTATTCCTGACATGGCATTTTGCAGGCTGTGTGCCAGGCCTGCCCTCTGGTGGCAGGAACTCAGGAAGGCGCCAGGCCAACAATGGAGACCCTGATATCGTGTGCCAATTTACCCACAATGGTCCAGCTAAATCAACCATGCTTGATATGTGAACTCAGTGCTTGGCATTTGATTGCACTGTCTTTGCCAACCAAAGTTGGATTCTGTATAAAAAAAACTTACAAAGAGAGGCAAACAGTTCGGTAGAAAAAGGTCAACAAGTGAAATGGAATTGAAAACAAAGCCAATGAGAACTGAGGGGAAAATGTCAGAAAGGGTCTTTGAGGGGCACGGTGTACATGACGTGCTTAAGAGCGGAACTGGAGGGAAAAGAACACTATTAAGCTTTTGTGCCCAAGAGAGAAACAATGGAAAGGAAATAATTGATGTTGTGGAGAATGTTGAAAAATGATCACGCTGCAGGTGTAAATGAGATCATTAGAGAAGGTGAAAACAGGAGTGTAGTTTGCTTGTGAAACAGCTTGGCCATTTATTTTACAGGTGTGCTATTGTTCACCATTCAAAGGCAAAGGGAACAAGAACGAGTGCAAAAACTATAGAGGGATTTGTTTGTTAAGCATACCTGAAAGAATTTGGCAGAATTAGGAGCAAACGTGGGAAATGCAGTGCTGCTTGGCATCCGACGGGGCACAAGGAACAGGTTTCTCCCCCAACTTAATTTTGAAAGTTTAAGTATGTGAGATTGTCCTTCTGATTTAGAGAAAGCATAGGAAAGCACATGAAAGAAAAGGAGAGGAGGACAACCAACGGCCGGTGGGTGGATTCAGTTATTGTGATGATGGAAGCACCTTTGGAGATGCTGAAGGAGCAAGACTGGGACAGATTGTCATGGAGAAGGTCAATCTATGTGGTCACTAGGAGCCAATAATGACTTCATGGCACATAATCAAAACAATGGAAGTATACAATATCATCAAGAGAACAAAAGAATTGAAATGGAAATGGGCTGGTCACATAGCAAGAAGAACTGACAGCAGGTGGACCAAGGCAGTCAAAGAATGGATCCCACTTGATAAAAAGCGTCCACGAAAGAGACGCAAAGCAAGATGGATCGACACCATCAGCAAGTATTGGGGGCCCAATTGGCAAAAGAAACTTCAGGACCGTAGTGGTTGGAAACATGTGGAAGAGGTCCTCATCTTGCAGTGAATAGACAATGGCTAAAATGATGATGAAACAAAGAAAAGGGATGAGGGATAAATGAAGGCAAACTGAATGCAGAAGTGAATGACCACTTCAGGGCTCTACAGGGAGAATGGATGGAGGCCAGACTGGAAAACAAGGGTTGAGAGGAATGGACAACCGAATAGATTGTGGTTGGGTGAAATGGACAAGATTATGAAAAAAAGAGATGAGATGTTTATACAATGAAAGGACATACATGGACTTTATATGGATGTCATACAAAACACATGCTGTGCAAGCAGAAAACAGTATGGAGAGGTATAGTGAAAGATGTTCATGTCAACCAGGTATTCGTTTGATCTTGGCTTAATGTGGATCTGAATTTTGCCACAGTGAATTGTAATCCCTCCTTTATGGCTTCACTTCTATCCATGCCCAGTGAATTGTGCTTTATTCAAGAACCCATTTAAGCCATCAGGTTGCACAAAATGTGATGCCTGTCTTTGGGATCTATCTGCAAGGCAGTTTGGTTGGCCAAAGTAGGTGTTGTGTAGCACTATGAGAAAACAGCTAATACTTTTTTTAAAAAAAAAAACTTTAAAAACCCTTCAGGGGCCTGTTTAGCAAGCTAATCTTTCCAACTTCACCTGCTCAATAAAATTATGCACTTTTCACCGAAGAAGGTGAGCCTTCTTTAGGAGTTGAGGTGATAGTCTCTTATCCTTCCAAGATCAATTTGCTTCTTTAATTTGTCCTTTTCTTGCAAACCTCTAAATTATGCAAGGCTTGGGGACATTTCCTAAGAAACTGCTTAGGATTGGCTTTCAGAAGTCACAATAATTGCGCTTGCCCCTTGGAAGCCCTGACAATAGAAGAAACGTGCCCAAATAGAGTTATGTGAATATTTAATATTACGATGCCCAGAGGAAGTGCAATTAATTACAACAGAAAGCAACCCTTAGTGGAAAAAAAAAAGCAAGGGATTTTAGTGGCAGGCAATTAGATACTTGATACCAAAGGCAGACTGCAAGCCTGGGGATGATTTCTGAATGTTTTGCAAAAATGCACGTGTCGGTTTCCAAGATGAGCAAAATTCACATCAAGGCTTGAACCACAGAAGAGAAACAGGAGCACAGAAACCCGGTCCTGCCCCCCCCCCCTTTGCCGGCTGACGAGCCACCCCGGACAGACCAGCGGAGCCCGCGAACCCCCCACCCGGCGCGCCCCCCGCCCGGGCCGGCGCCAATCAGCGAGCAGGAGTGGGGGGGGGGAGTGGGCGCGCGGCCATTGGCGGGCTCGGCGCAGAGGAGGGGCGTGAGGCTGGGGGCCGCCCCGCCGCCTCATCTGACTTGGCCGCCGCCCGCGCCGGACCAGCGCCCAGCCCCGCCGGCCGCATCGCGGATCGCAGCCCGGAACTGGATCGCCCGCCCGCCTCCCGGTAACGGCTCGCTCTGTGCCGGCTGCCCGCCGCTCTTCCGCGCCTGGGCGGAGCGCGTCCTCCTGGGCGGGGGGCAGAGCCGGTCCCTGTGGCCCCGGGCGGCCGCTCCCGCGCCCCTCGCCGCCCGCCTGACCCGCGGCGGCCCGAAGGCGCGGCGCCCCGAGCCTGGCCAGGATGCCCAGCCGCGCCCCAAGAGCCTCCCGGGCGCGGCAAGCGCTCGGTGGCCGCTGCCTGTTGCCGCCGAGGGCGAAGGGCCTAGTGGTTAGAGCCCGGTGGTCCTCCGGCCGCGTCTCCCGTCCGCTCCGCCCAGAAGCCCAGAGAAGAGCCGCCCGCAGAGAAGCGCTGACTCGGGTCCAGGCCAGGGGTTGGTGAAGTCGTGGGGACTCGCCTCCCACCCATCTCTCCCACTGGGGGCACCAGTGCTTGGGCGCGATTCACATCCAGCGTGGCCCGAGTTTGTCTGGGATTGGGAACTCAGCCTTCGTTCAGATGTTTGGTGTTCTTGCAGTGCACTCAAAAACATCTTGGCTTGTTAAAAGGAAAGCCAGCTTAGATGGTGTGCGAGCTCAGCCCGAGAGTTTAGAAGCCAGAACGGGTGATGCGGAGGGCAGGTGGAGGGAGGTCTCTTTGCTTCCGTGCGTCTGCTGCCCTGGATCCGGATCCGCTGCCTTCGAGGCCAAGAGGAGACCTTCCCGGGTTCTGCTCTTGGTCCAGGTTGCTGATCTCAGGAGCCGGAAGAAGTGGGGTGGAAGGAAGAAAGGAAGGTGAAAAGAGGAAGCTGGGCTGGCAGACACGTGCAGGGTTGCCTTCCGCCCTGCCTGAGCAGCTCAGGCCAGGTGGTGTCAGTTGCTCTTGGAGAAACGTTCACTCTGCTGCTGCAAGGACATCTGGAGCATCTGGAGCCTTGTGTTTTGGCAGGACCCGTGCAGGTGAAATGCGTAAAAAAAGGCCGTTCCTCCTTCCTAAAATTGCACTAGTGAACAATTGTGATTATGGGTTGTAATGACCGGAGTTGTAGTCGTGAACAAATGGAATGCAGCACACTAGGCAAGGCGCTATTTGATAACTTCGGGCGTCCTGTATTTATTTTTCTCCTAGTTTGTTCTATTTCCATTTGATTTTTGACCCAAAGATCTAAGTTTTCTTCTGATGCTATTCTACCTGTTGTTTTTCTTAAGGCTTCATTTTCTGGTTTTGCTTTAAAATAGTTGCTAAAATAATTGGAAACGTTCATTTTGCTAGAGTTTTACCTTGATAATTGTTCTGTTTTGCAGGCAGCTCGTCCGCAATTTAGGGATACCTTGTATTTCACCAAGTCATGTACTAGAATTTCACCACTTTTTATCTTATTAACTTGCTCCGTGTCTGAATATTGAGAGTATCATCCAGAAGATCAGATCTTCAGCACATCTACAAGATTCCAGATTGGGGAAGACTTTTATAGTTCTTTAAGTGATTTGCAAATTTATTTCAAAACTCTGAAACCCTCCTGAATTGGGAGAATGGGTGCTGATTCAAGCTGTTCCTCTTCTAACACGTGTTTCCTTTTGCTCATTAACAGTAAGATGTTGCAACGTCTTACTCTTCTAATAATCAGGAAGCTTTGAATCGCTATATAAGGCAATGCCACCCTGCCTACATCTGTTGCAGAAAAAGGAGCAAATAGTTTGCATATCCCCATTGTTTGGCCTAAGCCAGGGGTCTTCAACCTTGGCCCTTTTATGACTTGTGGACTTCAACTCCCAGAATTCCTGGCTGAGGAATTCTGGGAGTTGAAGTCCACAAGTCATAAAAGGGCTCAGTTTGAAAACCCCTGGTCTAAGGGGTATATGAATTGGGTAGAAGAGGGGTCTCCTGGCAACTTTAAGACTTGTGGACTTCAATTCCCAAAATCCCCCACCCAAGTGGATGGGGTGTGGCTGATCAGGCTAGGCTGAGCCATTGCTGATCACGGAAGAAGAGGTGTGCTTTGCATACAACGGAGCTCAGAGGGGGATCCTGGCAGCTCCTGGTGTGGTCAGAAAATTGGTAGATATCAGGTTAGTTTGGAATATAATGACAAATCTCTAGGAACCAGAATTTGAGTTGATTTAGCAATAAGGACAATGAAATGGTACCTTCTTTAAATTAGCCTGCTGGAAAAAAAAAAACTTGAGCAAGAGGTGCCAGAAATACTCCTGATTTAGTCTGAACGGACTTGTAAACCCTCTTCTGGTTCCAATCCCAAATTCCTGAGTGGAGAGACACCATGTTCGTTCGTTCATTCTTGGCGAATGCCTGCGTCTGAGCCCCGCTTCGCACATTGTTTGAGTTGACTGTCCCTGAGAAGTTATTTGAAAACAAAGTAGATCTTCTATTCAAGTTTGCTTCCTCCCAACTGCAGATTCTTGGCCTGGGACTAAGTGGAAAGATGGAGTAAATAGAGTTTTATTTTATGATCCTGGGAACTGAGAAAGTTTGAATGTTATCCAAACGAAACAAAGGGAATTTAATGTTCAGAAGTGTTAATATTTATGCTGATGACAAAAGCAAATTAGCTAAATGATTCTGCGGAGGAGTAATTTTTTTAATGGTCATAAATTATAATTTCACACAGTGCTAGGGAAGGTTTTGATAAATGCAACAATTAAACTCTTATTTGCTCAAGGACAATAAAGGCCATTCTGTAGTTGCAAAATATTTTATCGAAGAAAGGCGGAACAAAGCAATGATCAAAACACAACAAATGCCTTATTTTTTAGTTATCTTTCTCAAACCACTTTCTTAATTCAGAAAGAGGGGTTGGCAGCAAGCCAGTTCTTCAGATGAACATGCTCTGGTCTGAAAGAGTCTGGCAATATTTGACCTATATAATGATATCAGTGAGTGTTTACTGACTAATTATTTGAAAATATTTAACTAGTTATTTGGTCCTTCAGTCCAGAGATCAGCCTGATTTTATCCTGAAATGCTTTGGAGTCAGTAAAATACTTTTCCAGTTTTATCTTCAGGTTTTTCCTTCTTGCTGTTTCCAAGCTAATTAGCAACAGTGTCTGTAGGAGGGATAAAAAATGTCAAGATGGCAGCTGTGAACATGCGATGAGAGCCACGCCTACAAGGGTGTGGGGTTTTGTAGCTTCCATCTTGCTTTTTTTCCACTCCCCTTGCAAATAAACTAGATCATTTTCATGGAATCATCTGTATCTACAGAGTGGAAGGAAGAATGGACAGAAATTACTAAAGCAAGTATGTATGGAATGGCTGTTGATCTAAATAGTGCCAATAAAACAACAATTGCTAAATACTAGAAATTGTAGGGAAATAGTGAAATCCTCAGAAGGGCTTAAATGCTCCATAGAGAACAAAATTTTCCGTTCCAAGCTAGATACAGTTCCTCAACTGGAAGTTGTATTCAGTGTAACGTTTTTCAATCTTTGCAACTTTAAATACCCAGACTTCCAACTCCTAGAATTCCCAGGTCAGCATGCTGGCTGGAGAATTCTGGGAGTTGAGGTCTACACATATTAAAGTTTGAAAAATTCTGCATTAAATGGTAGAGAAAAGCCATTTGGTTTTATAAAAATGCAGCAGACACCCAGATGCCCCCCCCCCCAAATCCTAGGTCCAGCTTTGACCAGCACTGAAATTCTGTAGCATATTTTCCTGCCCTGAGGTCATTTATCTGCTGCTGCTGGTTGGGAACCTAAATAATTATACAGGTAGTCCTTGACTTAACAACAGTTCATTTAGTGACTATTCAAAGTTACAACAGCAATGGAAAAAAATGACTTATGACCATTTTTCACACAACCATTGCAGCATCCTCATGGCCATGTAATCAAAACTCTGATGCTTGAAGTCGTTTCCCTTCTCATCCAAGAAGCTTTTTCAGCTCTGACTGGATGGTGGGCAATGGAAAAATTTATACTCCTTGCAGACAGCTGGACGTTTGCCTTCTTTTAGCGGGTCGTTAAGCTAATCCTTTCAGGTAGATTCACTAAAAGGATGCAAGTGAATAGCTGTCTGCTTTCCCTGCAATGTATCTCGGGGAGTTTGGTGTGGGGAGAACCCCTGGCAGATGCTGAGCTGTCTGCTTATGAAGGACAAAGGCTGCCTCACTCGGAGGCTGAGCAGCTGCTTTCCTTGCACGTGACGCACCTGCATTTCTCACAGGGGTTTTGTGTGTGTCAGGAACAATAGTGCAACTTGGTATTCTCTTTGCAGGCCCTTTGCCCCTTGTTCTTAATTCCTGCCATGACACTGAGTGATGATTTCGCGGTTGCATGCAAATGATTTCCCAGGGATGTCGTGGCCACCAACTTGGTGTTTCCTTGGCAAAAATCGGGGTGCCTCAGATGCATTCTGGAATGGCTTCTGCCTCATTTTCTGCCTGCCTCCTCTAGTGTGGAGCGCAGGGGAGGGCCCTGGCCAGATTCAGCCCTTTCCCTAGAACTCTGGGGGTCGCTCCCCAATGTACCCAGGGGTGAAGAGGAGCTCATGCAACTCTAAGGGGAAAAGGAGATGATGGGGGGGGCAGCAGGGGCTTTGTGACACCTTCTCTTGAATGACAGATGACATTTGCATCGTTTTCTCAAAGATGCGACAAAGCAGGTGATGCCCTTTGCCCCTCCGCTGATGCCAGGCAGGGGAGCCCAGGGGATGGCAAGGCCCATATGGCCCTTTCACGGACTGAGGACTCTGTTCTGGCCTGGCACCCATTTGCCCCCCCCCCCGAATTCTCCAGACGGCATGCTTGGCAGCTTGTGGTCATGAGTCAAGGACTACTATTGTGGCATCATGTTATAACTTTCCTTTGATTTGAGTTCAGCCCATCCAGAGTCTGAATTTTTGCTGCTGCTTTGAATGTTTATAGTGCTCATTGCAGAAGCATCTAGCAAGCCCTGGAAGAAATGTCAGATTCTCCCTAAAACATCCAGAAAAGGGCAGAGGTTTCCCAGATTTTTCTGGGAACTGTTTCACAGTCTCTTGGGAGAGAGGAGTTGTGTTTTGAAGGATGTAAGAGAAGGCAGAATTTTGTCCAAATTCTGTCTCTTTTTCAGGCTCTGATCCTCTCTCTTTCCCCATAAATGCAGAAGGGCACTTTTGGCAACTGCTTCGATGGTTCCAGGATCGGGGATTATGGAATTGAAAGCCAACCCATTTGGGGGGGGGGGAACCAGACTGGACAATGAAAGCCAGCTTATTGTAATCTGAGAACAAACATCTGGATCAAACAAGATTCTTTGCTTGGGAAAGCAAATTCCCCTATGCAAATGTCTTATGCAGCTGCTGGCTGTTTTTTATTATTTTTGTTCATGGCAAAGTCAGCCAGATGTTTACACCGGATTTGGCATTTTTGTCCATCCATTGACTCCACGACCAACCCAATTTGCTTCTGTATATGGAATTTGGACTGGGAGGACCCCCCTTTTTCACGGGCTTCTGGGCTCCAGGCCCTTCATCTGGCTCTGATGCCCGCAGGGGCACCCCCTTCCCCTGGAAGCATGTAGTCAGGCTCCCAAAAGGTCCGGTGGAGCTGCCTGGCCACGACCTGCGCCTTGTTGTGCTAGTTATGAGATCCGGCAGGAAATGCGGAGTGGAGACAGTTGCCTTGCTGGGGCCTTGTGATATTATTAGTACTTCTGCTCTCTTTGTCTCCTGGCCCCCCCCTCCGGAAAAACAATGTCTTTGCGGATGCAACGCTGGCCTTATGCTGCCCCGCTTCCTGCTTTAGGGGTTTTGCAACTAATGAGCCTCTGTCTGGTGGACAGCTGTGAATAACAGAGGCCAGACAGAAGAAATGCAAGGAGTTGCACCCAGAATGTTTTGTCTGCTGCAGAACCAGGGAGGTGCATAGGAAAGCGATTCCTCGCTTTAGAACTTTGCCTTTTTAACCTTAAAAATAGGTTTCAAGCTCTTAAAAGCTAGCAAAGCTGTTCTTGAAATTTTAGAAGCCAGATAGAAAAGTCCGAATAAGTCCTCCAATGCTTTTGGACTCCGTCATTGATGGGCTCATAAGTCTGATGCATTCACTACTTCTGTAGGTAAATCTTCCCAGGTATCATTTTTAGTCCACTTCTCCTGAATTTAGTGATTGCTACATTGCATGTTTTCTTTGGCACAGAATTCCTCTGTAGGAGGACTGGAGATTGCATCACGTCACTGCAATAGTGCTTTTGTTCATTGCCTCCCTCCCTCCCTCCCCCCCACACACACACACAACTGCCCCTGCGGATCACCCCTGCCGGGCAATCCAGAATCTGGATCAAGCAGAGCAGATGCAAATTGCCCACTTCCTCAATTTCCTTTGTAGTCTAATTTTGGATCTGGCTCTTGTAGATTCTGGATTTGCCTCTTCTGGGTTTGGATCTGGTTGTGGTCCCTGGAAGGTTGCAGACTGCCTTGCTTTCGTTTTTTCTGGATAGGAGGTGAGGTTGCTAGGCAGATGCACTCTGGACCACTCTTAGCCCTGGCAGATGATCTTCTCTGTAGAATTCCAGCTGGCTGGCTGGGGAATTCTGGCAGTTGAAGTCCACCCAACTTAAAGCTGTCAAGGTTGAGAAACACTTGTCTGTAGAGCAAAAGCCGGTCTGGAGAGTTCACATCTTGCCACCTGTCAGTTTTAGGAATAAAAAGCTGCTGCTGACGCTCCACTCGTCCCTCGGTTCTTAAACACCGGGCTCTTCTCCTGCACTTTTGGATATTTTGCTGTTGACCAACACACACCAAACATAATCTGGAGTTTGTCATTGCATTAAGTAACTTCTGGGTGCCGAGATTCTTTGCCCCTGTTTAAGCCAGAGATAAACTAGGTCTTTTCTTGTCTTCAAATCCAGGCCGGTGTTCCTCATGCTCTTCCCAGGATGGAGTTTGGCAGCGAGACCTCTCTGGTCCCTTGTGGGCAAGACAAATACATTTCAAAGTAAGCCATTCCTCAGTTGTCCCTCTGTGCGAGTCTACGGTGGGCTCTGAGAGGAAAGAGCACCGGGATCACGTGATCCCCTTTTGACAAGCAAAGTCAATGGGGAAGGCAGATTCGCTTACTAGTCATGCTGCTGATTTAATCATTGCATTGATTCACTTAACAAAGGTCGTAAAATGGGGCAAAACTCATTTGACCACTGTCTCCCTTAGCAACAGAAATTTGGGGCTGAACTGCGGTTGTAAGTCAAGGACTAGCTGCCTTTCTGTTTGACTTCTCCAGGCTCCCTGTCTGCTTCTAACTCCTCCTGCCCCTCCCTCCCTCCAGGAATGAGCTCCTGCTACACTTGAAGACGTACAACCTCTACTACGAGGGCCACAACCTGCAGCTTCGGCACCGAGAGGTAGGAAAAGGACTCAGTCCCCAGATGCACAGAGGGCGAGAAGTCAGGAGCCGAGGAGAGTTTGCTGCACGGGGAAGGCAGGGCAGTTCTGGCCTTAGGCTCCCTTTCCCTTCAGCCAATAATACTAGTACTCATACTCATAATAATCCTCCTCCTCCTCCAATTCTTCTTCTTCTTCTTCTTCTTCTTCTTCTTCTTCTTCTTCTTCTTCTTCTTCTCCTCCTCCTCCTCCTCCTCCTCCTCCTCCTCCTCCTCCTCCTCCTGCTTCTTCTCCTGCTTCTTCTTCTCCTCCTCCTCCTCCTCCTCCTTCTTCTATAAATTGTGGTCTATACCATAAAGTGTGAATGTTTCATCGTTGCTCATAGCATATTTTGGCTGGCACGTTGAGGGTCACACTTCAAAAGGAGGTGGGCCACAATCATATTGGCAGAGCTGTGGGGAAGCTTGTCGAACGGAGTGGTCATCCCTGAGGGCCCCTTGCTCTCCCTCCCCGCAGGAAGAAGGCGAGTTCATCGTGGAGGGCCTGCTGAACATCTCCTGGGGGCTCTGCAGGCCCATCCGCTTGCAGATGCAGGACGACAACCAGCGCCTGCGCCCGCCTCCTTCCTCCTCCTCCTGGCACTCTGGCTGCAACCTGGGCGCCCACGGGTCAGTACACACCCCTACGCGGGAGGCCTGTGTGGGTGTGGGTGTGTGTGTGCGTGTGTGTGTTTGTCGTATTAGTCATGGCTTGTGCCCGGAGATAAAGGCTAATGGCAGGTTGCAGGCAAATGTCTGCCACCCACTCCTGATGGTGCTTTTGTTCAGGGAGGAGAGGCGAGTGAGCAGCTGTTCTCTGCCCCAGATTCCCCCCCCCCCCGCTCTGAATGGGCTTTTCTCAGAGGTGAAGGTGCTCCTATAGCCTGCTTGTGGGAGGAGGGGATTTGGGACTTTGGGGAGGACAGGAAGCCCCTTTGGAACTCTGGCCTGCCCCCCCTCCCCCTTTCCCACCTGATCAGATTCTTTTTCCCAATGTTTCTCTGTTTGTTTTTCTATACATATCCTACCTTTATTGTTTTTATAAATAAGGCAATGAACACATCCAGCACACCTTCCTCTCCTGTTTTCCCCACAAACCATCCACCTGTTGCTGGAGTGGGCTGAGGGAGCGATTGGCCCAAAGTCACCCAGCCATTTTTTGTGTCTAAGGCGGGACTAGAACTCACCGTCTCCTGCTTTCTGTCCTGACCCCTACGAGACCAAACTGGCTCTTTTGATCCAAAAATTATGAGGGATTCCTAGCACACCCTGGGGAGATTTGTTGTGGGGCTTAGCCCGAGTTCCACAGTGCAGCCTGGCCATTTTGGAAGGACAGAGTTTTGCACGGAAAATTCCCCAAACCTGCAGTTATGATCCTTAGTGTGATAACATATAATTCTTTTTTGCCTGTTTTAATTTTCCTGTTTTGGTTTCAAGACGACTCTCTGTAATCTTTGACTTAAATAAAGGTTTGGACTCGAGGGAAGGCTGACCTAAATATGAAAATACCCTCAGATGAGAATTTCAATTTCAATTCCTGGAATATTTTTATTTTATTTTATCCTGTCTTTTTTAGTTTTATAAATATCGCAAGGTGACAAACGTATTGAATACTCCCTCCTTCTGCTCTGTGAGGTGAGTTGGGATGAGAGAGAGAGAGAGAGCGCGACTGGCCCAGGGTCACCAGCCGGCTTTCATGTCTAAGGCGGGACTAGAACTCACCGTCTCCTGGTTTCAAGCTGGTGCCTTAACTACTAGGCCACACAGCCTCTCTCTCACCCAAACCCACATCACAGGGCTGTTCTTGTGGGGAAAAGAAAAGGTAGCAGTATAATGTACGTTTGCTGCTCTGAGTTATTTATTCATAAGATAAATGAATTATTAATTATAAAATAACAGAATATTAGTATAATATGATATGATATATAACATAACAATATAATCTATTTCAATTGACATTATTTGATTGGAGTGGAAATTGGATTTTGTCTAGGAGGTTCAGCTCATTTGGCATTGAGACACTTAACTTTTTGAATAAATTGGGATTATTGAGAGTTTTACCTCTTCCTTCATTCTTTCCTTCCTTCCCCTTCTTTCTTTCTTTCTTTCTTTCTTTCTTTCTTTCTTTCTTTCTTTCTTTCTTTCTTTCTTTCTTTCTTTCTTTCTTTCTTTCTTTCTTTCTTTTTCCCCAAACAAAATTCATGCAGGCACAAAGGTTGGTTCATCTATGCCTGCAGTTCCCCAGATTATAGCTTTACATCCTAACCAGCTGCACTATTGTAGGATGGCTTTCTCCTGCCTTTTCCCGTGGAGGGCTGAGTGTTGCCCTCCTTGCAGACCTGTGGCCAGCTGTGCAGGGCTTCCATAATGGAAGCCCCTCCTTGCCACTTTCCTTCTTCCCATCTTCACCCCAACCGATGGACTAAACGTCCTTGGATGGTTGGCATCTCAATAAGAATTACTTGCTTCATAAAGCTTGACAAAGTCCTGTTGGCTATTCCTACCCCCTTGGGTGTTTACTTCTTTCTCTCTTTCATCCCAAGGTCTGTCATTAAGCCCACGACCTTGCCTGATATTCAGGTCACAGAGGCTGAGCCCACATCCGAAGGGGACGCGACAGATGGGAAAACAGGTAAGATTGAAAAGGAAGAACTGCTGCTGAGACCAAGGGGTGAGTGAAAGAAAGAAGCTCTTTTTCATGAATTTCTATCAGTGGGATCTCCTTGCATTGTTTCAGAAAGAATAAAAAATGATATTTATACGTGTATTTGTTAGATTTATATCCTGCCTTTAGTTTAAGGCATGCTTTGCGTAGACCCTCCTCCTCTTTTTCCCTAATTGATCAATTATGTGCCATCAAGTCATTTTCATTTCCTAGTGACCACTTAGAGTAACCTTCTTCATATGTCTCTATCCTAGTCCATCAGGTTCTCTATGGCACCCCAGTTGCCACTGAATCTGAGTCCATCTCCCTCCCTCCCTCCCTCCCTTCAAAGGTTGCAATGTATATTTCATTTCAGGATTAGGAATGATCATCTCTGCTCAACTCTGGGGATAAATTGCTTTAAAAGAATTTCCAGGTTGGACGATTTTAAAAATAGAGAGCATTATGGCAAACAGAACTGTGATTGCTTAGCCCTGAATTATGTGCCCGAATATGCTGTCAGTTGGGAAATGACAGTAGGAGAAACAGCTTTGCAAGTATGCACACATGCGTACACACATCCACGTGGACAGATTCTTGCCTGTGGGATTGTGGCATCTGTGGAGAATGAAATCCCCATAGATCTTTGATATGATCTAGCAGAGCTCTATGGCTTAGGAATTTGCAAGACCAGCACTAGAAACTAAGCTTGTACACACACACACACACACACACACACACACACACACACACACACACACACACCTGGCACCCAGGGATGTGAAGGAATCAGCTTGGCTTCTCTTCCCCTTGGCAACAGAATCCTCCTTTCTTGCAACACAAACCATTGTTCCTCTGAGTTGCCATGGCTGTCCTTCCTGTTTGAGAAAACAGGAGAACTGCTGATGGGCTGCGAGGCTCAGAAAGGCTGGGATTCCTTTGCCATCAGAATTACAGTCAATAAGCCAGCAGCTTATTGTAGCTCATAGAGGAAACATACACTTTTCTGAACATGAAGCAGCCTTCTCTCTCTCTCTCTCTCTCTCTCTCTCTCTCTCTCTCTTTCTCTCTTTTCCTGTGTGTGCACGCGTACATATGCAGAAGACCTATTGTGCATTCATCTCCCAATGAGTCCTTATCCCAGAAAATTGTCTTCTGTTCCCAGGACAGCAGCCTCTCGACCCCCCTCTAGACTCTTGGCAACCCTTCCCCCCACCCCCTAGGCCTAGTTGCTCTGGTTAGCATTTGCAAAATGTACGCGGTGCATTTTGCCCCTTTCCTTCCTCCTTTTGGCCCCGACCACTGTGCGGTCACGGAATGAAAGATGCTGGGCTGTGCATGATTTGGAAACAGCATCTCTGCCCTCTGACTTCCATAGGGCCAGAGCTGCTGGGCTGGCCCTACACAAATGGGGGGGGGGCTGAGGCTGCTGTGCAGCTTATCTTGCTTATCTTATCTTGCCATCGACTGAGAGTGGCTGAGAACTTCCCCTTCTTACTTCCTCCATTAACTGCAGGAGTCCTGCAGCCAAAGAGCGGTTGCCAAAACATCAAATGCAGGAAGGGGCGAATTGCAGAGGCAGCTTAAGTTGCACCGGCTTTAATCATCAGAGAACAGCGTGACAATCCAATCTAAGCCAATTCAGGTTTAAACCCTCCCCCCCTCATTCTCAGAGGGCTTTCCCCCCATTCTGTTCAAGGGGGCACCAATAAAGGAGGATGTTTGTAGGGATCCTTGCTGCTCACTGAGCTTGGTGGTTTTCTGGCCGATGTTTCATGGAAAGGTGCAACGAAGGCTGGGCCATTGCAGGAGGCTTCCGGGCTCAAACTGAGCTCCTTGTTAGGAGCCACTATCCAAACGCCCCTTTCCCTCCCCTTTTTTAATTTCAGTGATTAGAAAACAATCCACCAATAATTCCAGGAGCTGCGTAGCCTTCCCACAAATTTCACTGTCAAAACATTTCAGTGGCAAAAAATTAAGGAAACCCCCCGGCTGAAAAATTCCAAGGGAGCCCTTGAGTGACTTGAAAAGCCAAAGCTTTGTGCAGAAATCGGACAGTGGCTGAGGTTTGGCATCTGGCTGCCAGAAGGGCATCTGTGAATTCCCTCTCACAATAATGGCGCCGCTCCAGGCCACAAAAGGAGAGCGAGACGTTGGCTGCAGAGCCTCCTTGGGATGGTCTGAGAGCCACAAGGAGATTTTCTGTGGGCCTGATGAATTTCGGAACAATTTCCACTGAAGTTAGTTCCAGTTCATTTCTTTCTGCTGCTCCCCTCCTCCCCTTGACGGTGAAATTAGGATTCAAGAGGGCCCTGGGTAGCAGATCTCCTTTTGCAGACTGCACACCCAATTCTCTGCCCACATAACACGATCTTTGTTGGGTGTGGAAAGCCTCTTTTTGTCTTGGTGTAAGCGGGAAGAGCTGGCTCCTGTCTGTAAAAGGCGCCATTCATCAGGCAGCTCTCCCCGCTGGAGACGGGTCTTGAAATGTTTCTCTTCCTAGCAAAGGAAAACAAATGAATATTGTCTATCTTCTTACATCTAAATTTTTCTGTGTGTGTGTGTGTGTGCGTTTCCCACAATTTAAAGTGTCCTTCTCTATTTGACAGAGGTGTTGGAGGGGGGGGGGTTGTATAGATGATCAAGTTGATAATCATAATTTATTAAGTTATACAGGTAGTCCTTGACTTACAACCCTAACTGAGCTCAAAATTTCCTTTGCTCCGAAGGAAGTTAAGTGAACCTGGCTTCCCCATTAACTTTGCTTGCCAGGAGGTCACAAAAGGGGATCTCATAAGTGAATACGGTCATTAAGCAAGTCCAGGTCCCCCTTTGCCTTGGCTTGTCAGAAGCCAGCTGGGAAGGTCACAAAGGACAATCACCAGACCAGGAGAGGCTGCGCCTGTCCTAAGTCAGTTGTCAGTTGCCAAGCATCTGAATTGTGGTCACGTGGCCAGGGAGATGCTGCAATGATTGTCAGTGTGAAAAACGGCCGTAAGTCACTTTCTTCAGCGAATGGCCACTGAATGAATGGCTGTAGGAGCCCTGGTGGGGCAGGGGTTAGAATGCAGCACCGCAGGCTAATTCTGCTGACTGCCAGCCGTTCAATCCTGGCTGGCTCAAGATTGACTCAGCCTTCCATTCTTCCAAGGTCGGTAAAATGAGGAACGATTGTTGGGGGCAGGGGCAATAGGCTGACTCTGTAAACTGCTTAGGGCTGTGAAGCACTGTGAAGGGGTATATAAGTCAAAGTGCTCTTGCTTTTGCTATTGTAAATCAAAGATTGCTTGTGTGCATCTCAGCGACTCTTGCAGAGTGGCAACATCATGACAAATGCGAAAACACATACACACACACCCTTTTACAGGCATTGCTCACACCTAAGAAAGGGGTGGAATGTGCACCACGGGGGTGGGGGTGACAGCAGCCCCGGTGGCGTTCCTTGAAGTGATGCCTCCAGTCCTGTGGATGCTTCCAAGGTCGAGGTCCGCCTTCTTTTAACGGGCCTTTGTTGCGCTCCGTTTCAGAGGACAGAGAGTTCAAAGCTCAACTGGAAGAGGTGCCCCAACTGATGCGGACGCGGAGCGACGTGGGGGTGCGCCGCAGAGGGAACCTTCGCACCCCCAGTGAGCAGCGGCGGATCAAGCGTCACCGCTTCTCCATCAACGGGCATTTCTACAATCACAAAGTGAGCCTTGGGGGGGGGGGGTTGAGGGGGGGGGAGAAGCCCCTTCGGCAAAGCAAGCGAGAAGATCCTAGGAGAGTGAATGGAGCTCCTCAGGAGCCGGTCTTAAAAGAGGCCATAAAAGTTCACCCTTCCCCCTTTATTGTTTTAAGCTGCATACAGGCAGTCCTCGATTTACGACTGGTCGCTTAGTGATTGCTTGAAGGTACAACAGACCTCCCCAAAAAGCACTTACAACCGGTTCCAAAGTTCCTATAGCACCCAAGTTTATCTTTTTGATCCTATTCTACTTTCAGTGAATTATGGCTAACCACCCATCGGTTGCATTCATCCCGTGCCCTGGTGGACTCTGGGAATCTGTGGGAACTCAACCACGATCCTGCCAGGTTGTGTGAACTGAACCAATTGTATGCAAGCATAACAAAGCGCATGTCCTGCGGACATTGTCTTGGTGTTTGATTAACCTAGTCCAGGCATAGACAACCTTGGCTCTTTTATGACTCGTGGACTTCAACTCCCAGAATTCCTGAGCCAGCCTGGCTCAGCTTGGAAATCTCCCTTTCCCCTCAGCATGGCTGGCTCAGGAATTCTGGGAGTTGAAGTCCACAAGTCACAAAAGAGCCAAGGTTGCCTACCCCTGCCCTAGTCAATCATATGATGGGAACTCAGTCTTTTAGTCTAACGTTGTCCTTGCCCGCATCACACATGGCCTGTAACAACTTCCTTCTCCCCTAACAGAAGTCTCAACCTGTCCCTCGCCTGATTCTTCTCACAAACCCAGCTCTCTCCTTCTGCTTCCTCCCTCAGACCTCAGTGTTCACACCAGCGTATGGCTCCGTCACGAATGTCCGTATCAACAGCACCATGACTACACCACAAGTTCTGAAGCTGTTACTCAACAAATTTAAGGCATGTTTTGTTCTGGTTGGTTGGTTTCTGCTGCAGGACCAGCTTTCTGACTTAGGGTACAAATATCAAATCTTAGCTTCTCTCTCTTAATGATTCCTTCCCCTACTCTACATGCCAAGCAAATCCTGTTTTGCATTCTGGGGACATTCGAAGGGTTACCTCCTGCTTGATCAAGAGTGCAAGGAGCTTTTCGCCTCCCCTGCTATCCCCAACGTTCCTTCAAACTGGCATTCAGTCTCCTGGCTTCCTCGGGGGGGGGGGGGCTGAATCAGGAGCAGGATTTTCTACAGAGCAACGAAAGCAACTCAACACTGTCAAATTATATTTTTGTCCCAACAACTGATGAGTTTACTTGTCAGCTACAAATACTCTCCCTTTATCAATACCTAATACTCTTTCCTCCTCCTGTTTTTCCCACAACAACAACCTTGTCTTCTCCAAGGGAGGACTAGAACTCACAGTCTCTTGGTGATCGACACAAAGTCACCTAGCCAGATATTGTGCCCAGAACGGGACTAGAACTCTCACCTTTTTGGTTTCTAGCTTACTACCTTAACTTAGTAGTTAAGTTTCAACTGAAGTCAGGATATCAGGCAATGTTGATCTGGACATCTGGAACTCCTTAGCAAAAGGACTCAGTCTTGGCCCGTTTGGAACAAGAAGCAGTTGGGGAGCTGGATAAGGGCTGCATGCACGGAGAACCAATGCTCTTTTTTTTTTTCCTGTTTTCAGATTGAAAACTCAGCAGAAGAATTTGCTTTGTACATTGTGCACACCAGTGGAGGTGAGAAGGATATTGTTGTGTCTTGCAGTGGTAGGGCTTCTGGGCAAGCTTTTTTTGACCCAAGGTCCTCTCTTGGGCCTCTCCAGTGAGCAGCTGGATAGAATCAGGATAAAGACATTTGTAGGGGCAGAACAAATATTAACATGAAATCCATTGCTGTATTTGCCTATTTTGTTATGAGCATTTCTCAGCCTCAGCAACTTTAAGATGTGTGAACTTGCTGGCTGGGGAGGTCTGGGAGTTGAAGTCCACACATTTTAAAGTTGCCAAAGTTGGAAAGCAATGGTTTACATAATTGTTCCCATATCCTGCCATAATAATAAACACAATTTAATCATAACATTTTGAGGTATAGTGGTGGAGGCCTCATGATAATTTCTGAGGCTGCTGTGAATATTTATCAAGGGCATATTAAAAGAAAAAGCTGTAACTAATCTTCACCCAAGCAAAAGACACATAAAGATACAAATAACTATGCTTGGCATTCAGCATGACCCTAGATTTCTTTTTTACTTTTCATCTTGGACAGCAGACTATCTGCTTTTAAAACTCCCAGATTTCCCAGAATGTGCCCAGAAGATGGGGGGTGGTGGTGTTTGTCTTCTTCTGAAAACTGTCCCCAAGTGTCAGTAGAGCGGGTGACCCTTCTAGGACTATTTTTAAAAAATACCGGCTAGCTCCATTTTTCTCTGCGAGGTGGCCCTCAGGCCACCTTTGCATAGCTTCCAGAGATGGTCCAGGTGTGTCCCCCAGTCAAATTGGCAAAACGAAACATTGGCAAGAGCCCTGGTGGCCCAGTGGTTAGAATGCAGCATTGCAGGCTAACTCTGCCCGCTGCCAGGAGCTCGATCCTGACCTGCTTAAGACTCAGCCTTCCGAGGTCGGTAAAATGAGGACCGAGCTTGTTGGGAGAGCAATATGCTACCTCTGTAAACTGTTCAGAGGGGCCTGTCAAGCACTGTGAAGCGGTATATAAATCTAAGTGCTACGTATTGCCATGAGATTCCAGAAGACCTTGAGAATCTGTGAGCAGAAAAAAACAGATAATTTCATGAGATTTCACTGATATATTTTGAATGAAGAAGACCACAAAAGAAAAAAGTTCACATGAAAAGTAGAAGGAAAAAGAAGAGGACAACCTCTAGTAAGGTGGATGAACCTAAATACACTGCAATGAACAACCAGATTGGGGATAAATCATTCTGGAGAAGGTGTGATCCCTAGGAATTGACATCAACCGGGGTGGGGTGGCGGGGGGGCACAGTCATTCTGGCTGTAGAAAGACTTTGGATGCTTCCTGGGAATCCAACAGGTGCATCCTATGTACACCGGGAGAAGTTTCTTGATTTGTGTTTTAGAGGAGGTCATTTTCTTTTTCCTGTTGGTAAACATGAGTTGTTCTTGAGGTCTGGATCCCAACCCTTGTCCTCGTTCTCTGTTTCCTGCAGAGAAGCAGAAGCTCAAGGTCACAGATTACCCACTGATTGCCCGGATTCTGCAGGGGCCATGTGAACAGGTTTCCAAGGTTTTTTTGATGGAGAAGGACCAGGTGGAAGAAGTCACATATGATGTGAGTTATTGTGTGGTGGGAATCCATTCTTTGCTTATCACGTGGAGGTGCTTCCTCAGTCTCCAACATCTTTGGAGGAGGAACATGCTAGGCCCCACCATTAAAACCTCTCCTGGGCTTTCTTTCCAAAACCCCCATGTCTTCAGGGGACAGCTCTTCACTTATTTATGTAATTATTTCTCATTATCTGTATTAATAATTGACTTGCTCATGAATTATTGGGAACTATTTTGAGTACTTGCTGCTATATTTATTTCAGGGGTGGGCCCATAAAACCTACTCATTCAAACCTTAAAGAAATGGGTATTTAACTATTATTTTAGCACAATCCACCTCATTAGTTTGTTGTGGGAGAAGAGTGGAGATGTGACACTGTCTCTAACCTTTTGGGTTCTGGAGGAAATGTGAGACGTGTGCTTTATTCCCTCAAGTGCAGAGGGACACAAGTGCTTCAGAAATAGCACCGAGGGATGAAATGGGCCTCCATTTCCCCATTATTAGCCTTACTTTGTTGCTGTGATGCCTAAATGGCTCAGAGAACAGGGCTTCCCAACCTTGCTGGCTGGGGAATTCTGGGTGTTGAAGTCCACCCATCTTGTTGTTAATTGCGAAGTCGTGTCCGACCCATCGCAACCCCATGGACAACGTTCCTCCAGGTCTTCCTGTCCTCTACCATCTTCTGGAGTCGATTTAAGTTCACGCCTCCTGCTTCAGTGACTCCACCCATCTGGAACAGAGAGCAAGGAGCTTTTCTCGGCTCCTATACAGAAGTCCACGAGGTTTGCAAAAACTGGGTGTTCCCAAACCATCTGCTTCACTTTTCCGTACTTTGTGTGTCTATGCAGGTTGCTCAGTATATTAAATTTGAAATGCCTGTTCTAAAGAGCTTTATCCAAAAACTTGAAGAGGAAGAAGACCGGGAAGTGAAGAAATTAAGGCACAAGTAAGTTTTTCCTTTCCAGGGAACCAGCAACAGGAGAAAAAATGTCTAGTAATCTTCTAATCTGTAGATTACAGGTAGTCCTTGGTTTACAACAATTTGTTTAGTGGCCAAAGTTGCAGTGGCACTGAACAAAGTGACCTGTGGCCATTTTTCACACAACCGTAGCGGAATATCCACGGTCACATAGATCAAGCTTCAGAAACTTGGCAACTGACTCGTATTTATTGCAGTGTTCCGGGGATCATGTGGTCCCCTTTTGTGACCTGACCAGCAAAGTCAATGGGGAGGACAACCGTGCTGCTAACGTAACAATCACAGCAAGTCATTTAACAAGCGTGGCAGGAAAGGTTGTAAACTGGGGCAAAATTCACTTAAGGAATATCTTAGCAACAGGAATTGTGGTCGTAAGTTGAGGACTACCTGTAAAAGGTCTGGAGGACTTCCAGCCTCCTGGAGATGCTTCCAAAAACCTTGTGTGATTCAGAGAAGGACATGACTTCCATTCCGTTCTCCTCCTCCCTCGACTGATCCAGCGGTCCCTTCCCTTTAGCTGCTGTCAATTGATAACTCTTCTATTCTGGATCCCTTTAAGGTATTCGGTGCTACGTATAATGATTGCGCAGCGGCTAGAAGAAATCTCTGAAGGTCCAGCAACAATGTAAAGGCTTGCTTTGAAAGACTGCAGCCTCCTGGCCCTGCCAGTCGCCAGCCAGGAACTCTGGAGAGAGATTTCCTCCAGAAGACTTGCTTCCTTGCTCTTGTGAAGAAGGATGTTTCTTCTCCCAGGAAAGGCATCTGAACAAGAGCCGCTTTGAGCACCATCTTTGCTCCGTCTCCCTTTAACAACAGTGAACTCTGGGAAGATGGGGAGGATCCCTCTCAGCACCAAGTGTTGAAAACAGGACATCTCAGTGTCAGTTCCTTTCGAGCTGATGCCGGTACTGGATGATGATCCTTGGAACCCGGCCTTCTGGATGAGAAGTCTCCGGAAGTCAAGTCCGTTTCCTCCACAGAGCAGTTCTTTCCTTCTCAAACCCTTTCAAATATTATCCAGGGTTGGGGAGAGTGGGGAGAAAAGAGACGCTTGATGGAAAACTAAGTTTTCCCTAAACTTGACTTCTGCAGCTTAGCAGTAGTAAATATGGATCTTTTGTGGAGTCAAAGTATTAAAATGCTTTGAAATTTCCCCAGGCAGCTTCACCTTTTCTACCCCTCCTCACCCAACCGTCCGTGTCTGGCCTTTATGTTCATTTCCCCCTCCCACCATGCTCATTGCCGTGTTTACAGCGGCTGTGTTGGGTCTGGCACAACTCCTGACCTGGCCCCAGCCTTCTTGGGTCTTCTGAACGGAGCCTTGCCTTCTGTCCACCTTTCCTGCTTGGTCCCCAAGTTCTCTAAAGCAACCTCAAGAGATGAGGTTGCCTGCCCAACGTAGGAAATCTGCTCAGTTGTTTTGGTTCATCAGTCGAGACTCCCCAGCTGGGCACAGGGCGTAGAGCCTCCAGAAATCAAAAATAGCAATAGCGCTGCAACTTATATACGGCTCCGTAGTGTTTTATAGCACTTTCTAAGCGGTTTACAGAGTCGGTGGGTCCTTATTTCATTGACCTTGGAAGGATGGAAAGCTGAGTCAAAAATACTTCCCTGCCTTTTTTGCCTCTACCTTTCTCCAAGTAGCTGTTCCTTCTCTTCACATTCACTTGCTATTCCTGGATACTTTGATTCTGATACGGTACTCATTTTTGTCCCAGGTTTGTGAATTCCCAGACTATAGGGGTGGTGCTGGCTGCTGGCAGCTGGGCTCAGAAGCTTTTGCCCTTTGCAAATCCTTTTGTAGAGGGGGCCTCTGGCAAGACCATCGCTCTTCTGCATCCTTGCTTCTCATAAATCCCAAAGCTTTGTGGTGGCTTCTTCTTAAGGGCCCTTAAAGACGCCCTTAAGTTTCCGCTGACTTTGGTCAGGCTCTGGATACCGTCTGCTGCCACGGACTTTGCAAACTCTTGGCAGGGACAATGATGTGGAATAATAGATAAGCAAGCTCGGTTGGTCCTGGCCTTTCGAAAATGTCCCCTCCACCTTAAATACCACCTAGGGGTTATTCTCAGGTTTGCCAGAGCTCAGCATGGGCTGGCTTTGCACAAAATGCTGGATCGAGGCTCACAGCTTGTGCTTCAACTTGTGAGAACCCAGCCATTGTCTTGTGAGCGAAATCGTGACCTGTCACCATAAGAGGGTTTATATTGGGCACGGCATGAGATACGAATCTAATATTCCTTTTGACCTGGATTTAGTGTTGTGTGTGAATTAAGCTATTGAGTGACCAGGGATTCTCACTGAGCATTTCCCCAAACGATTTGGACTAACTTGTGTGAACGTAGGATGCCATCTTCCACTGAGTTACTGCACAGATTTTGGGTGGAGAGCATCAGCCTTGGCTGCCGACAGCCCTCCAGAGAGCTGGAATCTTTCAAATCTGCCTGGAGACCCCACGGATTAATCTTCTCTTTGCAAAGCAAGTGTATTCAGTGCCCTGCCGGGCTGGATGAGATAAAGAATGTTGCGGTCCAACACATTGAAGTGCATCAATTTTATAAAGGCCATACGGAACACAGGAAATGGGGGGGAATTAGATATGCAACTCCCATTAATGGATTGTTAAAAAGTAGTAATGAAAAAGAGAAAGGCCTTTTCCCGTTTTTTTCCCTTGAAAAGCTCTTTGGGGAGCTTGGAAGAGTGTAGGTTGGAGCAGGGAAGGAAAGAAGAGCAAATTTCTCTTACTTGTTACTTTCTGCACTTTCTCCCTTCAAGGACAGGAGAGCTTAAAGGCCTAGCTGTGCATTCAGGGTTTCCTCTGGAAGGCTGCTGGGGGAAAAAAATGGAGCAAAAGCGGACGAGGGAAGGATGCGCCTCGCCCTCTTCAGCGCTTTGTGCCAAGTTTTGCTTCTCCTGTTTACATGCAAAGGAGAATCACAGCTTCAGTTTAGACATTCTTGAGGGCAAGATTCCTGCATACGCCTTTCAATGTTTAGACCAGGGTTTCTCAAACTTGGCAACTCTAAGACATGTGGACTTCGGCTTCCAGGAATTCTGGGAGCTGAAGTCCGCCTCTCTTAAAGTTGCCAAGTTGAGAAGAAATGGCTTAGACCGTTCCTCTGGAATGAATCTCACTGGAAGGGGTGACATTTTTTAAAGACTGCAATATTATGCAGGATAAATTTACCAGGAAATTTATCCAAGGGATGTCTGTGGAGTGTTTGTGTGTGTGTGTGCGGGTCTGTCTGTCTTTCTGTCTGTCGAAAAGAGGCACAATGGTGTGGCTTTAGATTTTTTGTAACTCCACCCTCCTGAGAGTCCCACAGAAGCCATGAGACCCCTGCCCAGATAAAGGCCCTGGGAGCCCCATGTCTATTTCCACTAGCTCGCCTTCTAACATCACTTTACTCCTAAATTGCACTAGACTGTGGAAACTTCAGAAAAAAACCCAATCTTTTCTATCCATTCCTCTCCTAACTAACCTCCTCACATCACTGTACTCCTAAATTTCACTCGATTGATTGTGAAATGTCTGAAAACCCCCAACATAGATAAATCTAGTGAAATTCAAGAGTAGAATGATAGGAGTAAAGTGATATAGATATATATGTCAAATATCACATGCACAGGAAAGTTACAGCAATAATTTGTACAGAAATGTCTTCCCCCCTTTATTTGAAGAGATTTAAGAACAAAGCAGCACAAACAAAATTCAGCATCTTTCAAGGAAATGGTTTGGAAGCGACTCCAGACATTCCTTCAGGGGCTGAATAGCACAAAGCTAGTTGTAGCCAGTCGTGATCCGCATGCTCCTTGTAGTCCAAATGTACACTCGTGTCCTTTGTTTCGTTTAGGTCTGGAGATACCTAAATACCTGGAGATAGTGTGTATTGGGCAATGGGGTGAACATTTCTTTTTTTCTAATAAAATTTGTGTCGTCTGGTGTATGAAGAAACAATTGTGTCTCAAATTCTTAATAAAATGACAATTTGGCAGTGTAAAACTGGCTCTGCATTGTTTCAAGAATGGATTTCCTGCATAATTCGGAGGGTGCCGCCTTGAATGACGATCCAGGCTGTGAACCCTCTTGGCGAAGATTTTCTTGGAGGCAGCTCAAAGTTGTGGTACAATATGTGTGAGAACTGCACTGCTCTAATTCTGCAGTTGCCAAGTGATAAAACACGAAAGTATGGCTGTATCTTTTTTCTAAAACCCCCATGGCTCCATTCCTGCTGGAAATTCAGGCCTTGATGGAGAGGGGTGGGTGGGAATATGTGAACAGAGCTGGCAGAATCAGCTATGCTGCTCCCAGCATTTTAATTTATTGTAAAAACAGAGAAAACAATTCTTTTCTCTAGAAAAGAATTACTTTGTAGGAAAGTATGAAGTCTGGCTTTTTGGGCAGTTGCAACACATATTTAAGTGATTAAAGTTTCCAAGATCCCTTTCAGTTTTCAAACTGTCGTTAAGCAGACAGTCATAAGTTGAAGACAACCTGTAATTCGTAAAGTGCCAGCCGTAATCCTTGGAAGTTCTTTGTTATAGTCACGGGGTGCCACACACTCATTTCACCATTTGGAAGAGGTCACAGCATGGACCCAATTGAGACTCCTGGCTTGGGGTGGCTTGCTTCTCAATTCTTTCCCTGCAAGATTGGAAGACTGATTTTATCCATGGCAATCACAGCAAGATTACTGTACGTACAATGAAGGAAGACTAGTGAAATTCTTACAGTGGGGAATGAATTGTGAAAATGTCAGAATTGGCAGAAATGGTTAACAGATGAGGAAAAACATCAGTTACAAGAGTTGAAAAAAAACCCCTATGAAACAATACAACTTTAAAATCAGGGCTAATTAATATCTCACTGAATCCCATCTTCAAATGGTAGCATTTATCTGAAAGAAAATAATTAAAGCAAAGCCTGACAGCTTGTGGTCATTACAGCTCCCACTTTTTATGCAAGTCACTGAGAGCTGATGTTCTCACCGTGGAGGATCCACCTCCGTTGAATTGTGGATTGCTTTTCAAAGTCCTGTGACCTCTATTGAAACTGGGGATACCCAGGCCAGCTATACAAGAGAGCTGAGCTTGCGTTACCAAACAGAGGATGGTGAAGCTTTGATTTCGTACAGATGTCCCAACATGCCCTTAGACAACGTGGTCTTCAATAATCTCCAGGGACCTATCACTGGTGGTTAATCCAGGGAGACAGTAAGCGAGTAAGTGATTGGCAGTAGAGCTTGTGAGTTTACTGGCTTTCTTTGTGGTGTCTTTACAATATTTCTGACATGGTTCCGAAAGAAAGCAGATTTTCAAAGAATTTTGAGGCTTTTTCCTCTAAAAGAATCTTTTATTATTCTGCATAGCTTCGGCACTAACAAAGTTAAGCCAGAAACTGAATCCTCCCTCCCCCAAGCATCTGTAACAAAGCATAACTCACTCCTTCATTTTACAGTCATCAATCACATTCTCCAATTAATGTGAACCGTGAGGTGCCCCTCCCGTTGCAGCTGAGCTGACCTTGGCCACACTGTGCCCAGACATTGTTATGGTTAACTTGCATACTTTCCCACCCCTTAACCTACTGCTATCTGTCTTAACTCTAGAAATGCTACTCGGCTAAATAAAACAGGTTTGCTTCTTCATATATGGCAAGCAAGAACATACGATGTTAGCAGTCTTGACAATTTCACCCTGATTCCAAAATCTTTGCACTTCCTCTTGCATACCTTTCTGCTTTAAAATGAGCCCAGTTCTCACAAACTTGGCTCTGTTCTTTCTTTCAACTTACATGAAATGTGTAGTATTGTTTCGATTTTCTTCATGCTCCATGTGTCAGCAACTGAACCTATAAAAGTTCTTTCATGAGTAGGCTTTCCCCAGATTTTTCTCTTTGCAGAAACAAAATCTCAGTGGTTAAAGATAAACCCACCAGGAAAAGCAGGACACAATCCATTAAGCTGTTTTAACAGATCAAATTAACTCATCTTGTTCAGAGTAGAGCGATTCAATTATTTTCCTGGATGGGATAAGCTCATGCCAGTTTCACCAGCTGGTCTTGGGGAGAATTTTCTTGGAGAAAAACCAAACTATTAGAAAGAGGGATGTTTGGGCATCCCTCCAGTACTGACTTCTCCAATTTAATGCCTCCAAATATGTTGCTAACGTATTACTGGACTTTAATATCTGTCGATTCAAAAGGCAGCAGGTTAAGGAAAGTTACTTTAGTAAGATGAAGGCAGAATATGACACCTGAACCATTTTTTAGTTCAAAGCCTACCTTTAGTGTCTTAAAGAGTCCTTAATCCTAGTAAGGCTGTGTTTCTTCTAAACTTTGAAGATTTAAAGTTGAAGACTGACGGAAGACCCTCAGTGAGTTTCCTCCCTTAATTAATTCAAGGGCTCTCAAAAAAAGGGTCTCTGTAGGGAGGTTGGTGCGTTTGTGTGTCAAAAAAGTCAAGATAGTGGTTGTAACCACCTGTGCAGTCCCTGTCCCCTTTTTCTCTATGCTGCACATGCATGTCCTTGACGTGCACAACATGGGGCTCTCCAGCTTTCCTTGTCCCACTAACACGATCATTGGAGAGCACCAGCTTAACTGAGACAGACCCACAAGGATCCTCTCTTGGGAGGGGGAAGTGATGGGTCTGTTCTCAGAGCATCCCTCAAAGCTGGCTTTGCATCCCAAACTGGCTCTCTGTAGCAGCTGCTGCAAATGGGTTTTTGTTGTGTACACAGGCGTTGTGTAAAGCAGTCATGTGAGGGACACAAGGGGATGTGCTGAGGTATGTGTGGAATGATGGATGAGTGCACACCATTCTCCATCCCTTTGTGTTCCCAGTTCCCAGAAGATTCGTCTCTGCTGTGTGGCCTGAGCCTGAATTTTGCTTAACAAGACCATTCCATCGTGAAAGGACTGGCTGGGTAATTCTTGATTAGCAAATCGGCCTTCCATTTATTTTTGAAATCAAAATAGTGTTTATTTGGCCAAGGAGCAGCAACATTTGATAAAATACAGCACCAAAATAAAATCAAATAGATGAGATAAAATACTAGCATAACAAAGATAAAATAAATAAAAATGTAACCCACGCTACTAAGTTGATGTATTGATTACCTTTGCAAATACAGATTTAATATTTAATCTGTAAAGTAAGAATTGACATCTAGATTGTGCTGCCTTTGATCAGTTGTGAAGTTCCAGACCGGTTGCTGTTTTGTTTGGAGCAGACAGGACTAAAGCCCAGAATTTATATTATTTGTTTTGATTCATTAGTCAGTGTTTCTCAACCTCTGCAACTTTAAGATGTATGGGCTTTAAGCGTACTGGAGGGGGAATTCTGGGAGCTGAAGTCCATATGTTTTACATTTGAGAAACAAGAGCTTAGTCGCTCCATGAACCCTCTGCTCAAGACAGGATTTGAATTCAAATATAAACCTTGATTTTATTGACTATATAAGGAGGAACTTCTTGATAGACCATTCCTCTGCTGTATAGATCTTACTCTCTATGAAGATGGTGGATTTTTCATCTCCGAAGGCTTTGTAGAAAGGACTGACAGTCTGTTCTCATAAATAGTTGAATAGGTTTTGTTGCACACCACATAGATGAGCCTTGTGGTCTTTCTCAATGCCACAATTCTATGATTCTAGCCCAGCTCTCTAACCACGTGTGGTCTGCACACCCTGCAGTGTCCGTACACTCCAGCTGCAGGAATGACGTTGGATTGGCTGGGTCTTTCTCTGAGATGCCAAAATAGCAGCTTGCTTATCCTCCTGGTTTCCTTCAGACCACTCCGCTTAAAATATGGGCAAGCTTTGGGCCAAACTAGAGAGGGCAAGGTCACTCCATTTCCTTTTCTTTGCTTAAAGGAGAGTGGCGAACTATGGGCCCTTCACGACTTGTGGACTTCAACTTCCAGAATTCCTGAGCCTCTATCTGTCCTTTAAACAATCAAATGTTGGCCTCCTGGGAACCTTGTCTCTTAAATGAAGTTTTTAATCTTTACGTAGTCATATAAAATTCAAAATGTGAGTCCATGATATTTCAGAAATAAGAGAAGAGTGGATTAGATAACGGACCAGATTGTAGCCCTCAACTTCAAACAGGGCAATATTGATGCACAATATATAAACTGCGGTTCGTCAAAGATTCATTCAGATTGCAGAATTAAGAGATTTGGAGGAAGAGTGAAAGGCTGCAGAGTCCCTCTTAACTTCAGGATTTGAGGTTGCTCAGAAGCTTCCAGGGGCTTCTGCCACCTCAGTGCTGCTGGCTGAGAACCCACCTTGCTCCCTTGGTCTTTCTGTTCCAGGAGAAACATCATGAGGTACGGCTGGATCACCTGCTGCTGCATAGTTCTGCTGCTACTCGCCCTTTCCAGTGGAGTGGCTTCTTCCTGCAGGGCAGGTAGAAGAGAAGGCTCAAACAAAGGGTCGCCATCCCAGGGAGAGGCTCACTCTAAGCCGAAAAGCAGCAGCAACAAACAGAGCCAAGCCGGAGGTGGCCACGGTGCAAAAATGGCAGGGCTGGCCGCAGTGGGCGCAGCGATGGGATACGGCTTGAATTCTCTCAGCAAGTTCCACTTTGCCCAGAGAGGACATAGCTCTCCTTCGGCTGGGAGAGAGAAAGGCCTCAGTTCCTCAGCTGTGGTGGTGAAAGGCCAACTCCACAGCCAGGCCTTGAAGGGGCCCAGCCTCCTGGCCTTCTCCCTGCTGGTGTGTGGCCTCATCACATCCCTCGTCTAGAACTAATGGGTTGTGGGGCATCAGCCCAGCCAGGGGTTGAGAAGAGGACCTGTTATGCCTCTTGCCCTGGATTTGTTTTGCAGTGGTGAAGCTATCTCCTTTTGTGGCTTTTAGCGTTGGAACGGAAACGCTGACAACTTTAAAGCAACCCAAATATAACACAACTGTGTCTGAGTGCAGTTCAAGGCAGAATGGGTAGATAATAAATATTTATTTTTCTTGCCTCAAGTGTAAGATCCCTTCTCACTGCGTCCCTCAACAGCAGCCTTGTGGGTTAGGCTAGGCAGAATGGAAGCGGCTTGTCCCAAACCACCTTCAATCCAAGTTCTGCTTCAAACCTTAATCCTTACCTTGTCAGGCATGTCTAAAAAAAGAGCATTTCCTAGGCTGGAAGAAAAGGCCGAGGTTCTGCCCTCAAAGGAGACTTGGCCCTGGATTCTGGCTGGGGGGAGCGGGGGCAAGCGGTCAATGTTTCTCACATGGATGGATGGAAGGCGTTTGGAGATCTGTGTAGAATTGGGATTCCACACTTTGTGGATAGTGTCGCCCACTTGGAAGATGCCAAGCTTGGGGAAACATTGCCTGGGATATATGTAGGCTCAAGGTCCAGAATACCTGCACATGCCTGGTTCTATCTTGCCCTCCTGTTTATTCTCCAAAGGTTCATACATTTCAGGAATTACAGCTACACCTTAACTTAATGGAATGATGATAATAACAAGATGAATAAAAATGCCAAATCCAGTCTCAACATCTGGCTGACTATGTGAACAGCAATAATAGCAACCATAATATTACCAATAGTGATAGGTGCCTTGGGTATAATCCCAAAACATCTGGAGCACTACTTAAACGCTATCAGCATTGGCAAAAATCACCATCAGTCACCTGCAAGAGGCAGCTTTATTTGAAACAGCTTACTTCCTGTGACAATATCTGTAACACCTTAAGACAATAACATCTGCCTATCCCAGGTCCTTGGGAAGGACTCATTAGATGGATAAAAATGCCAAACCCCATCTAAAGATCTGGCTGACTGTGTGATGCAGCGTTAAAATAGAAATTATGTGTCTAAGCAGTAGTAATATTTTTAGTATGGATTTTTAATTATTCTCTGACTTTGGTCTCAGTATTTTTTTATAGATGGCTCATAAAATGTTAGGAGGCAAGGAAAATATTAGTAAATATTTGTATCTTGGCAGTATATTTTGTTTTTCTCTTTTAAAAGACATAAATAACTTGGTGTGAAAAAACCCCACAATAATAAAAAGTTCTGTTTGCTCTAGTGTCTGCAGTTATTGTGTAAGGACATCCTTCCTGTATGCATAAGCTGTTCTCTTCCCTTGCCAATCCAAATTCAGCATTTAATTAGTGCATGTTATCTAAGCTTTTATTCCCAGAGATGGAGAACAAAATCCATCAATGCACACACATATCTGATCACAACAGTGAATTTAAAGCGGTTCTTATGTAAAAAGCATGTTCTGCATGCAAAGAGCATATTGGCAAACTGCTATGCAGCGTCTGTGATATAAGCACTGAGTTTCAACTTTGGGGGATATTTTGCAGGCAAATGATCTGTACGAGGTTGCCCTCTGAAGGCAGAATTAGGTAGAAGTCCACAAATACACATTCAAGAGCAGGTTAATGTTTTTGTGGCCAACTCTTGACTATTGTGGAAATGGTTTTCAAAGTGAGTTCTGGGAGTTGAAGTCTGCAAGTTGGAGACTCCTGTACTAATATTTGGCCCCTTCTCACTTTGAGTTAACCACAGACCTGACCTGGTATCTTTTGACTGCCATGCTCCCATCAGATTATCCTCATTTCACTGCCACCCTTTGGGTGGAGTAATGAAAGCTTAAGGGGGACTGTTATTAAACTTTATTTAATGTTCGTGTGTGTGTGTGTGTGTGTGTGTGTGTGTGTGTGTATGTTTGTGTGTAGAGAGAGAGAGAGAGACAGAGAGAGAGACTCATTTTTGTATCAAATTCTGTTTTATTAGAATTTTGTACTGAATTGCATAAGGCATTTAGTATTTTGATTAGTAATTATTTAGTATTCAAAGTCATAGGCACCAGCTATACGAAATCTTTTAAGCTTTGTCACCCGTTATCTCCAAGAGGATTGGCAGTGATTAGGAACAGAGGTAATAAAAGCAGGACAGGGATTAGCAATGGGACAGCAAGTATCACTGCAGGATAGTTTCTGAGGAAAGAATTACGAAATTTGCTTCATTGGTATGCTGACATCCTGATGTGCACTTGCTTCCTCTTACCCCTGGTCTCCATGGATGCCCATCAATCCAGGTTTCTGCATGGAAGGACAGGGGATGAAAGGAGGAAAAGGAAGAAAACATCATCATACATGGATGGCCTGGAACCATCCAGACCCAGATACCTTCTCGGCAAATTCTTGGGTCCTTCACTACTGCTGCCTGCTAAAGAGCTTGTTTTGCTTTCTCCTGATTTTCCCGAGATCTGGCTCCCAGGAAGCCACATTATCACCACCTTCTGATGCTCTCACTTACTATAACTCAGTTTTTTATCATTTATTTTAAGTGCTTCCCCATTTTGCTTTGATCAGTCATACTGGTATGTGATAATGACTTGGGAAAAAGAGAGCAGAACGAAAGCCCAAGAATCCTAGACGAGGGCAATGCAGCCTCAGGCAGACAAAAGGGAGCCACGGTGAAGATGCAAAGTAATTACTTGAGAGTGTAATTATGAAAGGGCCTAAGGGAAAGGCAACTGACCCCCCCATTTAGCACCTCCATCCTCTGTGCTAGGATAATGGCAAGATGTAGGTTGGATACCATAGCTCAGTGTTTCTCAACCATGGTAACCTTGAAATAGGTGGACATCAACTCCCAGAATTCCCCAGCCAGCATTGATTCTCCAGGGTCACGTGATCTACTTTCGGATACTTGACAACTGACTCATATTTATGATGGCTGCAGTGTCCCGGGGTCACATGATCCCCTTTTGTGACCTGGCAAGCAAAGTCAATGGGAGAGCCAGATTCACTTAACAACCGTGTGACTAATTCAACAACTGCAGTGATTCACTTAACAAATGTGGCAAAAAGGATGTAAAATGGGGCAAAACGTCCAACCATCAACTCCATTGTGGACCCAGGAATTATTGCTGGTACTTGCTAGATGTGTTGGATAAAGTTTAACAAGTAGTGAGATGATTTTGGTGGCTCTGGACTATGGGCATTCCTGTCCAGCGTTATCTGAAAAGCAGCAGAATATGTGTGTCATGCTTCCAATAGATGAGAATTTGGCTGTGTGTGTGTGTGTGTGTGTGTAAGCCTGTAGCTGCAGATAAATGTTCCTGAATGACCTTGTATCTTCCAAGATTTTAATTGTATCTGGCTCCAATACCCTTGTCCACTACTCACCTAAGTGTAGAAGATGGGAATGTGTTTGCAGAGGACGTTAATTGTGGTTCCCAAGTTTGAACGATCCACCTGGGATGTAAAGAATTCTTCATGCACTTGCTCCTTCCTCTTTGACATGAGATGCATGACGGACAACTTGGTCTACAAGAGAAGACAACATAGCTGGACCTCCCCATTCCTTTTGCTGAAAAGAAGAAAAGCTAACTGATATGGCTCCACAGGGTTCTGCTCAGGGTTCTGTGGGACAACATTATCTTTTCCTCACTGCAAACTAACTGAGTTTCTTTCCATTAATGCTGATGTTTGCCATGTTGTCCTGGAACCTTTTCTTCACTTATCAAAGTCCCCATCCTTACCTGGAATTCTTGGAGGAGAGCATCTACTCCTTGGACATTTTCCTTATCCATCCTGGTAATGTAACAGGTTTTTTGATGTTCAGGTTTGTAGCCAATCAGCAGCTGTGAACAAGGCATTGAGATTCCTTTAAACTCAGTTTACACCTTGAAGTACATTTCTGCAGCACATACACCAATTGTAAAAGTTCAACATCAAATTTGCCCAAACGTTAAATTGCCCTTGATAAAATATTTACTTGCTTCTTTTTAGCATCTAATATTGCAATGCTGCCTTTGGTGAGAGCTGCAGTGCATCTGCTACTAAAAATTGTCTTCCTTGGTGGGAATTTAGCAGACTGGGGTGGAAACAAGTCCCCAGATCAGGTCACCTTCTAGGTCAGACATGGTCAGGACTCTAACTAAACTTTATGAAATTATAGATTTGGGTCTCATGAGTCAGGGGGGCAAGTGACATCACAAATGTCATCACACAATGATGCAAATGATGTATTAGCATCTGCATCATTTGTACAACAAGGCTACATACAAAACTACAAAAATGCCAGCAATTTATTTATAAAGGGTTGATCAGTTTCATAACCTTCAGCCATGTATTTTTAGCCATACACTACCTATAGCTTAGTCTTAGTTCAGCAGACTTTTGGTGATTTGTTCATAAAATAAATAATTGCCTGACTCCAATGGATTTATTGATCTGCCCTGTCTATCTTAAATTATTGGCTGTTCTGTGAACATGTGTCTATTAGCCACGTCTTCACTGAACATTTATTTGTCCCTTGGGGGGGGGATCAGGGTTTCTCTGCATGTCCCAGTAGCCACACAATGCTGCCCACCTTACGGGCACCTCGTCAGAACTGCCACTTCATGCCTGCCCTCCGCAATTGCCTGGGGACCAGTCCGGCATAAGGCCTGGGGGGAGGGGGAGAGGGAGAGGGAGGGGAAGGGGGCGCGCTTGGAGGGAAAGTGAAAATTAAGAAAGTGAAGGTGCCTGCCTGAGACCAGGTTTGAAGGAGAGAAATGCAGCTGCAAGCCAGCCTACAGTCAGAGTGGCCCTTTCCAAAACAACAAGGAAGAATTTCACATTCAAGACACAAATGGACTTTTTTCAAATGTCAAAGTTCAGGGCTACAGTGGGAAATTGTGTGCATTTGGAAAATCTGGGAATAGTTCTTTTAGTCAGGTTCCATACAATTGTGTTTCTCTCCGTGGGCTTGAGAAGGTGGGCCAATCTGTACTCAGGATCTTCTTAGCCTTCCACAGCTCACCCTAAGTGCTGCACTTCAGCTTCTTGTGTGCAAAATAAACCTGACTATTCCTCCATCCAGGTAATACCTGGGTTTCTTTCTCTCCCAGCTGCCACTCACCTTGGCAAAATCATAAATGATGGTGGCTGGGTTGTGGATCCCGTCATCCACATAATAAGTGGCTACTTCTTCCTTATCAATGGAGAACTTCAACTGGGACTCTTCTCCGTCCAACTCGTCAATGGTCATGTGCAGAAGCTGCATGGAATAGAAAGATCCCTTTCGGCTTGCTTGCAGCAACAGTTACTAGAGCATTGATTTTACTAGAGGTGATTTGAGACTGGACAGGAGAGGTGACCCTCCTCTTGTGGTGCACAGTTTCCTCTTGGCAGCCTCTCTAATGGAAGAGCTGCTAAAGCTTATTGGCCGGGAAGATTGGAAACTTAGATAAACTTAATTATTGCTGTTGTTAAACTAATTATTTCAGGTTTTTTAAGGAACCAACTGGATGGAGAGCCCTTCGTACATGTATCTGAACCTTCATAACAGGAGCATCCAGAGACGTGGTGGTAAACGCTGAAGAACCAGCTCCGTTATGTCTCTGCACTGCTAGCTGTAGAAGGTTGGAGCATCGTGGCCCAGCTCTGCTCTTAAGCAGCTCACAAAATCCCTGAAAATTTACCCACAGCTCTCAGAGTCGGTGCAAGGCAGTCCCAGAACACGTCTGGTTCTCCCTGCTCCTGCAGCTTCCCTCGCCTCTCCTGCTGGCTTCAGACCCAGGGCAAAGAGCCCCTCTCCATCCAGCCCAGTCTCCTCGGGCCCAGCGCTCCCCTACTTACGGCCTCCGTGTGCACCTGGGTGATGTGCAGCCCCATCAGAAGAGCGCCCACGACAACCAGCACCACCAGGCCAACAACCACCAGGACGATCAGGAACCTCTTGATGTTCACCGGGCAGCCAACTAGTTTGGGCAGTTGGCATAGCAGGCGTGGGAGGCAGCAGCACAGCTGGCAGCAGCAGTCGCAGCTGGGGGGGCAGCAACAGTCGCAGCTGGGGGGGCAGCAGCAGCTCGGGCAGCAACAGCAGTTGGGGCAGGAGTCACAGCTGGGACAGGAGTCACAACCACAGCAGGGGGGGCAGCAGCAACCTGGACAGGAGCCGCATCCCGGACAGGATCCACAGCCCGGACAGGATCCACAACTCGGACAGGAGTCGCATCCTGGACAGGAGCCACAGCCCGGACAGAGATCACAGCAACCCCCAAGCTCTGGATCCAGGGCATGGTAGGCCTGTGGAGGTAGATGAAAGGGGAGAGAGAAAGAGGGAGGGAGGGAGAGAGGGAGATTATGGGAGATCCACGGGAGGGAGAAGAAGAGAAGATCCTGCCTGCAGGAATGTCCTGAGCCACCTTTGGACCACCAAGAGTTTACTCAGCTCATGGGAAAAGCAGGTAACAGACAGGGGGACGGGAAATCATCCCTCTTAAAAAAGCTAATTGAAACGGGTGGGAGAGAGAAAAGAGGTGAACATCCATCACCACCACTGCAGTTCAACACAATATTTGCTTGGTCTGGAGATTTCCAAAGTCCTGGCATCTATTTCCAAGATATAACTCAAGGAATTCCTTTTTAATTATAACTTCTGAGACAGGAACTGTAACTATGAGCCATCGTCAAGAAATACTGAATAACATTTTGCAGAGAGGCAAGCTTTTAATTGGGCTTTTAAAAGGCAGATAATTGGGTCTTCTTACAAGTGAACCTGCTTCAAAAGAAAGTCCCAGGTGCTCAGGTAATTCAGGCACTCACTTAAACCTTAACCTCTGCAATTTGGAAAAAGAAAATACCAAGGGAAGGAAGCGTAATCATGTAGGAATGGGACTCACAGCTGATGGTGCTTTGAGTAGAGTCTCCTTGGTGACAACTTCTGTCTTCTCCATCTCCATCACTGGGCTCTCTCCTCAACATGAGGTCTACCCCTCGCCAGTTACTGAAGTGGAAAGTCAAAGCTATATATATATATATATATATATATATATATATATATATATATATATATATATATATATATATATATATATATATACACATATACAGGAAGTCTACTGTAAAGGAGAAGGGAGTAGTTTTTCCTTCTCTTGGATGGTTAGACTTGAGATCTTGATCCTCCACTCTTCCATCCTTCTCAGCCAAGTTTCTGAGGCAGGGCCCACTTATTGTGAAACACACATGGCTAAAGACTTTATCATTCAAAAGGCTCTTAATGGAGTTAAGTAGACCCTTGTCCCCAACTGGATGGTCCTTGTAGTCTAAAAAGTGGCAAACATGAGACCCTGTGATCCTTGTGAGGGGCGCTCCCATCCTTATGATAAGTATACACCCTTGAGGTAAGAAATGGCCTCTCCCTTCCATCTCCTCAGCTCACTTAGTTTTGTTGCAGACAATATTATTTTGGGGACGGATAATCTAGAAAATCCCCTATAGAAAAATACAAAAAAAAAACCCCATAATGTTTGTTATAGTAGATTTTTAAAAGAGGATTTATAAGAGTAATATATATATAAAATAGAAAAAGTAATATATATTTGGGAAACATATTGTGTAATGTATTTGCAGAGACATCTGTGGATGTCAAAGAAGTCATGAAGGTGGTTTCAACTTCATGATCAAAGCCCCATTAGACGTGGGCTAGGCTTCAATTTTGCCATCAAGGTTACCATCTTGACCTTTTAACACCCACCCCCAATGGCCCTGGTGTTCCCCAGTACTGAATTCTCACATTCATCTTTAGTAGCTCAGCAGTCAATGTGTTTCCCTCCAAGAGCCTCAAATGGTGGTCTTTTTGCTGTCACCAAAGTTCCACCATTTTAATGGTTTTTTAACTTTTACAACAGAATGCTCAAGACATACCGTGGTGGTTAGGTGATCAATCATCCAAAAACAAAATCATATAATAGCTCAAGTAAATACATTAAATGTTCCCTCTCTATTTCCCTCAAATAATATAACCTATTTAACATAATCCATTTCCTACATTACATATCTATAAATCCTAATCCTGTTTTGAACTTTATTAATTTACAGTTACCATAGTCCAATTTGATCTTAGATAAACGTATTATCACTTCTTGTATCCCTTCTAAAATACTAATCCAGATATATTCTAATTCATAATCTCATAAATCATTGATTTTATCACAAATCTCTCCTATTTCTTCAGATAGCATTTAAATCTCATTCAAATAATTATCATGTCTAAAAAAAAAAGAACACCTATTATTACACAAAACATCGCTCCTTGACAGATATTTTTGATGACCCAACTATTTTGACTCTTTTCCCCTCCCTATCTTCTCTCTGTATCCTTGAAACTCCATTTGAAGTCACCCAGGATGGACCTGGTCTTACCATGGAGAGTTGGATGTGTCCTTTCTACCTTACACTTCAATCTCAAGGATTTGAGTTGAAGTATTTCCTTCTCCAAAGCTGAATACTCAACACATTGTGATGAGTTGAGTATTGGTTCATAATTTTCTGGCCAGAAATCTTTTCTTTGCTTTGGATGGCTTGTAAAAACTTGAGTTGAATTAGTCTTCAAGGAGACCCTTTTCCAAGAGAAGATCATTATGAAATAAAAGCTGGACCTGCTCCCTCGCCTTGCCTTGTGGTTTCCCAATGAAGACAAGTGAGAATTGGTCAATCATCTTGCTTATTGTGCCAAAGGTATGTAATAAAAGAGATGGAGTCCTGAATATGTGCAGAAAGAACACAGAAAGTCCTTGGCTGAATGTTCCTACTTCTTGAAGAAGTAAGTAGGGGAGGATATAGGGAAAACAGTCATGGTGGCACTCACAACAATACAATTGAAGCATTGCCCCTCTGATTCTATTCTATTCTATTCTATTCTATTCATTATTTTCTTCACTAGACTATCCATGTCCAGTTCCTGTAACCATTCATATGTTTTAGCGTCCATTCCCCTAATCATTTGTTGTAGAGGACCAGTGGTCAGACATGAAGGACTTCTGACATCTTCTCAGATTATCATGTACTGAAACCACGCCTGGTGGGTACTCATAAAACATTGATATGATACCTTAGGTGACTTCTGGAAGTTAATGGGCATAAGCTCACGATCTCTAATTAATACAAACTTTTTATTTATGTATACTAGAGAAGAACATCATCATACATAATTAATCTGAGGCAGTGCTTTTCAACTTCAGCAGTCTGAAGATGTATAGACTTCAACTCCCAGAATTTCCCTAGCCAGCAGTTTTAGGAGTGGAAGTCTACCCATCTTGAGGTTGACAAACACTGAGCTATGGAATCCAAATGTCTCATCAAGAACCAGAGCGATATAAAATCAAGGTTTTCATGCCCCCATCAGTCTTGTCGCGTGGGTCCCCTTATACCTGTTAAGAATTAGCCAGAATATTGAAGAACCTTGATAGATCCTGGTTTTCAAATAAGGCGTCCATCACAGCTTGGGAAGGTAACAGCCTGAAGTTCAGAGAAACCATTTAATGGCAGCTGGCAGTTCTGAATGCAGGAATTCAGAATATGGAGGAAGCTAAAACTTTTTCTCTGGCATTAATGGATTCGACGTGAAGTGTGGGAGCTGTTTAATTGAATCGATGTTGCTCTCTGGGATGAGTGAGCAGAACATGCAGCTTTTTGGTTCATTGCAAATGGCTGTGCCAGCTGCCGCAGGAGTGCTCCCATTTCGGCTGCTTTTATTAATGCACAAATAAAATCAGTTTTGCTAGGGCACAGGAAGTTTCTGCCAAATAAAGCCAAACATAGCAGTGCTCCTGCACAACTTCTCACTTCTCAGAGAAGTGGAAAGTATATCGGTTGTCCAGTTTGCTTGCCATAACAGCTTCTCTCTCTCAAAAAAGGGTAAACAGATATTGATGAAGCACATTTTTCTTCAGTAGCAACGGGATGTTTAGCAGTCTTTCTTCTCAGTTCCAGACTGGTGCAATCATTACTATTGGGAGATGCACACTTATCCTGTTGGGGTGAAATCTTGCTCATAGGACCAATGCTATAGCTGGTGATCCTGGGCTGGATTACTAGTCTAGGTGAGAGCGGAGTCACACAATCAGCAGCCTTAGAAAAGGGATCATTTTGGGGATGGAACTGAAAGTTTGAATGTTCTCCTAAACCAGGGGTAGGCAATCTCGGCTCTTTTATGACTCATGGGCTTCAACTCCCAGAATTCTATGCTGACTCAGGAATTCTGGGAGTTGAAGTCCGTGAGTCATAAAAGAGCCGAGGTTGCCTACCTCTGCCCTAAACAAAACACAATACCCAGGACTAACATGTGGCCCAAAGGTGTGCAGAGACTTTATCCAAAGGCTGCCTAAGATATATTCAAGCCATTCATCTCCTTGATTTAATCTGACATCAAAAATGGTCCCAGACAAAGTCAGATTATTATATTTTTTAAGAAATATTTTTTATTATTTTTCAATACAATAAAAGTATGGAAAAATCAAAGAAATATGAAAGAAGATAGCAAATAAGAAAAAAAGTGAAAAAAGTAAGAAAACATAGAATTTTGATTCCCCCCCTCCTTTAAATCTTTTTAATCCCAAAGGTCAGGAATCCAAATTGCAAAGCACAGAAGGAAATATATTGTCAGAACCAGCCCTACGACTTTGGTACAAGCCATTGTTTGTATGCAGGACAAATACGGTCAGGCTCCTTTTCCTTCTGTTGCTTTCCAGGATGGGACATTTCAGTAGCTGACCTTGTTGCAGTCCTAAGCCTTGGGAATTTTCTGTTTTTAAGGATTTGACCCCGTGATTAGGGTTGCTATTAATGAAAAGACGGGGAAACTGTTTTTTTGGTTGCAATTGACTGATTGAGAGAAGATTTTAAACCAGAGATTTTCCCTAATCATTCTGGAGATGCTGGAATTCATTCTGGGGGCCCTTTGCATGCAAATCACGAGGGCTCACAATTAGTTTATTCCCATCTCCTATAAAACAGCTATTCCGGTTTCAAAATTCTGTTGAATAGAGCAGTGTTTCTCAACCTTGGCAACTTTAAGATCTGTGGACTTCAACTCCCAGAATTCCCCAGCCAGCCTTATTTACAGATTGTAAAATTGCCAATGTTGAAAAACAACTATAACAGAGCAAGAACTTATGAAGCTCCACAAAAAATGTGCACAAATTTGTATTTTCAAGGCAAAATTGTTTAAAAATCTGTGGAAATAAAGACATGCCTGTATGTCCACTCATTGCTTTCTAAGCTGTGATTAGCTTAGTCATAGTTTATTGGATAAACTGCAACTGGTTGGTACATGTATTGGAGTAAATTTTAATGGGTGGTTGGAAATCGCAATGACTGAATTCATACACTGTGTTGGATTGTATTAGGCATCTACTCTCAACTCCATTTTGTCAGCCACCCCAAAAAAAGGCTGCTGTCACTGAAGTTTCTGGCAACTAAATAAACAGAGACCTCCTTCCCAAAATGTGGCCTGCCTCCATTTTATTTTCAGCATCTTTCTCCTGGCTTGAAACCAGACCAGATTTTTGTCCCAACAAGACCTAAAGTTTGATTTGAGCTTAAGATGCTGCAGACATTCTTGGAAGTGTTGGCAAGAACTCGGACACAGACTGGACCTGGGAGGCAGGAGGTGCTCTTAGTCTGTACTAAGAACCTATACAAGAACATTTTTTTTCATCTTTTGGAAAATATGAAATCAACTGGCTGAAAGTACAGGTAGCCCTCGACTTACAGTAGTTCATTTAGTGACCATATGAAGCGACAACATCACTAAAAAGATGACTTATGACCATTTGTCACACTTATGGCCATTGCAGCATGCCCATGGCCATGGGATCAAAATTTTACTGCTGGGCAACTGACTCATATTTATGACGGTTGCAGCATCCAGGGATCATGTGATCCCCTTTTGCAAACTTCTGACCAGCAAATCGATGGGGAAGCCAGATTCATTTAACATGTTACTAACAAGTGCAATGATTCACTTAACAATTGTGGCAGGAAAGGTCGTAAAATGGAACAAAATGACGTTTAACAAGTGTCTTGCTTAGCAACAAAAATGTGGAAAGGGCTAAGTCAAGGACTGCCTGTGGCTGAAATCCAAGTAGAAAGACTTGTCGGTTGAAACTTAGGCTGAAGAACAAATGACCGAACTCTATTATTTAATCCAGGCTGCATGACCCCTTTGCCGGATAGAGCATCTCCAGTCGTCATTGCTTTGTGAATGCAGCCGTTGAGAATTGCATCCTGACGCCTGGATTATTTGAGTGGTGCTCTAGGAAGTCCCCCCCCCCGTGAGCTCCGAGGCTGCCCAAGAATCTATCTTTAGCTTAACAGATTGATTCCACTTCTACCCAGCCTGGCTATTCACCCAAACTCTCAAAGCAATTAAAAGTTTTGTTTGTTTGTTTATTTAAAAAATGCAAAAACACAAATGATAAAAACAGATGCAAAGAATACAGGGGGAAGATCTGTTGTTACAACAGGAGGGGTCCCAAGGCTGCTTTTCCCAAAAGGCAACTGGACTTCCTTGGGTTTTTTTTTCTTTCTCTGAAAACGTTTTGCTTCTCATCCAAAAGAAATTTCTTCAGAAGAACTGAGAAAGCTCCTTGGATGAGAAGCGAAATGTTCTTAAAGAACAAAACCAAGAGAGTCCAGCCGCCTTTTGGAAAAAAGTACTTTGGGACAATCACGACCTGGAGGATCGAGAGTGTCAAGCGTGAAACTTGGGCAGCCAGGTGCCTCGGTGGACACGCAGCCGTGCTACTTGTGGTGGATCACGCCTTCCCTGTCCGCTGCTCTGCCTCTTCCGCCCTGACTCCATTATGCCCAGTGGACCGGGATGGTGCTGCAGAGGAGGTTGATGGCGGCTCCCAGCGTCAAACGGTGAGCCGGCACTGCGGAGAGGTTTCCCACCGGCTTCTCTCTCTGTCCAAGGGGCAGCAGGGCAGGGGGGTTCTGCAAGAGGAGGGGGAAGACGTTTTGCTCCACTCAGAAAGAAACTCAACAGCAAGCAGCTCATCCTCATGATGGGCAGAGCTGGCTTCATTTTGGTGATTGCAACTCAAGTTATAGCCATTCATTTTAGTGACCGCTCAAAGTTACAACAGCACTAGAAAAAAGTGAGTTATGACCAGTCCTCGCACTAAGGGCTGTCGCAGCATCCCCAAGGTCACATGATCAAAATTCAGTTGTTTGGCAACCGGCAGGTATTTACCACAGTTGTACAGGTGGTCTTTGAGTTGCAGCCATTCCCCCATCATGAACGTGCTCACTTTTTCTCCTGGTTCTTACTCACCTGAACCTGCTGGAAGATCTCCATGACCGCATCCAGGCTTTGTATATCCTTCTGGTTCATTTTGATGACATAACAGGACTCTCCTGGCCATGATCTGTAGCCAATCACAAGCTGTTCAAAGGCAAAGTGTGGAGATGAGCTTGCGATGACAAGAATCGCATTGGCAAGAATCAGAACTTTGGGTATCTGATCACAAAGCCCACCCAGAACATCCCTGCATCTTTTTCCCATCATTGATCCAAATCCTTTACTATCCCTCTAGGCAATTCCTTGAAATATATTTGAGGAGCGATCCAGATTCTGCTTTGTTACACATGTTGCAAACACAGAGCAAACCTTACTCCCTTCTAGCACTGATGATGTTACTTACTTGGGCAATGAAATGTCTGCATGAAAACTACCAAGCTTGGAGAGAACCAAGGACCCCACAGTTCAACCCTGAGTTATAGATATTTTCCTCTCTTGGTACATGTTGCAATACCTGTTACGTAGGCCTGACCACCATCTTGAGTTTGTTTACCCCCCTCCCTACTGTAAACATCTTAATCTATGAGAGACTAGGAATGGGGTGTCTGGAGGGTAAGGTCCAAAAACTCAGGATAGTGGCCATAATGGAGCAATCAATATTTTGCCTCTTCTTTATAGGAGTGGCTGAATTCAATCAAACCATCTTGGCTACCATTTTGACTTTTTTGAGTGCAACCTATAGACAACCTGTGGAAAGATTTTGGAATATCTCATAGAAGCAGAAAGCTGGAGGGTTTCATTTGTTCTTTCCCCCCATCTCTTCTCCAAGCAAGAATCCAAATAAAGCACCTCTGAGGAATGGCTGAGTAGCTCCTACTTGAACATTTGGAGTGAAAGGAGCAAATATCCAGATGTTTGTCTAGCTTAGTGTTAGATTTAGAGGATCACTTGATGCAAAGCAGCAGTCACTGTGGGCCAGTCTCTCCTCTGTACAATGAGAATTATTTGTCAGCTTCTTTCATTCTTCCCCTCTCACTGAAGACCTTCCCCAAAACCTGAGACATATCTTTGGGTTGGAACTTTTCAGTAGACTCCTAAGATTCCATAGTGTCACAACAAGAACTAGAAGCTTACTTTAAAAAGCAGGGGACAATATTTTGATTCTGAATAGGTGTCAGCCAGCTTCACAAGCAAACCTTTGGCCAAGACAAGTGAAGCCAGAAGAGAGTGCAAATCTTACATTGCTGTAATCGTAAACCACGGTGGCCGAAGAGTTGAGCTTCATGTGGATGGGAAATATGGCCAGTCTTTCCTTCCGGCTCATGGCCAAGTGCTGGGAGGAACCTTTGCCGTCCAGGCCTTGAATGGTCATTTGCAGGACCTAGGAATCGCCAAGAAGCCAAATGGGAATCAGAACTTCCAGAAAGGACGAAGACCATTGGCTGGTGTGACACATCACACTGAACTTTAATCCTGGTTTAAGAAAACCAGCTGTTGAGTCAAAAATGTCTGCACTGCCCAGGATGCCTCTGCACAGGGAGAAATCCGGGCTTCTTCCCTCCTGAAGATTCACCAAGAATCTTAACTTACGTTGGAGGGAGCAGGTGAGGGAAAGGGATCAGAGCCCTCTCCTTGAAGATAGGGACCAAGGACATCTTCACGTAACGAAGGGTAGAGCGTCAACCACACAATCAAGGCCATCATCCTGATTTTTTTGGATGACTCTAGTGAAGATGAATTATTATGAACTTTTCTGGAAGTCCCTTCCATAGTCTCACCCCAAGAGCCCGGTCAAGCTGCCCTTACCGCCTCAGTATGTTTCTCTGTGATGTGCAGCCCTGCCAGCAGGAACGTCAGGACCAGCAGAACCATCCCCACGATGACCATCGCCACGATCAAGAATGTTCTGCTAGGAAGGTCAGGAGGCTTGGGAGATTCTGTGTAATCCTGCAGGACCAGAACAGATGTGAGCATTCCTCACCCCAATGCTGGATTTCATCTCCAAGGACATAATGAGATAGACCCTCTGCTTTGTATCCTCTCCAGAAGTCACCCTGAGACAGACAATATCCACCCCCTCTTCCCTTCTCCCAGAGGGGTAATGATAACCAGCTAGGGAGCTATTTCCTCCGAGTAAATTAACAAATTTCTCATTTAGCAATATACATTTTGGGCTCAGTTGTGTTTGTTCAGTTGTGGACTACCTGTATTCAGGCAACAGACTTGGGGCATTTCTAGAGGTGGCAGAAGAGGAATGAAACCTTTCTGGCGGGTGAAACACGAAAGGGCTGAAAGCATGGAAAAAAAGTTTTCATAGGTTGTGCCGTCTATTAATTGACTAAAGAGTTGGGTAACTAGAACTCTCCACCTCAGTTGTCATATATTATGGGCTAACTCTAGCTGGCTCTGTTTCTCTAGCTCACCTCCCATACGTTGTTCCACGTTAAAGTTGCAAGAACACAAATTCTTCCCAGGAGGCGTGAAACTCACCGGTGGTGGTTGAGACATTAGTGCCAACTTGCTGCTATCATCCATCTTGTAATCAACTTCCATTCCAATCCTTTGCTCTCCAGCAGAGAATTTTCTTTATTCTTCTGGAAGGCAGGAGAACCTCTACTTATACTATGCACCTGATGCTAAACTCCTCCCGGGGATTGGTCAGCTCTCCTCCAGCCTCATTGCAACTCCAGTTGGCCAGCAGCCAGTCTTGCTTTTAGGTAGTGTTTCTTGCCAAGTCTTCTCAGAACAATCCAAAAGTGTTATTTGGACACATATCATTCAAATGTTTCTGAAGAACCTTGTCCACAAGCAGAAGGACTTCTAGAAACAAGTAGTCTCTTGTGGTTCCTAAACCTAAACACAACTTGTTCCAAAGTCAATTTGGGAAGTACAAAGCCCTCCTCATTCAGACCCACTTTGAAATTGCTCCCTGAAAAGTTCTTAAGATGTTTGACAAAAACACAAAAGCAGGAGCTTCTGAGAACAGCAACAGAATTGAGAGAATGAGGGTCACATTATTGGAAAGAAACCTGGAGCCAACGAGGGGGGCAGCCACCATCATAGTGAATGGTGTGGGATGCTGGGGATTGAACAGTTCTGGAGAGACACGGAGTTGCCACCTTGTGTTATCACAGCAGGCATTCAATTGCTGGAAAGATGGCAGTATAATGATACATTTCTTCAGAGCTTGCCAATAAGATATTCTAGTTCCTAAAGAGAAAGATCTAAAGAAAGCTTCTTCTTTCACCCCTTAAGCCACAGCTTTCCAGGAAATACTCCTGCACCTACCAAGGGAAAAATGAATGGAAGCTGTTGAAGGGCATTCCAGGGCAATAATCCCTCAGACTTAGGCAGGAAAACCCAAATGCACAGGTACAGAATAGGTGATGCCTGGTCCAACGGTAGCGATCTAGGTGCCCTAGTGGACAACTGCTTCAACATGAGCCAGCAGTGTGCTGCAGCAGCCAAAAAAGGCCAATGCGATCCTAGGTTGCATCTACAGCGGGTTAGCATCAAGATCACGAGAAGTGAGTCTCACTTTATATTTCATCAGTGAAGCCACACTCGGAACACTTCATCCAGTTTTGGACACTGTGATACAAAAAGATGCTGAGGCCCTAGACCAGAGGTCTTCAAACTTGGCCCTTTTATGATTTGTGGATTTCAACTCCCAGAATTCCTCAGCCAGGCACACAAAGCTTTGACTGTGCGATTGTGGTGGCCAGCGTTGTCTATTTTCAACACAGGCTGCAGGAACCTCTGTGCTTCGGTGAACCCTAATATTACGGTACAATGTGCTTAATTTATTTAAGTGTAGCTTTGTGGATGCAGAACAGTCTCTTAGTCAACCTGGGATTAAAACTGAGTGATTTTTTTGTCCTCACATCTTTGCATCTTGATCTGGCAAAGATGACATGTAAGCATAGCAATAAATGTAAAACAGGGACCCCCTGAGAGTTTTGTTCCTCCTCCCCTCCCACCCAGCAATGGGAGTTTGCAGTCTGCCCCCAAGCAGTTAGCTTCTGCTTGGCCTGGCCCCAGGAGCCTTTGTGCCCATCTCAGTCTGGTCCTGGGTGGCAAAAAGTGGATTGCAAAGCTCAAGTCACCCCCTTGCACACTTTGCCCTTTGTTGTCTGGGACACAGCTGTGCCTGGAACAAGAGATCTTTATGCCTGTGCCACACACTGCTCTCCCGGCTCCTGGGCCCCAGTGGACTCCATTCAGTCACCAGCACAATGGAGGAGAGTGGGAAGACAAGCAACAACGATTGCAGCCAAAAGCCCAATTCAAAACAGCCACAAAGGCTGGTGATGAGCCTGTTGTGAAAGGAGCAAAGAGGCCAGAAACATCTGGATATTGCAAATGGTGTAATCTCTGTCTGTCCAAAGTCACATTCTCTGAGCAGCATCTGGACTTTTCCAGAAGACGCTGGTGTGCAAAAAGCAGCTATTTTGCAAAGACCTGCCTGGTGTCCCGTATCTCAAACTTGACAGGTGTAGAACAAAAGGCAGCTTTAAGAAGCAATATTTGGACATGGGGGGGGGGGAGAAACTGTGGAGGTGGTAAGGGTTAACTAATATGGAAACTTATAATTGATTTAAACTAGACTGAGCTACATTTCCTTTTTTAAATGCAAGCCTTTAATTTCTTTGTCTCACTGTGTCTTAACTCCGTTTTTATGCTTTGCATCAGACTGCATGCCATAAAAGAGAATCATGCAAATGCTACCTGTTCGACACCTATCAAGTTTGAGATACGGGACACCAGGCAGATCTTTGCAAAACGACTCGGGACGAGAAGATGCATTGTGGAAATCCATATTAAGCCCCCCCCCCCCCCCGCCTCGGCCAGTGCATGACCCAGGATGGCCAGCGCCACAGCACCGGCAGAGGCGCACCCACGACCCTGCGCTTGACACGGGACTTCTCTGCCCCCTCAAAAGTCAGCATCCCACTCGTGTCTTGCAGCCTCAAGGCAACCCAAGCCCCCTTTTAGTATCTTTGGCAGCACCACGGGGCTCCTCGCATGACGTTCCTCCGACGGCTCTTTCTCTTCGCTCCAAAGTTGGGGTGATGCTCCCCTGCCTCTCGCCCCACCCAGGAGCCGTGCTTTCCTCCTCCTCCCGCTGCCCTCGAGAGTCCCCAGCGCCTCCCTGGCCCCGCTCTCCCCCCCCCCCACCGCCCCCACCGCCCGGGGCCGGCGTTTGCAGCCCGCTCCCGCGCCTCCCTCTCTGGCTGCCGCCCCAGCGCCGGGCGGAGGAGCCGAGCGCTGCGCTCTGCAGGACTGAAGCAGCCCGCTGGCCAGTTGGGCTTGAGCAGCCGCCGCCGCCGCCAGCCAGCCAGCCGCGGAGGAGGAGGAAGCCGGCCGGCGGGGCCGCCAGCTCAGCCGGACCAGCAGGTCGCCTGCGGGGAGCGGCGTGGGAGCCGCCTGGGCGCCGCGCCTTCCCGGGAGAAGCGCCTGGACGAGGCGATGGCCGGTGTGCAGCGCCGGAGCCCAGGCTGCCCCGCGGGGCGCCTCCTCCTCCTGCTGCCCTTGCTGGGCCTGCTCTGCCTCTGGGGGCCGGTGGCCTCCCGCCGAGCGCCCCGGCCGCCCCCCTGCCCCGCCAGCTGCTCCTGCACCCGCGACACGGCCTTCTGCGTGGACTCCAGGGCGGTCCCCAAGACCCTGGCCCGGGACGTGATTTCCCTGTAAGTGGCAAGGCGGACTTCGCGGGGGGGGGGCGAGGGAGGGAGGGAGGGAGTGTTTGCATCTCCCGGTGTGTATTTTAACCCCGCAACGACTCTTCGGGAGCAGGGCGGGGAGAAGCTTAGCGGGAGGCGGGCTTGCGGTTAGTTTATGACTCAGTGGAAATTCCAACCACGAGAAAATTAGATTAGCCTAGATTAGAAGATCTTGGGAGCTTGTCCAGAATGGTTAGTTCTGAAGGATACAACAGCTACTGGTAATTGTCAAATTTGTCGATACAATTTGAAATATAATATTTCAAATTGTATCGACAAATTTGACAATTACCAGTAGCTGTTGTACAAAGTTGCCTGACTGGATGGGCAGCAAAGTTGCCTAATACTCCAAAAGGACGTTCTGTGAACATTAAGAAAAGACCCTATAAGTGGTCTCCTGTTTAGTGACATGATACGGGTAACAGTCTTCCAGTATTTGAGGGGCCATCACAGAGAAGAAGGGATCAACCTCCAAAGCAGCTGAGGGCAGGAGAAGAAGCAAGGGATGGAAATTAATCAGGGAGAGATGCAACCTAGATCTAAGGAGGAATTTCCTGACAGTGAGAACAATTAACCAGTGGAACAGGTTGCCTCCAGAAATTGTAAATGCTCCAACGCTAGAGGTGTTTAACAAGAGATTGGACAGCCACATTGTCTGCAATGGTCTAGATCTAGGAGCAGGGGGGTGGATTAGAAGACCTCCAAGGTCCCTTCTAACTCTTGTTATTCTATGTTCTGTACCTTCACACTATAGGACAGTGGTTCTCAACCTGTGGGTCGGGACCCCATTTGGGGTCGAACGACCATTTCACGGGGGTCGCCAAACAACGCAGTCTGCCATTTTTTCCCCCTTTTCCTTAGCTGTGCTACTCCCTTTTATTCTATTGGCTTTTGAAAGCCAATAGAATAGACTCTCTTGAATAGAGTCTAATTCTATTGGCTTTCAAAAGCCAATAGGAATTGTCCAGGCTGTCTCTGCCCTGCTGAGCCCGCCAAAAGTCCCATTCTGCAAACGGTGCTGCACCAGTTGAGTAGTCCTCGGCTTACGACCAGTTGAGTAGTCCTCGACTTACGACCGGTTGGAGGTCGCGGCATTAAAAAGGTTGAGAACCACTGCTGTAGAAGGACCTGGCTGAAAACGAATACAAGTAACAAGAAAGACATTTTGTCGGATTGTTTAGAGAAACATACTAAGGGTTATAACTCTTGAGAGCAGAACAACTCCAGATAATAGTGGGTGGTGGGCTCTCCTTGGGAGACTCATGTCAGCAGAAGCTAGATGGTGACATGTCAGGGTTGCAGCTTCCTTCTCTAATAGCTTTGCTTTAAGCAGTGGATTGGAACAGGTGACCTTCAAGAGTTTTTTTTCCCAGTTCTTAAATCTGCAATTCTGTAGGGAGAAGCTAGAACTTCACTGCTGCCAAGAGATCATTCCTGCAGTACTGCACAGTGCAAATACTTAGGTGAATTCCTTAAGTGAGATGGGCGGTATAGAAATGTGTCGAATAAATACAATTTTGATTGCATTTAGTTGGGATGCGCTTATATTGGGACCTCTGGGTGGTGTCCACATGCTTTCCAACAGCCTTCTCCAGCCAAGTGTCATCAGAGGTGCTTGACTTCCATCAGCCTCCACTAGCATTAATAAAAGCTATCCAGAATACACGCTTTTTCTTCAGTTTGGACTCTGGTGCAAAGGAGTTTCAGGAACCACTCAATATTCAGAATGCGAAACACATTCAGGCATTTCTTCCTGCTTAAAGGCCAACATTGCGGCAGCCCCTCCAGCAAAACCTGATTTCCCCCATCAGAAATTGTGTGGGATGCGAGGCGACATCCCCACCTGTGGGCCAGCATTGATTTGCTGAAGTGCTCTGGGGGCTTCTTGCCAAGCAGTGTTCACGAATCACAGCAGGACAGGCAGCATTCAAGGCTTCCTCTCCACCTTGGGGGGGGGGGTGTCCAAGTGTCGCAGTTTCTCAGCTGCAGGACCGAGAGGAAAGACAGCTCAGGGAGGGAGGTGGTGTCCCGGAAGGCTTGGGGGGGGGGGTGCTCAAAAGAATCAAGGGGTGGTTAGGACAGTGGGATTGATGCTGGACAAGTTTTAACTACATCCCGGCTGCCATTTTGACTTATCTGACGATACCCAGAAGTTTCCTATACAATTGGGGAAATGGAGGGGGGGGCATTTCTGTATTCCTGAGACTCTGCAGGAGCTGCATCCCTGGAGGCTCCTTCTAGGTGTCCCTATGCAGCGTTTGACAGAAGCCCCCAGGGGTGGCCCCCGTGTCACAACATCATGCAGACGACTCCATACATCATGCAGATGACACCAGCATAATTTCCCCTTTCCCTCCATGGCAACTCTCGTGAATTTCATGGAATATTTTGGGGAACAATGCAGGAGTCGATTCTTGGAATTTTTTTTTTTCACTTTCACAATCTATTATAGACTGGTATTCCCTAGGGCTATATTGATATACATTATTATTTATTTAAATATTTTGAAATAATAATAATAATAATAATAGTAATAATAATAATAATAAAAAGGTTGGAAGGCACCTTGGAAGTCATCGAGTCCAACCCCGTGCTCAGGCAGGAAACCCTACACCATTTTATTATTGTTTAAATAGTTTGAAATATTTATGTACATATTTTGAAATGTTACTGCATACTTACCTATTATTGGATGTTCATTTGTTACTATTTATTAAATGTTATGAAATATGAAATATTAATAATTTGTTTTAATACCAGTAGGTAATGCTTTAATAAGAAATATTAAACTCTTTTATTTATTTATTTATTATTTTAATATAAATACATAGAAATGTAAATGAATGGCTTAATATTATTCATCATTAAATATTTTGAATTGAAAAGGGTCTGGCTAACATTCAACAGCAGCCAAATTCAGTGAGGTGCTGCCATCTAGCTGGCCAGCGTTCTGTCTATACACTTGGTGGCTACAAGTTTTCTGGAAAAAAAAAATAGACCTTGATTGACCAAGACCTTGATATATTATTGATTTTTGATAGCTGGGGTTAGCAGCTGGCAAAATGCCCGTTTCAGGGGTTGCAGTGCAGCCAGGCAAAGAGGCTAAACATTCAGCCGGTCTTTGAATGACAGGCACATTCCTTTCATGCCGGTTGTCAGGACCCCAGCTCACTTAAGGACATGCTGAAAGGGGTCATCACCCAAGCCCCCCATCTTCACTTGCACGCCTTGGCTCCGTCCCAGAAGCAGGTGCCGTTTTGGAGTGACGAGATCCAGAGGACCAGAGGCTTGCATTTCTCAGACCGGCTGTGGACAGGGGTGGGCAGCCGCTCCCCACTGACCTCTGTCCCTCTCCTCTCTTGCAGGACCCTGATCAACGCAGGCTTCAGCGAGTTGAAGGAAGCGTCCTTTGCTCATCTTCCCTCCCTGCAGTTCCTGTACGTCTCTCTGCCCCCCCCCGTTGCTTGAAGAGGGGGAACAGAGCCCCAAGTTGTCAGCGCAGAGCCTTCCCCTAAGAGCTTCTCCAGTGGAATGCCTGCCTAGGAGCATTTGGCCACGGGCATTTCTTGGGAGCTGGCAGGAAGACAGAAATCCTGTACTTTTCATAGCAAGGGCAGCAAATCTTCCTTCCTGGCACTAGGGCATTCTTGGGGACCCGGTTTCTTTACCTTGGCAACTCTCTAATGGGTGGGCTTCAGCTCCCAGAATTTCCTAGCCGTTCGGGAGTTGCCAAGGCAAGGTTTTGCATACAAGGGCTTTACTGTTCTGGAGAAGATGCAACTGTTTCTCTAGCTCAGCGGGAGTGGGGCAGTGCTGATTTTGAAGATGTGGTGCCCTTCACTTCCAGATTTTTCCTTTATGCTACACTGCAGATCTGTTAACAATTATCTGTGAAGTGGCTTTGCTAGATCAACACCAAGCTGTAACTTGTGGTCTAGTTCAAATAAGGTTTGCATGTGGTTGAATTGTTAAGTGGGTCATTTGCTTCCGGAAGGATCCTAGATTAGTAGAAAGAGAAAGAGAGAGATATGGCAATGGTAGACAGAAAAGGGGGTTGAAAAAGTCAGGATAGCAGTATAATGACACAATAGAAGCCTTGTTCCTTTTAATGTGTGTCACAGCGGACTGTAGGCAATAAATATAATTTTACTGAAATAACATACTGTGTTGTACTAAAATGGAGATCATCTCTCTGACTATATATATATGTTGAACTAACTTTTATATTAACATTTTGTGGATATAATTTTCATTTCAACAAATGTTACTTATTCATTATTCTATATATTGTTTTCTGAATTTACTGGCACTGCTGTATTTTGGGTTGCCATTTTGTTTTGGTTATATTTATCGTATCTTCTGGTTGTTATACTTATCAATACCAAAAAAAGAAGAAAAAGTGACGCAAAATATAACTGAACGATCCAAGCACCATCCCTTTTAAGGTGTAAACCCAGCGTGAAAAAGGGAGGTGCTTTGATCATGCAATCAGGGGCACCATCATCACCTTTGGGACACCCTTTTTCCAACATCCTGGTATCCAAAGTGCCTGTTAAGAAGTAATCCAAGCGAAATGTAAAAACTGAACTGAAATTAAATAAAAATGCAAGAACGTTTAAAACAATCTTAGCGCTATTTAGGAAATCTTGAACAAAATGTGGGTAGGCTGTTTTGCCTGTCTTAGGCTGTCCCCTGACCAGCTTTAACACTTTTCTTTTTTTTTCTTGCAGCTTGCTGAATTCCAACAAATTTTCCTTGATCAGAGACAACGCGTTCACGGGACTTTTTCACCTGCAATACCTGTATGGAATATTGGCAGCCTTTCTGGGGCCTTTAGTCAGAGAATGGGCAAAACTGTTAAGGGGAATGACACTATGCACAAGGGCATGCAAATTTCACGTAGGGTTAAAATATGATGGTCTAAGCTGGAGAAGGATTATAGGAAAGATTTGGAAGTCACCTATCACACAGACATACTGGAGAGGCTTAGCAACCTTGGATCTAGCACTGGATCCGTTCCTCTCCTTTCTCAATGATAGCACCTAGTTCTTCCTCTTCAGCATGAGAACTACAGGGAGAGACCTCCCCATTATCATGGGAAGATCTTCCCCTGGCAGAGGCTGAGCCATCTCTGACTGTAGCAAGAGCCAGTCCTGTTAATGATCTTCTGTAGACATAGGCTTGGCTTGCTCTTTCTGCTCCAGTGCTGGTTACAGGGCACCTGCACTGAGGTACTAATCAAACCCCAAATCTCTGAATCTTTGCCATGAAGCAAAACCCCTCTTGATTAGGAAGAGGGAACATTTGTCCTAGGAGTGTTGACTCTGGACTTCAGTATCCCTACAGGGCATCTGCTGCCTCTGTAATTCAGCCCAAGTACCATGGAAAGGGAGAGTGCTTTGGGCAGGCAACCTCAAAGAAGGAAAGAAGGGAAGCTAAGGACTGTGTTTGAGGGGCATCTGGACTTTCTTTGGGGAACACAGGTGAAGGGAAATGGAATTTGTTGTTAGAGGAAAATGGGGGCGGGAAGATGATGGAGAAAATATAGGTGCTTGCCATCTTGTTTTTTTGTTTTCTCAGGTTCATCGAGAACAACGACATCCGGTCTCTGTCAAAAAATGCCTTTCGTGGGCTTAAGTCCCTGACACATCTGTGAGTTTCCATGTACACAAACGCACCCAGCTCATTTCACACATATTTGGCTAAAGTGTCTTTGACTCTCTCCAAAGCCTAATACAATTTTTATGCCTTGGTAAAAAGTAAAAAACAAACAAACCATGGTATCTATCCTCATGGTGATCAAGACCCCTGAGATGAATTAAGGTTTCTGATTGTTGAAATAATTATTTTCCTGAGAAGGAGGCTTTTGTTTTTCCAGCTCATTTTCAGGGTCTGAAATTCTCCACCCTGAATGAAAAATAGAAGAGAGTGCTAGGATTTTGTTTTTCAGTTGCATGAGTCTTCACCACTCTTAAAAAGGACGAACATTTGCACATTGAAGTAATGTTCCAGAAACACAGTTGCAGCTCGCCCTGCAAGCCTCCCTTTCATTGTTCATTCTTCATGCGAGGATCACCAAATGTTTGGCATAGAACAGTTGTCCTTCCTCTTTTCTTCTAGATCTTTGGCCAACAACAACCTGAAGACGCTGCCCAGAGACCTCCTGAAGCCTTTGGATATCCTTAGTGATCTGTAAGGCTCTCTTTAGGTTGGGAATGCTGTAAAAATAACAGCGACAGGAATAATGGTACATGGATGTCCATTAGGTGGGCAATGTGACATCATCATGCAAACTGCACAAATTACATAATTTGTCCCATTTGCACAGTGATCTCATGATACATGCAACTTTATTGTGTATTCTACTAGAGGCCTATGATAACCAGGCTAATTCTTTCTGGAACTGGAAATGTCTACTCTATATAATTGTTAATTTCATCAATATGATGAATGGGAAGGCTTTGTACGACACAAGCCAAGTGGAACAATTTAAGACAAAGTTCCAAAATCAATTGATGTAAATAATGAATGGAATATGATGTAAATGCACACCTATTTTTTTCCACTGAAACCACAGAGACTAAGAAAGGAGAATATATATGACTGGATGGTGTTTCAGATTTGTAAAGATACAAGTTGCATACTTTTTAGCCCGATTTCATACCAATTAAGAGATTAATAAATTGGAGACAATAAGAGCCAAATTCCCATTTCCTCGGAGGGACCTAGAGCAGGAAACAAGTTGTGTAAACAAGCAAGTTGTGTAAAGGCAGATTGTGACGGGCCTCCCACCAAAGAGAAAGATGCTAGAACCAAATTTATATCTGTAGTTCTCCCATGAGAGAACAGACCCCCATTTCCACACTTAGTTTGTCTACAGACTGTTTTCTTTGGACAATAGGGCCTTGTCATTAGAGTTGAGATGGAGAAGTTCAGTGATGGTCCCTAAATTTTCCCTCCCCACAGAGACCTTCGGGGCAATTCTTTGACTTGCGATTGCAAGATCAAATGGCTGGTAGAATGGATGGAGAACACCAATGCAAGCATGCCTGCCATTTTCTGTGGTGGTCCTCCTCAGTACCAAAACCAGAAGATCCGAGACCTCCCTCTAAAGGACTTTGACTGTATCACCACAGGTAGGAATGGATGTCTTCATATGGCTCTCTAAAAAGTAGTATCAGAACTCATATATCCGTCCAACATTTTATTGATCAAAGATACATACATGTTCTCCAGCTGCTTCTGGGGCTTAGGGTGATGTTTCCTCAATTTCCTTGACAACTTCCAAACATTTATAAAGGCTAGTAAGATGAGAATTTCCTGGTGCAAACTTTTCCTGTTTCCAGAGATGTCACAGCATGGGGATGGATTTATTTGTAACATTACAGTATTTGGGCCAGTTAACTTAAAAGTGTTATTGACGTTATTTGACACATTTTCAGTGAGGCTGCTGGAATTTCTAAAATAAGATTGCACCTAGAAATAAGCACCAGGTGCCAAAGTTCACCTTATGATCAGCTGATATTTCAAATATAGCACGTCAAAGCCAAATTATGTTCAAATATAGGACATTATTTTATTTTGAAACTGACGTTATGTGATATTTAAAGTGGCCTTTCTGGCACTAATCTTAAAACTTTCATTACCAGGAAAAAATATTTTTCAGTCTGAAATTATATATAGCTTTGATAACATCTTTTAAAAATATTGACTTATTGTAAAACTATATAAGTTGCAACCGTTATAATTGGGCAAAAGTCATCATGTACTTTACTTAAAGTGAATATGGGTATCTGCAGGAGGGTAAAACAAATAAGAGGGACGCTATCCTCATATGATTGAAGCCCCATCCCCTTTTACATGTTTATGTAAAAACAGGGGAAGGCCTTGATCATGTGGTTGTGGCCATCATCTTGATTTTTTTTTTTTACTTCTATTGTAAATATTCCTGCATCAAGAAGATCCTTGGACGGAAAATATATTTTGTAGCTCTGGTATCTCAATTGTAAATTCCTCCAGGCTTTAACAGGGACCACATAAACTCCTCCCCCTCCCCCCAGACTTTGTGGTGCATCAGGTGCTGCCTTTCCAGTCCGTCTCTGCTGAGCCCTTCATGTACTCCAGTGACCTCTACATTGCTCTGGCCCAGCCAAGTTCCAGCAGCTGCACCATCTTGAAGTGGGACTACGTTGAGCGTAAGCTGCGAGATTTTGACCGCATCCCTGGTAAGGCATACCTGCAGGGCAAAAGGGGACCTTGATTAAACCCTGGTGTGGCTGGAAAGCAAACGGGTTGGGCACATGTGGCACATAGGAAGGGTTGGGAATTCCTTTGCAATCTGAAATGACAAATCTTTAGGGAGCAAGGTGACCTTAGGCTGTCAAAAAGCTGTCAAAACCCTGTAGATTTAATTAAAACACTTTTATGGCTGTCAATATTAAACAAGAAGACCACAAAAAATAAACATATACATAAATGACAAGCCACAAGTAACGCAATGCCATAGTAAGATGTAAGCCAGAAACCCCCCAACTATATAAACCATCATACAAACCAGTCTCATCAAATCACCAAATATTATTAGATGTAAATCCTAGAACTTAACATAATTCAGACATGGATAAAGTCAAACTAGAATTTTAGATTCAAGAAAGCTGACTTTAGCAGAGTGAGAGATTAGGAAGGATTTCATGGATGGAAATTCTAAATGCAGAAACAATTCAAAACATCTCTATTAGTAAGAATTAAGTCCAGTATAACTGTCCCTCTAGTTCCCACCACAACCTTTTGGGCAACAAAGTTGTCAACTACACATGGTCAGGAACCTGTTTGATCTCTCCCTTCACAGAGTTTGTTTCCCAGTTGATATCAGGGTAATTAAAGTCCCCACTACTGCAGTGACGTGTTTCCTGCGCATCTCAGCTAACTGACTAGCAAAAAGTTCATCTATTTCCTTTGGTTGCTTGTTGTACACACCTATAGCAAAGTCATTTCTTTTTCCTAATATTTATCTAAATCGGTGCTTCTCAACGTTTGTGTGACGGCGACCCCGTCACACAAACGTTCTGCGCATGCGCGGCGCGTGCGCGATGCCCCCCATGTGCGGCGTGTGTGCATGACGCCCCATGTGCAGTGTGTATGCGCGGCGGCGCCCCATGCGCAGCGCACATGCATGGTGGCGCCCCCATGTGCGGCGCGCATGTGCAGCGGCACCGCCCCCATGCACAGCACGCGTGCGGCGGTGCCAACCCATGCGCGGCGCACGTGCGTGGCGCCGACCCCATGCGCAGCGCACATGCGCGGCGCCGACCCCATGCGCGGCGTGCATGCACGGCGCTGCGAAAAATGGCGAATCGCCACCTTTGGCGACCCCCGAAAAATGGTCGATCGACCCCAAATGGGGTCGCGACCCATAGGTTGAGAACCGCTGATCTAAATACTTTCAAAAAGCCTTTTATCCCTAAACATCAAATGTGTCTTCTCCTGTTATCTTAGACTACAGCTCTCAGTCAGACAGCCTGTCTCCCAGTAGAGGTGCTACGTGTGGTAGACATATAACTCTGTGATGCTAGCTTAACATATCAAGTAACTTTATTGTGATTATTAAAGAGCAGACAGAAAAAAGAAGAGAAAATAGTTTTTGAATATCCAGAACATTCAGTAATAAAAGGGAATGATTCATAAAAAAAACTGTTAAAAAGCATCATTCATTAATTAAAATTACTCTAAAATCTAGAATTATAGACCTTCTGAAAAATCTGAGAAAGGTACAATATAGTAGCTAAAATAACAACAACAACAACAACAACAACAACAAAAACAGTGGGTAATGCTGAAGCAAAGCCATTCCCTGCTCAAACAGGTTCAGTTGCTATAATGTGTTCAGCAGGTCAGCGGTTCAAATCTCACCGGCTCAAGGTTGACTCAGCCTTCCATCCTTCCGGGGTAGGTAAAATGAGGACCCAGATTGTTGGGGGCAGTGTAAATATATATATATATATTGCTTACTGGTGTACACCGCTTAGAGAGTGCTTGCACTTAAAGCGGTATATAAGTCTCATAAATAAATAAATAAATAAATAAATAAATAAATAAATATTAAGGACTAATAGGTTAATAGTTGGCAGGATCAGTCTTATTTAATAAATTTGTTTAATAAAATTCCAAGGTCACTATTTGAGTACGTATTTTAAAAATAAAAGTGTTTTGACTAGATGAGAATCTCTACGTGGGACTATGACTCCCATCGTCTTTCACCTCTTCTTCAGATAGGTACAGAGAGTGTTGGTCCTTGCAATGATAAGATAAGATAACCTTTTTTGTTATTTTTTTTACTGTGGGCACAATGGCACACATCAAAAATGAAATTTAGTTGCCCGCTCTCAAAGTGAAACACATACATGACACACACCTAAACATTTTTCTGTTTCTATGCTGTGGCTTTCTCTCTCATTTCTCTCTTGTAGCTCACTCCGCTGTTTACTGCAAGCCAATTGTGGTAGAATCCCAGCTATACATTGTGGTGGCTCAGCTTTTTGGCGGCTCTTATATTTACCGCTGGGACACCAACATTGACAAGTTCGTTAAGATCCAAGATATAGACAGCCAGACAATCCGGAAGCCCAATGACATCGAGGCCTTCCAGATTGATGGCGAGTGGTTCTTTGTCATTGCTGACAGCTCCAAGGCGGGCTCCACCAGCCTCTATCGTTGGAACCAGAATGGTTTCTATTCCCACCAGGACCTGCACTCGTGGCATCGGGACACAGATGTGGAGTACCTGGAGGTTGATGGGAAACCCCGGCTGATCATCTCCAGCAGCTCCCAGGCTCCTATCATCTACCAATGGAACCGCTCTCAGAAACAGTTTGCTCACTTGGGTGATGTGGCAGATGTGCTGGATGTTCAGATGGTCAAGCATTTCCAGATAAAGAGAGACCACTACTTATGTCTGAGCCGTTACATTGGAGACTCCAAGGTGGTCAAGTGGGAAGGGCTGCGATTCACAGATGTGCAGACCTTGCCCTCTCGAGGATCCATGGTGATGGAGCCTTTCCAGATATCTCAGCAACTTTATATGGCTTTGGGCAGTGACTTCTCCTTCACTCACATCTACCTTTGGGATGAAGACAAGCAGAAGTTTGTGAAGTTTCAGGAACTCTCTGTCCAAGCTCCACGAGCTTTTCAGCCCATTCCTTTAGAGGACATGAGTGTCCTCCTAGCCCCCAGCTTCAAAGGGAACACACTGGTTTACAAGCATATTGTCGTAGACCTCAGCTTGTAGGAGGGATGAATATTTCCTCTCCACTTATCCCCAACACGGATCACACCAGCCTTCCTATTCTGCTGAAGCCCTTGTAGCATTCAGTGGCAACTGAGCAGAGTCATCACATGGACTTGGTTACTGAGGCTCTCTCTTTTACATCCTATTTGACTGTTCCTTCTGTTCCTCATAAACATGAAAGAATATGAAAGAACCTTGTCAACTTGAGCTTATCTTGCCAGAGCCCTGGATTGGTTAACCGCCTTTGGTCCATGCCACGAAAACACATTTCTTCAGTGAGGCTCAAATTTAGTTGCCCAAGTGTAAGACCACAAGATTTGCACATAAATCACCTATAGAGACACACAGTAAAGTATCCTCACAATATATCCTATTTTCACTAGTATATCCTCATAGCTAATTGAACCCTTTTATCCCGTACATATGGAAATGACCTTCCGAGTTTCTCCTTCAAAGACTGCATGAATTGGTGTCTTAGAAAGGATTATGCACCTCGGTTCCAATTTACATGAAAGCTGGGACATGACCGTTGAAGTAAAGACAAGGATAGAAAAAGCTCGAACAGCATTCTTCAAAATGAAAAAGGTCTTCTGCAGTCATGACAGAAGCCTAAGACTGAAAATCATACTTGTGAGAGGCTATATTTTTCCTATCCTGCTCTATGGAGTAGAGAGTTGGTCTCTGACAGAAGGCCATCTGAAGAGACTAGAAGCATTTGAAATGTGGATTTACAGGCGGCTGTTACGTATAAGCTGGGTTGACAAGATCAGAAATGAGGAGGTGATATGCCGCTTGGGAAAGCCCAGGGAAATCATCAAAACAATTAAAAAACGAAAGTTAGAATATTTTGGACATGTGATGCGACACCCAGAAAAATGTGGCATACTCCATTTAATCCTCCAGGGAAAGATTGAAGGCAAATGAGGTCCAGGAAGAAGAAGAACATCATGGCTTCAAAATCTAAGGGACTAATTCGGACAAAACTCAGCAGCACTTTTTCGTGCGGCTGCTGATAAAAACAGGATCGCCAAAACGATCGCCAATGTCCGATAACGGATATGGCACAAGAAGAAGAAGAAGATAGCAATTGGTTTCCTTCAGAATAATTACAAAAAGATCCCACGTATATTTTAATCTGAAATTGTTATGGTTTGTTTATTTGTGTTTACAGGCTACTACTGTAAGTTTCACCAAATCATTGTAATGTTTCCTTCACCTTCGCTGCTTCTAAGGGTGAAGACACTTCATAAAAATCAACTTTCACTTAAAAGCTGGTTCGCTTAAACACTGAGTTGCTGGTCCCATTTGTGATCGCTAAACGAGGACAGCCAGGCTGAAACATCCTCATCTATTCATCTGTCTGTTCTGGAGAGTGTGTAGGGTGGTGTTGGTACCAACCAAGATTTGGGGTAGCTATTTGAGCCCTATCACTTTCCATTTTTATTTCAGAAAACTTACACAATTACCTTTCCAAATGCCATCTTAGTAAGATGGTTTCATAAAAAGCATAAAAAGTTTTACCTGATTAAATAATGCAAGTGGCTGATTTTGTGTCCAGGTGGGAACAGAGCTATCGGATCTTCTGCGGGGAGCCACCTAGGCTCTCCTCACTCGTCCCGTGTCACAAACTCTCAGGCTATTGGGAATACAGGACGAGCTGCACTCCTGGTTCCCTTGGACCACAACATGTGCAGGTTCCTTTAACCTTTTCGGCTTTTCCATCTCAACAGGTGAGGTGCAGTGGATGTACTGCTCAAAAGACATTCTACTCAATCCTCATCTCTGTATCTGTCACACTGGCTTCTTAAGGATAGAGTTCGCTTGGGGTTTGGGTAGGTAGCTTGTCAGTTTTAGTTGGGTTACCTAAGGGATACACCTGTTCAGGTGACACATTCATGTGAGGACACCAGTGGGCAGTCCTTCCCATTGAGGTTTGAAGTTGATATTCTATTGCACCAAAGGAAGTCTGAAGTCAATGCCTTCCCCTCTTTTTTTCCTTCCTTACATCACTTCTCTACCCCCTTTCCCCTTCCCCATCTTTTTTGCTATTTACTTTGTATTTTGATTGTATTGTAAATTATAAACTAATAAAACTGTAAACCTGAAAAGGAGAGACAATATACAGTCACTTGTTTGAAATGGTATAGGTCAGGGCCTCCTACCTGAGCAGGGGATTGGACTAGAAGACCTCAAAGGTCCCTTCCAGCTCTATTCTGAATTTGAATTTGAATTTGACTTTAATATCCAGAATTTAAATGGGCTACACACATACAGGTGTTCAAGAAAATCCCAATTGCCACATGCTGATGCTAATGAATTTGAAAAAGAAATGCATTTATTTGCATTTTTGTTTATGGATTATAATTTCATACACAGACCTTTGTCACATCTGAAATTAGGGTTTCTTTTAACATTTGGAAACTCTAGATTCTATCTTAGTATAAGTGTCCTGTTGTAGATAAGTTAAAAGTTCTTATTAAATCTCATTATATTCTTAGAAATTGGAGTGACAATGCTGTCATCTTTACTGTTTTTTATCCATTTTTGCTTTGAATGGAATATCAGTTCTTAAAGTACTGAATTGATAAATGATTTTCTTTATATCTGTTCCAGTTCAGTATTACTTATAAGAAAATGGTGGTGTGTTTTTGTTCCTTTTTCTATCAGTATCTTATATGATGTTTACATCATATAAATTCTCAATATATTCCTTCTTTTTCTTTCTTTTCAGTCATAGAATAACATCTTTCAAAAAATTAAAAGGAGTTTTACATATATTTTAGGGGGGAAACTATTACTGATAATAAACCACCATGTCCTATATTATACCTTTCTTTCTTTCTTTCTTTCTTTCTTTCTTTCTTTCTTTCTTTCTTCCTTCCTTCCTTCCTTCCTTCCTTCCTTCCTTCCTTCCTTCCTTCCTTCCTTCCTTCCTTCCTTTTTTCCACTCTCTGTTATAGCTGCTTTCAGCCATTAGAGGAGGCTAAAGATTAGGAAACAATGGAAATAAATAGCAGTTTCTTTTAAGCTTGGTTCCTAAAATGGACTGGATGAGGAATCTCATTGATTCTCTTCTCTTGCCATAAAAATAGCAGAGCAATGAAGCAGAAACACAACTAACAGTTTCCAACGTTTCATCAAAACACAGTGAGGAATCCGTAAGGAACAACTGTTTTAAAGAAAATATTGGCAAATGGGGCTATTTGCAACTGAGCTAGCTTGAGGATTGCAACATCCCTTTGTGGGGGAGATGATTGGCAGATTTCAAAGTTTTGTCAACTCACCAAAAGCTCATCAAAAAATGAGGTAGGCAGTGATGAGAAAAAAGAAAAACTCAAAACAGCAATCAGGAGATGCAGGAAACATACCCACGGACAGGCATAGAGGTCTTAAATGCTTATATACAAATGCTCACAGCTTGGGGAACCAACAGGGTGAACTAGAAGCAATAGTACACGAGGGAGGGTATGACATAGTTGGCATAACAGAAACCTGGTGGGATGAAACCCATGACTGGAATGGACGGATGGATCAAATTGTTCTCAAGAAATAGATCTGGCCCCCCCACCCTTTTTCATGTACGTTTCCTCCGTGGCCCCAGCACCGCTGAGTGTGACGTGAGAGATGCGAGCCAGCTCAGCTCTTCTCTACCACTACAGGCCCAAACCGACGTCTGGATGCCTCTCCTTTCTCCATCTCACCAGTCTCTTTTCTTTTCCAACCCAGTCAGCTGCTGCTGTCTTCACAAAAACCCACCACACATGGGGACCCCCCCAGAATAAAGCGCAGCAGAGGGGCAGAGACATAAATTGGGGATAAGCCCTTGAAGGGCTCCTGGAGAGAAAACTCAGCTTTTCTCCCTTCCACCCAGTGCAGTGGCCCCACCCTGCTCCATCCCACGAGCTGGAAAGCAACACGGGCCCTGTCATCAGGAGGCACCAAACCTGTCCGGCCGGTTTTTGTGTCTTCCACCGCCCCCCACACCTTCCCCACGCTTCTTTGGAAGTGGAAGTGGTTCAGCAGGAGGTAGACTTGCGTAGCTGAAGGTGGAGAAGCACCCATCAGAAGTGGTCCCAAGTGCTCTTCTTGCTGTCTTCTCCTGGGCAAGCTGGACTTGGGACCTGGAAGAAGATCTACAGGGCTAGAAAAGGTGGTTCCCCTGGTTGGGAGGAAGGAAGAAAAGGCCTTGCTGTCCCCAGGGTCCTCTACTTTGCTAGAGTATCTGGGACGAGGCCCACTTGTGAAACGAAGCTAGTCTTGGACCCTGCTGGAGTCTGGAATGGGACATGTGGTCCTCGTCTTCCTGGCCCTTGCCTTTGTCCACCGAGATTCGGTCCACTCCCAGCAATGCTCTGCAGGAGGAAACCCTCTCTTGATCCTCCAGTTTGCCAGTGTGGGTGCTGATCAGCACATTCCTACTCAACACCAAGCTCCAGGACCTCTGGATCCCCTCTATCACCTTGTCCACCATTACCTGGATGTGGTCCAACAGAACCCTTTCCCCACAGGTAAGTCATTCTTCTTGTTGACAAGTTTGGTACGAGTGCTCTGAATTGGGGGGGAAATGAACATGATTGCGTGCTCTCGGGAGCAGTTTAATGAGCAGAATTGGGTCAGTGAAACTTTTCATGGCAGGAGATAAACATTTGCCACCTACTAGGACTTGGGGATTGCAGATCTGAAAAGCACAAGATCGCTGCTTCTTCTCTGCTGGGGAGGTGACGGGCCAGAATGCAGAGAAGAGCAACCAAAGTGATCAGGGCTCTGCGGACTAAATCTTACGATAAGTGCTTAAGGGAACTGGGTATGTCCAGCCTATCAAAGAGAAGGACTAGGGGTGACTTGACGGCTGTCTTCCAGTGCTTGAGGGGCTGCCACAGAGAAGAGGAGGTTGACTTATTCTCCAAAGCGCCTGAGGGCAGGAGAAGCAGCAATGGGTGGAAGCTCATTAAAGAGACATCCAACTTAGAACTAAGGAGAAATTTCCTGGTAGTGAGGACAATGAATCATTGGAACAGCTTCCTTCCAGAAATTGTGGGTGCTTCAACACTGGATGTTTTCACAAAGTGATTGGACAGCAATTTGTCTGGAATGGTATAGGGTCTCCTGCCTTAGGTGGGGGGTGTTGGACTAGAAGACCTCCAAAGTCCCTTCCATGATTCTAAGAATGTATCTACAAAGCTTTTGAGAAGCAATTTCTGTGGACACCTTCTTGATCAATTCCAGTTTGTTAGCCAGTTCCTCCCATACCTTAGAGAAGAGCATTCTAGACCCATCCCTTCCCCAACTGGTTTTTACATTGCATTATCTTGCTGACTTATAATTTACCAACTAAGCCACGTATTCCTGAGTTCATTTGTTGTGCTGAGTAAAATCTTATACATCACATTAAGGCTGGGTGCAATGTGAGAATTCTTTATCAGAGTTGTTTCCAAGATTTCCTTCCAAACCCCCAAAGTGATATTTGTATTCCCTCAAAATACAAGCATACTGTAGACTTCATTAGGGGATTTTTCCCCTAGGAATCAGTGGGAAGACTTTAACGCATTTAAATGTAGTTAAATGTCCTTCGGTCCTACTTCCTAGTGCTTATTAACCAATGTTCACTTCTTGGTTTTGAGACAGGACAGAGTTATGTGTGCAATTATATTCAAGTACATATTATAAATTAATATTGCAAGTACAGTATTTAATGATATATATTTTTGTCATACGTAAGCTAGCAGCTTCTAATGATAGACTTGGCAAGATAGAAACATGTTACTTAATGAAACATTTCAGAATATTTAAAAATAATATTATGTTCCCAAACAATTTGGGAAATATGTTATACTTGCACATCTAAAAGTTTTGCAACATTTTGTTACGAGGACAGAGCATAAGTTGTTAAATAATTCAGTTTGATTTTTTTTTTTTGAAGAATTGCGGGAAAGAAAAGTTGTACCTGTATTGTACATATATATCCGTATTATACAAAAACAAATTAGCTAATTACTGAATTTCATTCTCTTTCAATATACCCAACAATACGGGACTGAGGGACCATGAAAATGGATAGCTTGGGAGCACCACCATAATAAGTGATCTAAGGTATTCATTTAACAGGGGTTTTCACTGGCTTTTCAGGATAAAATAAAATCCAGCAAAAGATACTTTTAAATGCAAATAATTGGCATATCAAAGCAATGAAATGGGCATGGATAATCTTTAGAAACTAGAAAGTGTGCCAATCACAGCAATGATGCCAAATTGACAGGTGAATGTTTCTGGGCTCTTCCTGGTCTCCCACCCCAGGTTCCCAGGGGTGCTGCTATGGTACCCCCCTCTGCCACATAACTTTTGGAAGACTTCCTAAAGCCGGAGGAGAGCCCAGAAGTGAACTGACCCTGGGATGAACTGAAGGCAGCATTGCCTCCACAAAAGAAAGACCCCTGGAGGTGAAGGAGAGCAACCTATGAGTAAGGTCTCAGTTGGAGGGACCTCTGAAGTCCTCAAAGACGGTAATCTGATGAGCGGGAGAGGACCTGGCTGCTCAGGTTGCCTAGCTGTGATAAGTATCTTAGGTCATTAACTCTAGCAATAATTGCTTTCCGCCACTCAGTCTGATCCTGCTCATTTCCTTATTGCAGCCTTACTTAAGAGTAGAACTTGCACAAGGGCTCCACGGAGGCTGGGGAGAAGCCCAGTACCCTACCCCAAACTCCATTGCCACTTCCACTCACAGTTACAAGAGAAGAGGGGCCTCTCTTTGCTTTTAAAATAGTCTTGTCCCAAAAGAAAGAGCTATCAAGTTTGCTCTTGGGGACCCCTAAGAGACTGCCCTTGCCTTCCTCCCACCAAGCTAATCCTTGGCTCCTCTCCCGAACAGGAAACAGAGGAGGAAACATTCACACTGAGATTCTGTGTCAAGCGTGTGTTAATGAAGGGATGAGGAACTGTACTATAGTACATTCATTGTGATGCACATAAAAACGGGAGGGCTTCAGCTGCAGAGTACAGATGTCACATTGGCTTGTTGTTCACTTCTCTGACTATTGTGGATGCTTTGCCGATCATTGTGTGGGGAGGACAATGTCATCACCTGCCCCTGTCCAGAGAACCTGAGATGTAATCTCAACAGGTGCAACAGATCTGCAGAGAGGAAGCTTGCGCACAAACATAAAAATGGGCAGGGCTTGTATTTCATGGTGTGGTCACCATCTTGACCTTGTTTGACCCCCCCTCTCCAGGCACAAGCAGAGACTCTAGCATTCAGTGGGAACTTAGGCCCAAAGGAACGGAAATGAACCTCTAGGATCCTTTGCACATGGAAGCTTTCTATTTCATTGGATTTCTTTTCTTGTTTGAAAAGTTACTCGAAAAGAGAGCCAAATAAGCATCGAAGGAGATCTCCAGAGGCATGTTGGGACTTGTGGCTCACCCTTCCCTGTTCATTCTTTCCTCTCCACCTGGAAACATCTGCAAATATTTAATGCCATCTCGGGTGCCGAATAGAGAGCAATTTCTGCACTAGGAGGCAGAGTTACATTCCGACTTTTGCGGCTCCTGGGCACTTTTGTGATCATGGGGCCTCCTTTCCGAAAAATAGTAGCATTAGAAGTTATATTTTGGTAGGATTTTCAGTGCAGTGTTTGTATTTTGCAAAGACAAGGGAAGAGGGAATAGGACAATAAACAGCAGATTATATGTATTATGCTGCAACAGTGATCAGTTGTGGCCATTTCCTTGTGATTCCTGTTACATATCCTCAAAGTTACTACATTTTAGAACGTAAGCTGCACTTTACAGATTACAAATAAGATCATGCGTTGAATGTTCAGATTTTGTATATTTCCTGCCTCTTTCCTTTAATAAAAAGGCATGGTAATAAAATAAAGACTTTTCAAAAGGCATGGAAATATATATTTTGTAAAAGGCAAGGAAATAAAGATTCCTTAAATCTATATACTACTAAAACTCTGTTTGATTCAGCGATTGATAAAATTGGCAGGTAGAGGGTAACCATGATTAAAACAAGATACTCAAATGGGCTAGCTTGTGTTTAGAATTATAGAATGCTACAGTTGGAAGGGACCTTGGAGGTCCTCTAGTCCAACCCCCTGTTCAAGGCCGGAGTCCTTATACAATCCCAGGCAACTGTTTGTCCAGTCTGTTTTTGAAAATCTTCAGTTATGGAGCACCCACAACTCCAGGAGGCAAGCTGTTCCATTGATTAATTGCTCTGCCAGAAAATTCCTCCTTAGTTTTAGGTTGGAAGTGTCTTCAATGATCTTCCACCATTACTTTTTGTTCTGCCCTCAGGTGCTTTGGAGAATAGGTTGACGCCTCCCCTCTGTGGCAGCCCCTTAAGCACTGGATGTCTTTCTCTTCGATCGATCGGCTAGACATACAGACCCCCCTCAACCCTTCATCGTATGATTTAGCCTCCAGAGCTCTTATCCTCTTTGTTTCTCTTCACGGTGCACTTTCTAGGGTCTCACGATCTTGTTTGGATCGTGGTGACTAGAAAATAAAAAAGATCCTGAGACCCTAGAAAGTGCACCGTGAAGAGAAACAAAGATGATAAGAGCTCTGGAGGTTAAATCATATGATGAAACTTAAGAAGGGACCCAGCTCCTGGCTGTCTAGGGCTGCAAGGGACCCTAAGAGGTCTCCTAGTCAAACCACCTGCTCAAGGCAGGAGTTCTTATACCATCCCATCAAAATCTTTGTCCAGTCTTTTCTTGAAGATCTCCATTGAAGGAACACCCACAACTCTGGGAGAGAAGCTGTTTCATCGGTTAATTGTTCTCAACTGTCAGGAAATTGCTCCATAGTTCTTTAATATTTCTGCAAAAAAAATAAAAAAAATAAAATTGTTTTATTCCACAGAGCTGTTGAAGGATGTCCTGAATGAGCCACCAACTGCTACAACTTCTGAGGTGAAAAAGTGAGCTGTTTCTTCAGGGGTCTGTGTTAGCTGTCACAACTCAGCATCTATAACAATCCTCCCTCATCACTCAAAGTGCTGGGTTGCAATTCCCAAAATCCCTGGCCAGATGTTTAGAAATTCTGCAAGATAAATGCTCGGCGCACCTGGGAATCTCCCTATTTGACTGAGAATTTTATTTGTACAAAATGTCTTGTTCTTGAGTGCTAGGAAATATATGAATAGGAAATATCTGACAGTATTGATATTTGGTAAGGATTTAGCATTAGTAATGGGTGCGACAGCAAAAGATTTTGATGAAAGCGGAATGATTTTTTTTTTTAGATTTTTAGATTTATATTTTTCAGATATTTTTATACAAGATGGTGAACATACCTAATACTTCTTTCTCCTCCTCTTTTTCTCAACTAACAACCCTGTGAGTTGGGTTGAGTTAAGACTGAGAGCTGACCTAAAGTCATCCAGCTGACTTTCAGGCCTAAGGCAGGGCTAGAACTCACAGTCTCCTGGTGATTGGCCCAAAATCACCCAGCTGGCTTTCAAGCCCAATGTGGGATTTGAACTCATGGTCGCCCAGTTTTCAATCTTAACTACTTAACTTAACTACTACGCCAAACTGGCGATTACATTTAAATTAGATAAAGAGATCTTCTGATCATAGTGATGCTTTTGTTCCTTGGAAGAAGTCATCAGAGGAGCTCTCAGTCTCCTGGTTTCTTGGGCACCAAGGCCTGGAATCAACCCTCAATTCTATTTAATTCTATTTAATACGTTAACAAAATGCAAAGCATCCGTGCCTCCATTTTCTCTACTCAGCCCCTTCATGATGGACCGTTTGCAGTTAACAAAAGATGGGATGTGATTTTAGATTCACAGTATTAAATGGGGAGAAGAGCAAGATAAATCATTCTCTGAAGATTATTGTTTTCATTTTCCTTGCTTCTTAGATCCTTCGATACCAGGCAGGATATGTTGTTTGTGTTGCAATTGCAATTCTCTACTTTGTGATGGTACCCCTGGTCGGACTGAGCCTTTGCTGCTTCCAGAAAAACCAACACTACGGTGGACGGATCAAGGCCTATCGCCGCTCTCTGCTCTGCCAGCGGAATCTTCTCATGATCTGTCTGCTCCTCACCACCCTCCTCATCCTGTGAGTGAGGAGCTGAGCCAGATCCGTGATGGCGTTTTGTTGTCCCCAAACAGATGCAGGGGCCGGGAAGGACAGGAAGGTGAAGCAGCACATGAATCCGACAGAGATGCTGAAGCTGTAAATTCAACGCTAAGAAATGCTGTTCTGAATGCAGCAGAGACAAGCATAATAGCCATCATGGTCTCAAGCCCGGCAACTTTAGACATGTGGACTTCAGCTCCAAGAATTCCTTAGCCAGCATAAGTAACTCATGCCGGCAAACATACCTAATCCTCCTTTTTCTTCCTATTTTCCTCTCCCAATTTCACTTCTGTTTTCCTGCCTAGAATAGTCCCACATTGAGATAAATTTAGCAAATAAATAAATAACAAATAAACAACAAATCTGTGGGCTGAGAGAGAGTAACCAATCCAGGCAATTTTCATGCCTAAGGCAGGACTAAAACTCATTGTCTCCTGCTCTCTAGGCCAGCGTCTCAATCTTATACCGAAGTTGTAGTCCACATGTCTAAAGGTCATCGAATTTGAGAAGCCAGATCTGAGAGGGATCTAAAGGGCAGTGGTTAGAATACAGTATTGCAGGCCGACTGCCAGCAGTTTGATTCTGATGGGCTCAAGGTTGACTCAGCCTTCCAGCCTTCTGAGGTCGGTAAAAGGAGGACCCAGATTGTTAGGGGCAAGAGGCTGACTCTGTAAGCAGCTTAGAGAGGGCTGTAAAGCACTGTGAAGCTGTATATAACTTTAAGTGCTAGTGCTGTTGCTATCTAGGTGCCCTTAGAGGATAATCACTTAAGTATGAGCCAGCAACATGTTGTACCTGCCAGCAAAGCCAATGCAGTCCCAGGCTGCATCAACAGAGAGATAGAAATAAGATCATACGAAGTGTTAATCTTGATAGTTAGGCCACATTTGGAATACTCCAAGGTCCCTTCCAGCCCTAGAATGCTTTGATTCTAAGCAATGGTGGATGTATTCAACCTAGTCATGGTCACAGGATCCCAACTTGGACTTATAGCTCCAGAGTCCTTAAGCTTCAACTTGGCAGCCTATCAGTTCTCACTCTTTGCAACTTTGCTTGATAGCAACCTCTGTCTTTAAGGGCTACAGGTCAAAGACTGGAGCTACAGAGTCTCAAAGACTAAACAGGGTTTGGTCTGATCTGAATCGAAGTTCAGATTTTCCTTTTTTGGAACTTTCAGCTGTAGATGTTATGGCCTTTTGAAGACCAAGAGCGCCACGTAAGCATGGGTCTATCACCTGCTTAAGAAACCAAGATACCCCAAAAGCAAAATATGTACATATGTTAAAAATACAGTATGGATAATGATGCCAATTCAGCACCCCTGTCCTGGACCATCTCTGATAGATGGCCAACCAGCCTCTGTTTATAGACCTCTGACTCTGGGCCTGTGGTTTAATGGCTGCACCAGTTTCCAGGCAAGAGAATTTAGAGGAGTATCTAGTCTTGATTTTCTTCTCCTAAGTAAAACCAGTCCTCTATTTCCTGCAATGTCTATGTGCCATTTTCCACCAGGGGGTGCGTTATCTGTGCTTTTGCTGCCAATCAGAAGGTAAAAGAGGAAGTGGACCCTGGTGCCCGAGACGCGCTCAACACCCTGAGGACGTTGAGGAACCATCTGAATGGGATTCCTCGAGTGAGTTGACTCTGAACAACCCAGAGGAGCAATCGGTTCAAGGACACAGCACATCAAGATGGTGGCTTTTTTCATCACGTCAAAAACCGGCAGAGCTTTGACAGCCACTGCAAATTTGATGGCCCCGTGTTTCTGAGATCTTTGAGAAAACCCATTTTTAGATCATTCTAAGTTTGGGGATCCAGAAGGGAAGCTCGTTTGTGCCACAAAGCTTCAGTGCTGTGTTTGAGCATCTCCCTCGACACTTATTCCCAGCGTCACACGGTCACCATGGCAACGCCTTCGCTTGGCCATGTTTTCCAGGCTGCAAACCCCTGGCAGCTGCAAAGCAGGGCGGCGGGGGGGGGGTCAGAACTGAGCCTCATTATGCCAACAGCCCTTTCAATTTCTGCTGCAAGAGTTTTGTTGCACAAAGGGAGGCTTTGAGAGGGGGAGAATGGGGGGAGGAGGGGGACCAGGAGCTGCCCCCTTCTCTTCCTCAAAGTCAGGATAGGCTGCCTCTGGGCCCTGGAGCTCCCCTTCTACCTCCCAGTTCCCCATCTCAAAATAACTGGGGGGGGCAAGGCTGCAGAAGGGGGGGCTGTTTTTCAACCTTGGCAAACTTCAAGATGTGTGGAGTTCAACTCCCAGAATTCTCTAGCCAGTACAGGTAGTCCTTGATTTACAACCCAGTTGAGCCCAAAACTTCAGTTGTTAAGTGAGACCTTTGTTTTTGCCCCATTTTACGACCTTTCTTGCCAGAGTTCCTCACTGAATCACAACAGGTATATTAAGTGAATCTGGCTTCCCCACTGACTTTACTTGCCAGACGGTCAAAAAAGATGATCACGTGACCCCAGGATACTACAACCGTCCTAAATAGAAGCCAATTGCCAAATGGCTGAATTCTGATCACGTGACCATGCGATCACAAGTCACTTTTTTCAGTGCCCTTATAACTTTGAATGGTCACTAAATGAATTGTTGCAAGTTGAGGACTACCTGTATGTTTTTGAGAGCAAGATCCAAAATTAGCTAACAACCTTGCTGTAGGTTAAATATCCAAGTCTGAAATCTTTACACAATTCTCCCAGTTTGGGGGAACATCAGGCCAAGTGGTGTTTTGCAAAAAGCCAAAACAAAAAGCCCCAATGCAGAGTCACCGGGCTGGGGCTGATCCCAGCCCTTCTGCCTTTCCTTTGGCTGCTGACAATTGGTTTTCCTCTCCTTCTGCCACAGGGACTTCGGCTGACGGTGGAACAGTTTAGAGTCCCCCAGAGGCAAATTCTTAGTGACCTGAACAGTAAGTCTCCTTCTCGTCTGCTTCAGATTCTCCGTGAGAGATTTTGCACCAATTCAGCCTTTGTGCTTTTAGGTCTGTTGCATAAATGATTCAAAATGATGCTCATTATGTAGTGCCTAATTCAGTAGCTGCATGATACAATTGGAGATGAGTTAGGGGTACGCAACTCCTGTCCCAATGGGGGGACGGGTGGGAGATGCATTTTCTCCCCTGGGGATTTCACCAGAGGTGGCATTGTGCCTTGCAGATATTAGCTGGAACATCGGCAGCACCATCCACTTTCTGCTCAAGGAAATGGTGTATTCTGCTATGGCTGCCATTAAGAGCAGAGTGCAAGGTAAGAAAGTCTTTCCTTCTGCTTTTGGCTTTTTCTTCTCTCTTTTTCTTAAGGCAACACAGTCTTCGGTGATAACTATAATGGGCAGAAGAAACAACCTTGAGGAACAAGAAAGGGAATCACAAAAGTAGATAAGAGAAATCGGAGTCCTGGATAGAAATGTAATTTGAGAAAGTAACTCAGAGTTTACTCCCCCTTGTTCTCACAAATAAGAAGTGAGATAATTATATTAATAATAATAATTCATAGAAGTGGAATTAATCTTTATGATTTCTAGCCTGGTCTCCCCTGGAGGGCTGATGGCAACTTAGGTTAGTGCAATGCCTCTGACTGGAATGGGATGAACAGGTCCTTAGTGTGGAACTCTGGGAGTTGTAGTTCGACATACCTGGTGAGCATCAGACCAGGGAAAGCAGGTCTGGGTTGGCCATACCAGGGTTCACTCACGGCAGCTCTTTCAGCTACCCTACTTGATAGGGACACATCCCAATTTGCATGGTTAACAGTGGAATATTTTCAGAAAAGACAATTAAAGGGCTGGATCAACTTCTAATGGGAAAACATTGCAACATCTTGGGTACCTCTTGGGGTGAAGGTGGATAAAAGGAGACATTATATAGGGGCAGAGAGCACTTTCTCTTCTGTCTCATTTGCAACTTGGGGGCATTCATTAAAACTCTAAAGAGAGATTCCAGACAGATAAATGAAAGGACAGCTCGGAGTTAAGCTAGGGAGTTTGCTACCTCAGATGTGACGATAGCCTGGTGTGACCTCGGCAGTAGCTATTAGTCTGGATCAGGGCTGCATATTATCTACTAAATCAAAGGGCCGTGCAAGGAGTGCCAGCTGTCAGGAGGGCAAGATTTCGCCTTTCCCCTGCTCTTTTAAGGCATTCTCTTCTGCGCCCTGGGCCAGAGAGATCCAAAAGGGAGTAAAAATGTCAAAGTGGCAGCTGTAGCCATGCCCTTAAAGCTCAGCCCTTTGGGAGTTCCTTTGATGCAGACATTGTGAGCAGCGCCACTGTTTCTCCATGGATTTTGTAAACCTTGTTGTATAATGGCCATAATTCCAGCTCATGGTAGCAAATTCCAGAGCGAGCTACAAACAGCAGAGTTTTTAGAAGGAAAAACTAGAGCAGGTAGTCCTTGATTTACACCATTCATTTACTGGCTGTTCGCAGTTACAATGGCATTGACAAAAAGGGACTTATGACCATTTTCAAATGACCGTTGCAGCATCCCCGTGGTCACGTGATCAAAATTCAGATGCTTGGCAACTGGCTATTATTTATGACGGTTGCCATGTCCCAGGGTCTTGTGATGACCTTTTGCGACCTTCTGACAAGCAGTGTCAATGGGGAAGCCAGATTTAATGAACAAGTATGTTACTAATTTAACAACTTCAATGATTCACTTAACAACTGTGACCAGAAATGGGGCAAAACTCGCTTAAGAACTGTCTTGCTTAGAAGCAGAACATTTGGGCTCAGTTGTGAATGTAGTTAGTTTGCTAGTGTGGAATGTGTTACGGCTTTGCCCAAAAACATCAGGACCTCCCATCTATGGATGACCTTTCTCTTTAAGACCTAGAGAGCTCTCTGCACCACTTACACGTGATCCACAGAACTGTCCAGGCCCTGATCCAGGATCAGGAGGAGCTGGCGTCAGTGCTGAAGGATCAGAAGCAAAGTCTTACTTCTCTCCTGGAAGATCCGCATTGCACGTACTGCATGGGGGCCCTCAGCAGAGTTCAAAATCTGAAGCTGGGGGCTGACTTCCAAAAGGTAAGCCAATCCAGATCTTGACTGCACCCGAATGGAAATGGCGCATCAGTCCCAATCTTCCTTGGAAAAATTAGCCGGTTAAGAAACATGCTTCTGATGTGAAGTGGGCCTTGTTGTACTGTACAACAAGATATAAATCGGTTGGCATAAAGATTAATCCCTTGGATTCCAGGGATTCATCTTTTACAAATCATTTCTTTCTTCAGGTGCCTTCTGTTGAAAAAGTTTTGAAAAATTTGCATGGTCTGCCTCGGACAAATTTCTCTGAAATGATTCACAAAGTAAGTGAAGAAGGATTCTTGAAGGAATCTCCTTTTTAGCAAAACGCATGTTTGTCTCCAGTTTCATTGTTAAAAATATGATTTTTATGTTTCTAGGCCTATAGCAGTTTCAATGCAATTCCACAGTTTACGGTAATGAAAATGGATAAAGTTGTTCAAGGTAAGTGACATTTTTCCAGGAAAACATGACCTGGATTCACACAATGGCATCCGGAGGATATCAAAAAAGTCAAGTTGGTGGCCAGGAACACACAATTTGAATTATTCTTATAACTATTTGTTAAATTTTACTTCCTACCTTGCCTTGGGGCTACTCTAGGTGGCTTACAATAATAAAAAGGAAGAAAATGAAAGGAGTGTAAACAGAACAGAAATAAATAATAAAACAATAAAATAATCAAAAAGGAATACAATGAGAATAATGCTTCAGTATGAATCCCCTCCCTTTTCTGCCGTACATTGCACTGCATGTAAAAAAGGCAGGGTTGTTTTTTGTAGTTGTGTTTGTTCACCTGATATTTCTAATATGAACAGAGGCAGCCAGGGAATCCTCATTTAGCACCCACAACTGGGACCAGCAATTTGATTATTAAGCGATCGCGAACTAAAAGTGCAACTGTGCTTACGGTCTTCCTTTATTCTTTCCTTTGTTTTATAGACCTGCAAAGGTCATAAATGCAAAGATTGATTGCAAAATTACTTTTTCATCACTGCCACAACTGTGAACAGTCACTAAACCAAGCAGTTGCTAAATGAGGATTACCTATACTGTTACATCTGATGGAGTACTAATTTTACTAGATTTTACTAATCCGGGTGAAATGTTAATATACTATATATTGCTAGTCCATGTATGATATGCCATACGAAAAATAAATAATTATAATGGAGCACCATTTGGGCCAGAGAATTAGATTAATAACCAGGATGGGACCAACATCTGATTTCTGTGCTGGAGCCCACACAAAGCCAACATAGTGGGATAACCGGTGGACATCCCTATCCCAGTCCACCCTCAGCTACAGAAATCCACCTAGTGACTTGGACCCAGGCTTAATTTTCCAGCCTAACAATCTCATGGGATTATGGTCCAGGATTTAAAACTGAAGGAATGGAGCGCTGCGTATGTTGCCTTGAGCTTCTGGAGAAAGGATTGGAGAAATATCTAGCTCCTAAGTAAATCAGATAGAAAAACTCAACAATGTTGATCATAACTGTAAGTGCTTGGTGGATCCTCTGGCGATCATGATTGGACTGTGAAAATGATGTAAGATCTTCCTTGGATATGTTTTGGCATGAGGACCATGATGACACTTGCATAGTGGATGTCATTGATGGTAACCCTTCGCTTTCCCGGCAGAGCTGAAGAAGGACATTGAGAAAGTTGCCCAAAAGGTCCAGTTTGTTGCAGATGACTTCCCCATCTCCGATCACACCCGTCCCATGAATGATGCCTTGGCGAAAGCAGAGAATATTAGCCGCCCTTTCCTGAAGGAGGTGAAGCATTTTGAGAGATACAGGTAAAACAGAGAGGTGGGCAGAGCAGATACTTGGCAAATATTCATCAGGTAGCCCGCTAAGAAACCCCCCACACACCTTACATTTGAGGGGACCGAGAACTCTAGTGAATGATGTGGTAATATAATATGGGCAGAGCTCAGTGCACATTTGACCGGCCTGGACAAAGAACTTCCTTACAGAAACCATAATAAAGGTGGGATACAAATAAATAAATTATTGGACCAGGACTTTGGGCACTGCAAAAATGGTGTTGGAGTATCAAGCTAGTCATCTCTGACCTAGGAGAAGACTCAAGATTGAGAAAGTCGTCAAGAGAACTTGTAGGAGGACCCACTGCTGATGCAGAGTTTGTACATGAAAATCTTTCATTGACTACAGCCATTCCAAATACTTTTATATATGCACAAATATTTTGATTGATTTATTATGTGCCATCAAGTAGCTTTTAACTCCTAGCAACCCCATAGGCAGATTTTCTGTCCCTAACCTGACCTTTCAACATTGTACCAATTGCCAATATAACTGAGTACAAATGTTAGCTTTGGGTAGCCAGACGGAGGAAGGCAGGAGAGTCAAAAGAGTGAAGTTGGTGGCTTCAACTGTGGGCCACAGATGCCATCTAGAGTTTGTTCTTTTTACACAAACACCATGGATGCCACGTCTGTAAAACACCCCTTGCACTTCTCCACCCAATTTAAACATTTCTAATTGAACTGAAATAGTATACCACATTTCTGTTGGATAGGTTAAGAACTGACTTAGAGCCTCAAGTTGTCTCCTTCTGATTCCCCACACCTTTTTTGTCTTTGCCAGGTGGCTTGCAGGTATAATAGCATGCACAATTACCCTACTGATTGTCTTCTGTAATGTTCTGGGCCTTTCCTTTGGCACTTACGGATTGGTTGCGCGAGAGGATCCCAGCGACTACGAGATCCGGGCTGAAGCTGGGGCCAAATTTCTCATCACGTAAGAATTCTTGGATGTCATCTCTAGCAATAAAGGAGCAAAATAAGAAGGACAGAATGTGGCTATTTCTAGGTACCTGCATCTAAGCAGAGGCGTCAAATGCTTCCCTGTGGTCAACCTGGCTTCCAGGTTCTTTGGAAGGAGCAGCAATGTAGCTGGGAAAACAGGATGGTGACTTTTCTCCCCTCCCCGACATATGTTTGTCCATCTAATTACAGAGGTGTCACCTTCAGCTTCCTCTTCTCCTGGATTCTGATTCTCTTGGTTGCTGGTACCTTTCTGATTGGGGGAAACATCCAAACGTTGGTGTGCAAACCTTGGGCCAGTCAAGAGATTTACAGAGTGAGTTCATTTGCAAAAAAACGAGCAAGTGTGCTTAGGGGTTGTTGATGAAAAGGCCTTATTTTAATGGAGCCTTGCTGTTGTTCATGTTATTGATGTTGAGACTCTGGAAAAAGGGTAGAAAAGAACAACCGAGATGATTAGGGTGCACAATTATTTTTATTATTCAGTTCATCGACACTCCTGGCAACCTTCCGCCTTCCATGAATGTCTCTCAATACCTTGGCTTAAAGCAGAATCTCAACCTCATGTCTGCATATCAGTGAGTATCCCCTTTTCCGAGGGCATCCTTTTGCTAGAGAGTTGGACTAGCTGGCTCCCGCCAGGCCATCACCTCAAAAGGATGGCCAACATCTTGAGCCAGCCATAGGATTGCAGAGTGCACAAGAACAGAGTTGAAAGGGAACTTGGAGGTCTTCTATCCAATCCCTAGCTGGAAATCCTCTACCATTTCATGAAGTGGCTGTCTAGTCTCTTCTTAAAAGGAAGAGTACCCACAGCTTCTGGAGGCAAGCCACTGGTGAATTGTTCTCAGTGTTAAGAAATTTCTTCTTAGTTCTACGTTGCCTCTCCCTTTGGTTTGTTTCCATCCATTGCTTCTCATCCTGGTCTCGTGTGCTTTGGGGAATAGGTTGACTCCTCTTCTCTGTGGCAGCCCCTCAAGTATTGGAAGACTGCTTTCATGTCATCCCTAATCCTAGTTCAAGATAGCCAAACAGGCAAAGGAGGACAAGGACCATTGGAAAGGAGGAGAAGGGAGGGAAAGAGGGAGGCGCCGCTTCACTTTATTGGCACCTGCAACAAAAATTACAGTGAAAAACTGCAAAAAATGTACTTAGGGCTAAATGGATAGAAGTTACTTTTCCAAGCATCTGAAAAGCTGGCTTTTTAATACAAGCTGGTTAGGAGGCAAAGACCTGCAGAATGGAACTAATTAAGATCTGGACAATTTCAGGCAGCAGCTGAGGGTGATAATCAGCTAATTAAAACCACAGAGCAGAGCCTGTTAACTTGAAGCTAGCATGTTTTAGGGACACCCTGTAATGCAGAGAAAAGCCGCTCGGGAAGATACATATATTTATTATGAATCTATCCATGAAAGACAAAGAGAAGGAAGGAAGGAAGGAAGGAAGGAAGGAAGGAAGGAAGGAAGGAAGGAAGGAAGGAAGGAAGGAAGGAAGGAAGGAAGGACAAAAAATGTAAAAAACCATATGACTGACTTTTAACTTTGTTTTCTTTAACTTTGTTTTCTTAAAAACTGGAAGTTTTTAAGAGACTAGACAGCCACTTGGGTCGCCTTCTTGAGCAGTGGGTTGACTAGAACAGAGGTCCCAACCTTTCAGGCACCTGGGACCGGTGCCATGGAGAAAGTTTTTTCTGCAGACCGGAGGTGGTGTAGTTTTGAATACTGCCTGTATCCCGAGAATGGAGCTTTGCTTGTTTGTGCGGCCCGCTTGTTGGCATCCTGCAGACCGGTGCCGGTCCACGGACCAGGGGTTGGGGATCCCTGGACTAGAAGACCTCCAGGGTCCCTTCCAACTCTGTTATTCTATTCTATTTAATATACTACAGATAGTCCTCAACTTATGACCACAACTGAGCCCAAAATGTATGTTGCTAATGAGAAATTTGTTAAGTGAATGTTGTGGTTTTTCTTGTCGCATTTGCTAAATGAATCAGTGTGGTTGTTAAATTAGTAACACCATCATTAAACGAGTCTGGCTTCCTCCTCGACTCTGCTTGTCAGAAGGTCACAAAAGGAGGTGACACGACCCCTGGACACCGCCACCGTCCTTTCATGCTAGTTGCCCAGCCTCCGAATGTAAATCACGTGACCGGGGGAATGCTGCAACAGCCATAAGTGTGAAAAACTGTTGTAAGCCACTTTTTTCCAGTGCTGTTGTAACTTCAAACAGTCACTAAATGAACGGTTATAAGTCGAGGCCTACCCGCATTACAATCTATTGTCCCAACAATACTTGATTTTAAAGCTCTGCCTGCCCGATGGAGGAAACGAAGCCCAACAGGAAGGCAGGTTCTTCGCCCACTGTCTGGTAATCCTAACTGGCAAAGCCCAACGTTAGGAAGGAGGGAGGCTGGTAGGTGTGAGTCAACACTTATCTAGACATCTTGCATAAAGCAGGCGGTGGTGGGAGGTTGCGAGCTGGGGGCTGGCTTAAATTTCTTCCCGTCTCCTTATAGGCAGTGCAAGAATGGCGCAGGCCTCTGGGAAGTTTTGCAACTGAAGGAGCAGTACAGCCTCAGCGAGCATCTCAGCGTTGCCAAGGTAACGAGCCTCTGACGCATCCTTGGTTGCCCCCTTTTGCAAAGCCAAGCTCGATTCCCCTGGGATCCTTCAGGAGGATCCTGGGAGACCAAAGCTCACTTCAGTCCTCGGCTTCCAGAGGATCTCAAGATCTTCCTATCAATATGGGAAGAAAACCACTGAATTCATCCTCCTGGTCTCTCAAAACAGGCAATACAATTCAGGGGTAGTCAACCTTGGCTCTTTTATGACTTGCGGACTTCAACTCCCAGAATTCCTGAGCCAGCTATGCTGAGGGGAAAGGGAGAGGTTTCCAAACTGGCTCAGGAATTCTGGGAGTTGAAGTCTACGAGTCATAAAAGAGCCAAGGTTGACTACCCCTGCAATACATTAAGTATGCTCCAGGCTGGCAGGACTGTTCCAGTAGTTTCCTCTGTTGAGTCAGCTGAAAACAGAGTCAGAGAATCTGTTTTGCAATATCAGCTGGGATGGAGCTTGAGTTTAGGCAACATTCCTCTTCACAATATTTAAATATAGTCAGTGGAGTGGGGGTGGGGGGGGGAGAGCATCGGCCTAACTACCTTTTTGGTAAACTCCAAAAGCTCACAACCTTATTTGTGGGAACTTTTGCACTCTTAAAGAATATTGGTCACATTTCCTTGGAGAATTCATTCAGTCTTTATTATTGAAGAATTGCCGATGATTAATTTGCTCTCCCCACAAAAAAAGGGGGGGGGGATTTAAATAGAACCTTTTCCTGTTCCGTGCACAGGCGTTCAGGATCACTGAGGCTCGTGTTCTGAATCGTAGGTACACAACATCAGATTATGTGGAGGGTTGTACAGTCTTTTTCTTTATAAAATGTAAAGTTTAAAAAACCTTTGCCCCGAGACATAATTTTATGTGGCTGAAAGTCTGTCTGGAAGATGCAGTTCTACTCTTTCAAAGTTTGTTTTTGAGGCAGAATTGTCCACAGAAGGGGGTCACAAAAGTCAGAATGGCAGCCACAACTGTGCAATCTAAACCCTGCTCTTTTTCAATGGGTATAATAACAACAACAATAAAAACAACAACAACAATAATAATAATGATGATGATGATGTTGGAAGGGACCTTGGAGGTCATCTAGTCCAACCCCCTGCTTAAAATGGGATGGAGCCTTAATTCTTGATTGTAGTCACCATTTTGACTTTTTTGACCACTTTCCTAGAGACACTCCAGCTTGGGGAAGATAAGAGGCATCTATTCTCTTTATTATTTTTTTCCTCCCCAGAGAAAAAAATAAATTGAAAAAGCAGTAAAAACACACCATAGTGCTATTTCAAGCAGGAGGAAATGATTTTATAGCCCGTCTGATCATTTTCCAGCCACATTTTCGGCCTGTGGAAGCCTGAAGGCCAAGTGAGAATGGGGGGTCCCAGCACTGACTGAAAATTGGGCAGCTCATAAATTCAGAAAAATGAATACATTTATTAAGAGAATAAAACAATTAAAAATAAATTAAACTTAATTAAAATTTACATTAAATAATCGCCCTAAAACAAGCAGTCTTTGTTTCCTCCCAGTACACAACAGAGTTTCAGGAACGTCTCCGTGACGTCAACCTCCACTTTGAAGATATTGTTTTGTTAAATGCCAAGGGAAGGCAGGACTTGGAGACCTTCAGAAAGAGCCAGGTGGACCTGATCAACTATGCTGACTTCACAGCAGAGGTGAGTCTATAACTGGGGAAAGAAAGAGATGTCCTCACTCTAAGCCTATGGAGATCCTCGATCATCCAGGCCATGGCTGTCCCAAAAGTGCTTTTCCAAAAAGGCAACTGGACTTTCTTGGTTAGAAAAGTCCAGTTAGGAAGTCCAGTTGCCTTTTGAAAAAACACCTTTGGGATGTCCTGGACTCCCATTTCTGTCCACAGCTACAAATGCAGAGGTTAGTATGTAGAAGTCACTACCCTTTGAGGTAGTCCAGACAAGACCCTCAGGCCATGATTACTAACTCCACCTTTATTGTCAGGTTACAGTAACAGCATGTAAGCATGCGGGAAAGTAAAAAGCATTCCATGTTTTGCTGTATGCTCTGTGCTGGGGCATGATGTCATGCTGGCCACATGACTGTGAAAACATCTCCAGACAATGCTGGCTCTTTGACTTAAGAAACGGAGATGAGCACCACCTCCTAAAGTTGATCACGGTTAGGAGGATATAATCCACAGGCACACCTTATAGTAACAGAAGCTCCTCTCCCATCCCCCACCTTTACCTTCCAGAGAACTAGGGAGGGTCCCATCTGAGACACTTTCGACACCTCCATTCCTTCTGCAGACTGAGACTCCTTCTGTCTGACTGTTGTCTTGGCTACTTATTTCCTCCTCCCAAGGATATTCTCACAGCCCACTAAGTGGCTAATTATTTCTCTTGCAGATGCGCAACCCTGTGGTGAGGACCAATGTTGAAGGATTGGCGGTAGATCTTGAAAGGTTGAGTAACGTTCAGGTGGGGAAACCAAAAGATTTGGATGGCCATTTATAAGGAGGGAAGCAGGTCACCAAAGTCTTTCTCAAAGTCCCATCCTCACTTCCCAGCCAACCCAGAGATGTTGATGTTTCCTGCAGAGCGACAGAACTCTGGCAGAACAATTGGTTGAGGAAGCCCTGAAGCTCAGAAGAATCCAGAACCAAATGGTCCTCCCAATAGAGACCCTTGTGGTAAGTCTTCAGAGAAGCACACCAAGGAACCTCCATTTGAAATTCAGCAAGACAGCTCCTAGTTTTTCATTATTCATGGAAATATTTTGAACACGGTAGAGGAACCTTCTCCAATATGTTGCCCTCTAGATGGGGCTCATTCTGGTTAGGAATTCTGCAAGGTACAGTCTGAACAGGGGGCTCAAAGCTAGTGCTTCTGGTTCTATTTGAATGGAGGAGGAAGCATGTGATTAATGTTTCATGAGACCAAATTAATTTGTTTTATTTCATTCTGTTTATAGGCGCAACTGAAAGAAAGTCTCCAGTTTTTAGCAACCATGTCACCTAGCTTCCAGGTATTGTTATTATAGGTGAAATAATTTCAGGGGTGCAATATCTATCTATCTATCTATCTATCTATCTATCTATCTATCTATCTATCTATCTATCTATCTATCTATACATCCATCCATCCATCCATCCATCCATCTATCCCACCTTTCCTTAGCAACAGAAATTTGGGGCTCAATTGCCATCGTAAGTCGAGGACTACCTCTACAGTGCTTCTGCATTAGCCCTTCTACAGCTATCTCATCTATGAAAATTCTGTTTTCTGCATCAAATATGGACCAGAAGTCCTGTTTAGCCCAATGTAAAATCTGCATTTAAGAAGAGATGTTGCTTTCATTCTGCTCTGCAGACTGAACTAATCATTGAAGGATATTTCACCTCTTGCCTATTACGGGGGTAATGAATGCAGATTCCAGCAGAAATGTCTTGCACAATTAAAGATTAAGCAGATTGCTTGCTTTTGTGGGCAATCAGGACAACCAGCTGGGCCATAATTACAGACAAGCGGAAAACACCTTGTTATCAAACAGAGGAACCAGTTACTCCTTTCCATAAATGTAAAACGCCTTATGCATTTTCTACCCAGAACATTTCCATTTGAACAATGGAAGGCGACTGATTGTGCATGCAAAAAATAAATTAAATAAGCACACGCATTAATATTCTGGTTGGCAACACACACTCGTGGGCACCTGGACACGCATAGCAACTCCAGATGCTGCCTATGGTGTGCTACAATAGATTCTTATAATTTTGTGCTAAGTGCCTAAAACATTGGTTTGGCTGCAGCATCCTTCTGCAGATAAATGATTGTGACCATGGCGTCAACTCGGGCAGTCATATTGATCAACACCAGCTCTTCCTCAGTGAGTTGAATTCCAATAAGGCCATGATTTTGAGAGATGGCCCAACATATCTGGAAGATCCCACCTCTGACAAATGAAGGCAAATATAAGTGTTCCAGGAAAATGTTGCAAGATCCAGTCTGGGTGGGTCAACAGCCCATCCATGGAGAGAGAGAAGTTCCCCAAGGATGGGCTCCAGCACAAGTCTGGAAGCTTGGAAGACGAAATCTCTGCTCCCAGTGACTGACCCAGATTGGATCCCACCTCTGCCCCATCATGCCCTCTTTCTCTAGAGGAAGCGTTGGAGGACAATCAACCAAAGGGTTCCTGGCAACTTTGCTTCTTTGCTGAGTCGAGTGTCGGGAAAGGTCTATTTGGTTTTTCTTGCCTAAATGTAGAACCTTACTTTTTTCACCAATGAAGTTCATTTTGTTAGATAGCGCCCAATGTTCAAGTCTGTCAAAATCCTTCTGTATCTTAAGCCTGTCTTCTGGAGTGTTGGCTATTCCTGCCAGCTTGGTGTCGTCTGCAAATTTTATGAGTTTTCTCATCTATTTCCTCATCCAAATCATTGATGAAGATGTTCAAGAGTACTGGGCCTAAAACAGAGCCTTGGGGTACACCACTGCATACTTCCCTCTATGTAGGTGCAGTTCCACTAAAGATTATATGCTGAGTGCGGTTAGTCAGCCTTCTCCTTCTTCTCCTCCTCCCTTCTCCTCCACTTTCTGCTCCTCTTCCTCCTTTCTTAACCTTCTAGTGGTGTCCACCAGCCCTGCAGTAGATGACAGAGTGGAGGAGTTCAGTGCAAACTTGCCATATTCAGAGGTCCTTACATCCTTTGATTGCAGCAGGAGCTCTCCTGGCTCCCTTGAGGGCTAAATAACTTGCTTTTTCTTCCTGCCTCTCCCCAGGCCCAATTCAACAATACCGAGTCCCAGATCACCTCTGTGGAGGCCATTCTCCCCTTACAGACCCAGAAGATCCTCAGACAGGTGAGGTAGAAGAAAGCAGGTAAACTCAAAAGGTTGTTCCCAAGAGTGTGGCTATTTGAGGAGTAATGGCACAGCATCAGATGCCCCCTGTTGCTCTTGAAATACTCTACTAGACTTGTCTTCCTCTATCATAATTCTGGAGGAGCCTTTCCCAAGCTGATGTCCTCCAGATATGCTAGGAGAGCACATCTGGAGGGAAGCAAATTGAAGGCATCTGCTTTAGAGAACACACACACACAGAGAGAGAGAGACAGAACTGGACCATGCAGCTGTAATTGCATATGTTAATTGACCTGGATTATGCAAGATGCTGGATACATCGAGAGGTGCATATTAATAATAAAACAGAGGAAAAGCCTGTTCATGAACAATTCTGGGCCACCCAGCGGCCCATCATGGCAAAGAGAATTATGGCTGAACTAGGCATTATTTCTGATCCAACTTTGGGGTTCCTCTGTTGTCCTTCATCCCTTCCCACAAAACTCACCCTCTGAAACAAGAAATTCAAGGAAGGTGGGGCTGGGAAGAACAAAGCAGGGCGGAGATGCAAAGGGAAGGAGGAAAGTGGGAAGGCTGACAGGAAGGAGTGGCGTTCATGAACACCCTGGGAAGGTGGAAGATCAAAAGAGCTATATTCCTTTTACTAAGTTAGTCTAGAAGCAGAAATTGCAAAGAATCATAGAATCAAAGGGCTGGGAGGGACTTTGGAGGTCTTCTAGTCCAACCTCCTGCTTGAGCAGGAGACTCTGTACCATTCTGGACAAATGGTCATCCAATCTTTTCTTGAAGACCTCCAGCGATGGAACACCCACAACTCCAAGAAGCAAGCTGTCCCATTGATTAATCGTTCTCACGGCTTCCCCCAAATTCCTATAGTTTCCATCCTTCAACCATTTCATCCCTGTTAGTAAGAATTAAGTCCGCTATCGCTCTCCCTCTAGTTCCCACCTCCACTCTTTGTATGACAAAGTTGTCAGCTAGGCACCTCAGGAAACTGCTTGATCTCCCACTCGCTGCAGAGTTTAGTATTACTGATATTATTGCATTTTTCTTTGCCCAAATTCTAACAAAGTTACTGCTATGCTAATCAAACAGTTGTGTAGCAAGATATATAACTGAGGGCAGTTAAAGGTAGACCTGCTGCAATCACTTTATTTCAAAGTGTTCAAATTCATATCTCTCACTCAACAACCATGAATAGGGGAATTCTGGGAACTGAAGTCCATACATCTTAAAATTGCTGAGGTTGAGAAAGTGGTGCCTAAGAATTGTAATAAGGATCTTCTATGACACCTTTTTCTGGTTTGTATTGTTTTATTATTGTCTTTTTTGTTTTTTTTTTCTGGAAATAAAGTAAAAGTTTTACTGAAGAAATAACGATCTTTCTTGAAGTCCATCAGCTACTCAGTAGAGGTTTCCTGTTGGAAAATTCAAGAAAACGATCTGCCCATAGCTGTTCTAAATTCATGAACTGATTATACTGATTAGAGGTTGGATCATCCAGAACTAAAATTTGCTTGCTGGATCTTGCTGCTTGTCCAAACCTTGAACTGGGCACTGTGGTCCTATAAAAGTAGACAGACGACCCAGATTTAAAATATGGCTATTCATAGAACCATAGATAATAGACTGCTGCTAGTTGGTCTATCTGCAGAAAAAACATTTGCATATTTTTGTTGATGGATATTGTCCTTGGTTTAGAAGACAGTTTTATCAAGAAGGGGAGAAATTGCAGGAGAAAATGGGCTTCTCTGACAAATTCTTTTACAAACTCTGCTTTTAACTCAATTTTCCTTTTGCTTCAGGAGTTGGACTGCTTTGTAAGGAAAGAGTTGGGATACATCTCCCAGTACCTGGACTGGATGAGGACCACGGTGAGGACTAGCTTCCCTTACAGTACTCAGATGCCCCTGGGTCAGCAGATCCTGATGTCGCTCAGAGTGATGGTGGTCTCTGGATGGTCAGGCACAGTTGGCTGATGATGACAGTGATTACACACAAGTTCCCATGTTGTTTGCTTGGACAAAGTATGGATGTTTTCTTCTGAGAAGTTTCCCATCCAAAGCAATTTCCAAGTGTGTAGACTTCAAATCCCAGAATTGCACAGCCACCATGACTATGGATGAGAATTCCGGGGTTTGAAGCCCACACTCTTGGACGTTGCCAAAGTTCCTAAGTTGCTAAAGTGTTTGAGCCTTGCTGAAGAGGATCCAGCCTCCAATCAACGCTCCTTGTGGGGCCAGAGATCTTGATGGAACATTGTGGCTCCAGACTCTGAGCAAAGTCGATGTGCAAATCAGCAATAACAACAAATATTCCCTTGTTTTGTTCCAGCTGACTGAGGATGTTGCTTCCTGCCAGCCTTTTTCCACCGCGCTGGACAATGGCTGGGTGATCTTGTGCAATCGCATCGTGGATCCTTGGGTAAACCTAATTCAGCAACGCTGGCTGAGGAATTTTGGGAGATGAAGTTCACAAGTCATGAAAGGGCCAAGTTTGAAGACCCCTGACCTAATTCTATCTACTTTGTGCTTTATTTTCTCATTGTTTGACTCTTTCTTCCTTTCTTTTTCTTAAAAAATGTTTAATCAAAACAGAGTTAAATGGGATGGGTGGATGGGACTTTGATGGTGCTGTTGTGGCCCCTTTCTTGACTTTGGGGACCCCTGAAGTCCCCTTCAGAGGACACAGACTATATACCAGAGACAGAGGATTTTCCCTCAATGCCAGGGGAAAGAGACCCCCCCCCCTATACTTTGTTGATGTATGCCTTTCCTTTCCTCCAGAATGCCTTTTGGTTCAGCTTGGGAGGGTGCGCCTTCTTCCTTCTTTGTGGTATGTTTTTCGCCCTCAAGATGATGAAGCATTTTCGACCAATTCGGCACAAATTAGTGTAAGTGGCATTACTGTAAAAGATGGCATGCAGATGGTTCTTCACATTATTGTTCTTGCTATGATTATGGTTTGTCTCACAGTCCAGACTGGATTTGGCATTTTATTCACCTATTGAATCGTTCGCAAGGATCTGGGATAGGCGGACGTGAAGGTTTGATGGGGTTAAAGGTACAGTATTGTCGCAGGATGGAAGCTGTTTTGAGTAAAGCTGTCTTTTGCAATTGACTGAGGGTGACTTTGTCAATGCCCAGGGTGCTCACGTGGTGCTCCAGTTCTTTGGGATTGCAACCAAGGCACCTATCACTATTGATATTTCCTTTGTTTTCTTTTACCACAGTGGTTCTAATTCTATTTACAGGCCTTATTTCGTGATTTTCTCCAGTTTTTTCCCTTCTGTTCTGTTGTCTCCAGGTACTGCCACATCCACTATCCAAACATTTTTTTTTGTCTTTCTTATCAGCAGTTGTTAAATCTGGAGTGTTAGGTGCCTGCCTGTTTGAATCCTAAAGTCTGAGAGACTGTATCATTTTTATTTTCTATTACTTTGTCTATTTTGTGGTCCCATCAGTTCTTGCTTGCAGGCAAATGCTATTTCTTGCAGATATTATTATTATTATTACTAATATGGACTCTTTTTCTAGACCACCCTTCATTCCTAGATCAGCATCAACTTATCAGGGACGATCGTACAATGGGGAAAAAATGCAAAAGCTGCAGCAATAAAAGCTGTATTTTTTTTAAATCAAGCCTAGCTCTAGTCTAACCAACACACAGTTATCTGAACAGCTTCATTGCTTTCAAAACGACTGCCAAAATGCCTTAACTTTCTCTCTTGAAAAATTCTGCCCCCTCAAAAAGATTGGGAAGGTTGGGAAGACTCCAGGACCTTTCTCTGTCGTCTTTGGGGACCACCAAATTGAGTCTCCTCAGAAGTAGGAGCCCCCTTCCTAGGAACAGCTCAACTCCCATTATCAAGCTAAACTCCCACCCTGTTGAGCTTCAGGACTGGAGAAAATCTGGCATTGCCCATTTTTTTAGCTATCAGGTTCCAGAGTCTGAAAAAAAATAAATTGAGCCCCCCAAGACCCTGTCTTACTCTGTATTAGTTTTGGATAGTTCCTTTTTCATTCCTGTAAGCCACCCAGAGTCATGCAGTTGAGATGGGAGGTGATCTAAATCAAGCTAACGAATAAAGAAGGCACCCAGACTCACCTTACCAGGGAGAGAGGGGGCACATCAGTTTAAGAAATGAATTAAAAATAAATACCCCAGTCATTCTTCTAGCCTTGAACGACTTCCCACTCAGTGGGGTCCATGGGGCATAGTCAAAAAAGCCAAGGGAACAGCCACAATGCTGCAACTGAAGCTTTGCTTACTTTGGACGGGCGTGATAACATCCATGTGCCATGCACGGTGGCACTGTTATGGCTGCAGTTTTGACTTTTTTGTCACAGCGTGCGGACAGCCCTGTTTCCTAAGAAAATAATAGAATTTGCTTTCTCTTCTGCTCTGTTTAGTTCTACTGGATCAGATGAAACGTTTTCCTTCCACATCCCACGAGTCACGTCTCTGCGACTGTAAACCTCCACCCCCCCCCACCCCCGCCCCAGGATGACCACCTGCTGAGGGGGCCCGAGGGTTGCTACTCGCAGGAGGTGCTCTTCGCTCCATCTTCCCAAAAGCATCCTCCTTCCAGAACTGCAGAACTGTCAGCGCGCTGAGGACAGGACTGTTTCCAGGAGAGCTTTGCCAACCTCCACCTCCCAATGACCCTTGCTGAAATTGGAAAAAAAAGTTTCTGGTTAACGATGCTCCAAACACATGTTGAAACTGAAGTTGGAATGGCCCCAAGATTTGTAAAAACAAAAAACAAAAAAACCTGGCTATTGGGACCTAAATGCTACTCATCTCCCAGCACCATTATGTTTTGTTTTTTTTAAATTGATACAGGAAGTCCTTGACTTACAACCACAACTGAGCCCAAAATTTCTGTTTCTAAGCAAGAGAGTTATGTGAATTTGCCCCATTTTACGTCCTTTCTTTCCACAATTGTTAAGTGACCCCTCACTTGCAGGAGAGTGAGTAAAATTGTGGATGATGACCATTCTGATCCAGTTCCTCCTGGTTTGGATGCACTCCTGAGTAAATCCAGGTTTTATGTGGCAGGATTAGAACGATCAACAGGACAGGGGAGGCATCTCAAATTACTAAAAGCTCTTTAGGCACCTAGCAGGCCTTTTCTTTTAAGAGGTGAAGTGTCCCCAGAGGGTCTCCAAGTTGTAATTGCAGGGAGATAGGGCTGCCCAAATCAGGAAGAGTCATCAGTGACATCCAACTTGTTCTGTTCAGCTGAAAGCAGTTTGAGACTTTAGGGATGCAATTTATTTCTGAAACTCTGAGCGGAAGAGTCAGAGCTAGTCTTGTTACTGCAGGGAACAAGCTTTCTCTCTGCCGTGACCTCACTCCTAGGCGGGAGAGGAATTAGATAAATTTGCTCCAAGTGCAAACATATAACTGATTATATTCCCAGACTGGCACCCAAATTGAAAATAGAACAGTCATTTAAAATGTGCAGCCCTCCAAATATTGCAATGCGCTCTCTCAATAATCTATTTTAAAAGCGTATCGGGGAAAGTGTGTATATTCACAGATCTGATGTGTTACGAGTTATTGCAATATGGAAAATAATTTGCAAAAACTGTATGTTAAACAATCTTGCAGAGAAAGAAACATATATTTGAAGAAATATATATCAAACTGGAGGCAGGTTGGGGGCAAAAAGAACTGGATATGGCTGCAAAAATTAAAAAACGAGATAAAATGAGCTACTTTGACTTCTATTTTCATCTTCATGTCGGTTGATCTTTTTTTTTTTTTTTTTTTTTTTTTTTATTGAAAATTTTTACATTTTACAAAAACAAATCCCCTTCCCATACCCCCCCCTACCTCACCCCCCCCCTTCCCAACCTCCCAAACCCTCCCCTGGACTTCCCAGAGCTGAGTACAGGCTTAATTAAAAAAAAAAAAAGAAAACTTAAAACACTTTTAAAACCTAAACAAATTTAAATACAATCATCATTCTATATAAGCTCCCTCCAAAAACACAAATTTAAACATTACTTTCTTTGAATATCTATATCTATAATATAAAATCTAATTTCTCCCTCTTTCTTTATCCTAAAACGAAAAAATAAACATACAAATCTTTGTTATACCATTAAAGCTAAATACTCTTAAAGAACTTAAAGTAAGTACATATTTCCTTCAATCTTCATAATCTTCTCTCCTATCCAAAAAGAAAAAAAAAAAAAAAAAAAACAAAAAACAAAAACTTAAAAAACCTATAAGTCCTAAACAAATCTAAGCACATTTAATTAAACAAATTATTTTGTCTTAAAAATATTAATAATAATATTTAAAAACTAAAAACACTTTTAAATCCTAAACAAATCTAAATACAATCATCACTCTATATAAACTCCCTCCAAAACCACAAATTTTTAAAATTTAAAATATTAGAATCCACTCACTAAAATAAGCAAATTATAATCCCTTCAAAACACAAATTTAAACAATATTATCATTAAAGGTTCAAAACTTAAAACAACAAAGTTAATAAACACATTAAACATTTCAATCTTCACCAATAACTAATTCCATCCGTAAAAAACTACATCCTTATCAATCTCAATTATATTAGTATTATTAATTATTCACATTCCAGTTTTTTCCATTCTCCATTCTTCCATTCTTCCATTTCCCTTCTCCATTCTTGTATCAAACTCGTAAGAAATGCTGCAAGTTCTGCCTTAGGAGACTGCTCCAAAATTCCTGAATCTCCCATCGACTCCGAAGCCAATAAGGGTTCCTTAAATTCCTCCTTGTATTGATCTTTACAATTGTAAGTTGTACAAGTTATCCTCTGCCCGTTCCTCTCTTGTTGATGCCCCTCAGACTGAGATTTCCCAGTTTCCATTTCAGGCAACAATTCCACCCTTAAAGGTTGCTCCAAAGACTTTGTAGGTCTAACATCTCCCAGAGATTCAGAAACCACTAAATATGAAACTTCCTTAACCTTCTTCTGTTGCTGCTTTTCTTTGGGATTATATACTGCACAAGTTGTCTTCTGCTCCTCAACCTGGACTTGTTGAGGCCTCTCACACAAAGATTCTCCAGTTTTCATAAATATAGGCTCTTCAAACTGTGATTCTACATTCTTTTCTTCCAAAGCTTTAAACTTAATTGATGGCGATGCACATACCCCCAGGACCGAAGTATAAAAATCTTTTGCTTGAGAAACAGTATTAAGTCTATAACATGTCCCCAGGTAATTCACCACCATTCCAATCGGAACATCCCATCTGAATGAAATTTTTCTCTTTTTAAGTTCATTTGCTAAAAAAGCAAACTCCTTTCTTCTTCTTAAAATTTTAGATGGGATCTCTTTAAAAATTATAACATCTTGTGAAGCAATTTGAAATCTCTTCTTATAATAGGCTTGCACAATTTCATTGCGTAAAGATCTTTTACCAAAGTAAATTACCACATCTCTTGGCAGATTCTTCTGTGCTGCCACCACAGAGTTAACCCTAAATAATTTTTCAATTTCATTAAGTATTCCCTCTTTTTCTTTATTCAAAATCAATGCAAAGTCCTTTGCAACCATCTCCTTCAGATCTCCTTGCAAAGACTCTCCCAGGCCTCTAATTCTTAAGGCATATTCCATTTGTCCATATTGAAGCATAAGAATCTCATTTTCCATTTCTTTTTCCATACTTTCAATTTTCCCCTCCATTATGTCCACTTTTTCAGCTACCTCTTCCACATGGGAGTTCACCTTTTCAAGAACAGAAGCAACACCTTCTAAAGCCAAAACAAAATCTTGTCTCAAGATCTTATTGTTTTCCTCTAAAATCTTTTTCATTTCTGCCCTAATTTGAATTATAACATCTCCCATCATGTCTTGCAAGTCCTTCATAGTTATTAGCTGACCCCCAGAAGAGGGTGAAACTGTTGATTTAGAAGCTGTAGAAATCCCTGGACGCTTTGGAGCCATCTTAAAGAAAAACCTTTAGTCCTTCTTAAGCAATTATAAAAATTCCTTCAAAAATATAACTCCCTCCAAAGAAGGTCATTATAATAAAAAGAAAAAAGGGAAAAAAAGGAAGAGAAAAAGAATTAAAAAAAAGTTTTACTCCTTCTTAAAAATTACAAAAAATTAAACAGAAAAAAAGTCCTTCAAAAAAGGGTCATTACAATAAAAAAAAAAAGGGAGTTCAAAGGAAAAAAAAAGGGAGAAGGGGAAAAAAAAAATAATTAAATAAAAAAAGTCCGTTCCAAAAAAAATACTTAGAGATACCAAAAACAACCATTCCAATCATAAGGAAATAAAAAGAGAAAGGGAAAGGAAAGAAAGAAAAACACCAAAAAGCCTGCCGGTCAGCATTCTAACTTCCAGAAAAAAAAACACCGAGGAGTTTGCCGATCGCCATTTTACTTTCCCTTTCAACAAAGAAAAAAAATAAAAAGAGAGAATAAAAATAGAAACAAATCTTAAAACTTAAAATCCAAATAAGTCAAAGAAAGCAAAAACTAAATCCTCTACTCAGCTCTGTCCATTTAAAAAAAAAAACTCACCAGTTCTCTTTAAGCACGGAGGTGTTTGCGGCGGCTCGTTTTGTCCCTGAGGACAAAAACAGCTGGGAAGCGGAGACAAGTCTGAACTCCGTGGGAGCACTCCTTTCACCCCCCCAAAAAAAAACTTGGGGGGTGCGAAAGAGGCTCTACCACTATTCAGACACTCTCTACCCCCCCCCCTTTGCCCGGGAGGGGGATTTTGAACCGCTGAACAGCTGATATCTGCTGTTCATAGCGGTTCTTACACTTACCCAGGAGGACGGCTACAAAGTAGCCGCCATCACGCACGCAAAATCCACCGGAAGTCCTGCATGTCGGTTGATCTTAAAACCTGCTCTTGCAGCATTTTTTTTTTTTTTTTCCTAATAATGTTTTAATTCCCTTTGAAGTCTCTTCCAAAACCAACAGCAAGTTATCTGCAAAAGCCTTTAACTTGTAAATTTATTTTTAGATCTTTACTGCCACAATCCTTTCATCTTGTCTCACATCTCTACTCAGAATTTCAAGAACCGAAATAAACAGGCGAGGAGACAGTGGCATTCTTATCTTATTTCTTTTTATATCTCATAGAAATTTTTTCTTAGATCAATTATTTGTGTTTTCTGTGAAGTGTCAATCGATCTCACCCATTTTATAAAGTTCTCTCCAGAATTAGTATCTTCCAAAATCTTGAACAGGAAAGCCCAGTTTGATTGTCAAGGGCTTCTTTGCATCTAAGAAAATCAATGCGGCTTATTTTTTATTATGCTGCTCTAAATATTCCAAAATGTCCAATCATTTCTAACACTGTCTTTTAATTGGCTTTTAGGTAAAAATCTACATTGGTCCTCATGAATGAATTCTAACCAAATTATGTTCAGTCTATCAGCTGGTATCATGGTGAAAAATTTGTCCCTCTTTAGGTGCTAATGGCTTCTTTCAGGGTCTTTCCAGCCTGTTTTATAAAGATTATAAAAAGTTCATCCTCAAAAATTTATCATGGGAACCCGGTGCAGGTAGTCCTCTAGCAACAAGCATTCATTTAACAACCCCTCGGAATTACAAGAGCACAGCACACAGTGTCTTGTGACAGGTCCTCACACTTACAACTGTTGTAGCATCCCCATGGTCACACGATCAAAATCTGGGCGCTTGGCAACCAGTGTCTTTACAACGATTGTAGTATTCCCAAATGGATTCTGGCAAGCCAAATCAATGGGAGAAGTTGGATTCTGCTAACGGCCGCGTGATTCACTTTAAAATTGTAGTGATTCTTTAACAATTGTGGCAAAAAAAGATTGTGAAATCAGACACGATTCCTCTAACCCTCTGCTTAGCAACAGAAATTCTGGTCCCAATTGTGAGCATCTGTCGAGGCCACCTGTAATCCATCTGGTCCAGGTAACACACAGAGTCCCAAGAAATTCAACCTAACGAAGCTTTGCAGCTTCTGCAAAACTTCTGCAGGAGCGCTGCCTTTGACCTGGCTGTGTTGTGTGAGTGGGGCTAACGTGTAAAGCACCTGTGAGAGCGCACCTCTGCATTTGGTTTGGAGACAGCTTCTCTCCCTCTCTCTCTCTCTCTCTCTCCCTCCCTCCCTCTCTCTCTCTTCCTCCCTCCCTCTCTCTCTCTCTCTCCTTCCCTCACCCTCTCGGGTACCCAGAAGCGCAGGCTAAAGTGCCTATTTTTAGCAATGGCTCTTTCCATGCAGCCACAGCCTTCCAGATGTGGCACTTCTCTCACAGTATAGGTGCTCTCCAAACCCTTGCCGTTATGCATCCTGACTTCTTTGAAAACGTTGGCTGTAGTTATAAATTAGGGTGTTTTTAAAACCAAAAACGGGCAGCAAGAATTTCAGTTGGATGTCTTGTTCCTGAGAGGTAAGAGATGGCTAGAGAAAAATATACGTAAAGAGCATCGGTTTGCTAATGAGGAGTTTGCTCAGTTTACTTTTTTTAAAAAAGGAATTTTAATTATTGCACATTTTCCCACTATTGTTTTGCTAGCAAGGGGCCATCCAGCTTCATCCCTGCTCAGACGTTATTTGAAAAAGCTTCTGGTTTTTAAGCTGCAGCAGCAGAACGAAGCCGTATCCGCCCAGGACCAGATTATAAATGTCTCCCAGCTTTTGAACACGCTGTGTGCAAATGATGCCGAAGAACAAAGATCTCCTCTGTGCTTATAACTGGTTCTGTTTCTGCTCAGTGGC